CCCTTAGTTTCTACTAATATATATACTAGAATAGGTATATAGGTAGGCTAAAATACTATCGTTCTAATATAAAATAGAGTTTTAAGATTTTTAGATTTTAAGTTTTTAGTTATAAGCTACCTATAGACTTAGGCTACTATCTATTCTTCTATTATACTCTCTAACGTATACTAGAAGTCTCTCTTATTCTAGCTATAGTTAGCTAATAAGAGTTTATATAGCTATTATACTATCTTAAGAAGTAGTTAATCTTATATACTAAACTTCTTTTCTTTCTAATTTTAGATAGTTATTCGCTTACTCTACTACTACTTTTAATACCTCTTAGCTATCGCTACTTACTATACTACTAGCTTAAGGTAATATCGTTCGCTCTTCTTATCTCTACTCTTATTACTAACTAAACTCTAGTATATTCTTTATAGTCTAGAGGAAATTACTACTCTTATCTAGCGCTATCGATTCTATAGTAGAACAGAAGCCCGAATTCGACATATTAGCAATTATACTCTATCTAAACACGGAAGTGCCTAATAAAACAACCCCCGAGCGACCTACGATTAACTTCGTCTATAGGCGTTTCCGTCTGGAAAATGCCTAGGTCGCTATCTAGAGACTTCCCGCGTTGTCTGCTCGATTCCGTAGTCGAATCAGAAGATCGGAGATCGTATGGTCTACTACCGACACGGACACAGAGCAACTGGCTATGATGCGGCAAGTCCGCTTCATACGACGTCTCCGCGTATGTACAATCGCGTAGGGACCGGGATTCGATTTCGTGGTATGTCTGTCAAGCATGTTCGTACTACTCCACGAGATGATAGCTTGTCTTGGCGTGCCCATGGTAACAGCAAGTACGATTCCGCGAAAGGTCATAGTTTCTTCCACCCCCTGCCGCGTTCATGTACTCTACGTCTCCCGGATGCATCCCAGATTCTGCAAGAGACAGCTACTGCGGTTGTTCGCGACCATGGAGAGGGCTGGGATGCGTTTGAGTCTCTGCGTACACATAGCACAAGCGATTTGGCACTCTGAATACACTTGGTAGCCGGCGCCGATCTGCTCGAGACGACTCGTTAAGAGGTTGTTACAGTGCAAACCATACCTTTCTCCACTCAGCTTCTATCACCAGCCCGCGCTACTACCTCGGTAGTCGAGAAGAGGCCGGTTTGATCGGCCGCTGAAGTGAGTCAGGCCAACCGTTGCCTAAAGCAACGAGCCGCTTGCTACGCGATGGTTCCGGGAATGGATGTCCATGTCTGTAGCTGCTCTCGGAGTTGTCTGAGGATCGCTCTCGAGGATGGTATTGAAGGTAGAGAGGGATATGGAACGTATGGCAGTCGTTTCCCAGACGCGGTACGAGAAACACTTTCCGGACCATTCGATCTTCTGCGGTCTCTGCACGTCGGCTAATTCCACCTCGACTGTCGTTGTTGTAACCATGCGATGTTGCACTAGAGACGAAAGTAGATGCGAGCCGCGATCCGCTTAGTCATCAATGTAAGTTGGTCCGTGGCGGTGCGTACATAGCGACGCTGTGGACGAGCTCGCGGAGCGAGTCGAGATCGACTGCTCTAGCACCATGGTATGTCTGGCCCAGGGCATCGATAGGTGGTGCTATCTTCGCGACGCCTTTCCTGTGGAAGAGCAAAGATCTCAACAAGTTGCCTGTCTTTATAACGTAGGTTGCTACCGCGCACAGCGTTGAAGCGACGATCTTTCTCGAACCGACCCTTCCGAAGCTCTCACCCAGAACGCGCGGCTCTAGATCCCCTGGATAACCTTCGGACCTTCAGCATAGTGCGTAGCAATGTATGTGCCGCGAAGACGTCTCCTTCTATCTGTCAACTCCTAGGATCGGTAGCCGACACTGTCTCAAGAGCAACACTCCATTCCGGTATACGACTTACGAAAGAGCCGCGTTTGTACCTACCTATAGTTCCGATCTGTTCTCGTAGCGCCCTCCAATCACGGAGCGAAGCTAAGCGGATATGTAGTCGTCGTGATCCCGACTTTAGGTCGTATAGATCTGTAATGCCGTAAATATGTCCGAATAAGCACTACGCTCCAGCTCGAATGCCTCGCACGCCTGGGCAAGGACCGCAGTCGCCCGCCAAAGAGAACTGAAGGCGACGCTGTGGTCCTCTGACGTATAGACCGCCGTTACTTTCTGCCTGTTGTCCATTCGAGTGGCCGTGCTGCTGCTGATCGTCGAAAGTTCCCCGCCCGTGCGGCGCAGAGACTAGGTCCACTGAACAAGAGGGCGCAGATTTTCTCGTAAGAGATCCACGAATTGGGGAGTGCTTTTCTCACGGTGAGCTGCCGGCCTGCGTATGGTAAATACCTCCCGGCGCGAAAGCGACAGCCCCGTGAAGGGGGTTAGGGAAACGCTAAGCGAGGTGCATTGACCATAGCCTTTTCAATGAAGACGAGATGAAAGTTGGGCAGACATCACGTTGACTTGATGGCTTGACGGAGCATATTGTGTCGTGAAAGTGGAGGTGAGGTCGAAGAACGCGTCCGCGAAATTCCCGATACGGAACTATAACCCAAAGTGGTTAAGACTGTGTATAGCGATACGTTATCGAACATCGACATCTCCAGCCTCAGGCAGACCTCGCTCCTCGCAACCATGGTGTAGGAAGTCACCGACAACAAATCTCTGGTCCTTTGGGATGATATGTTCGAGATGTATCTATCGGGAGGCTTCTCTTCTCCGCACACACGAGAATCAAGCCAAGCTGCCTCAAATTGCTCTAGACGATGTTTTGAGGGGCCTAATTTGGTCAACGAGACGGACAACGCATCAAACTCTGATCCTCCAATCTGAGTCGTCTTCTTGGCTATGTTTTACAGTCCCATATTGATGCCGCGCATCCATGTCTTGCTGCAACAGTCGACTCGGAGACATTCCACCTTCCCCTTCCACAGGTGAGGGGTAAGCGAGCTCGGAGTTAGCGGACCTCAGCGGGTCTTAAAACGTATTGATTGCGTGTGGTCTTTGCTCGATCCAGACAGAAACCAATCTCCCTCAACTCAACCAACTGTTGAGTTAGCGTTCAAGATGGCAGCAAAGTATCCACAGCGCAAGATTGGCGACGACAGTGTCTCGGCCCAGGGTTTGGGATGCATGGGCATGTCCTTCGCCTACACCTCGAACGGCGGCTACGATGACGAAGAGTCACTCCGCGTTCTCACCAAGGCCATCGACCTTGGCATCAATTTCTGGGACACCAGTGATATCTATGGGCCACACACGAACGAAAAGCTCATTGGCAAGTGGTTCAAAGAGACTGGCCGCCGGAACGAGATCTTTCTTGCTACCAAGTTTGGCAACCTTCGGGGACCAGATGGCTCGCCGCAGGTCCGTGGAGACAAGGAATGGGTTCACCAGGCCTGCAACGAGAGCCTGCAGCGGCTAGGTATTGAGCAGATTGATCTCTACTACCAACATCGTGTGGACAGCAAAGTTCCTATCGAGGAGACGGTGGAGGCCATGGTCGAGCTGAAGAAGCAGGGCAAGATCAAGTATCTCGGCCTGTCCGAGTGCTCTGCTGCCACCTTGAGAAGAGCTCATGCGGTGCACCCCATTGCAGCCGCGCAGATGGAGTTCTCGCCCTTCGCGTTGGAGATCGAGTCGGAGCAGACGAATTTCCTCAAGACTGCGAGGGAGCTCGGAGTGAAGATTGTCCCATACTCGCCTCTGGGTCGTGGCTTTCTGACGGGCACAATCAAGAGCCGGAGTGACCTGGACCCATCAGACAACCGCAGCAATCATCCCAGATTCAGCGAAGAAAATTTCGACTCGAACCTGAAGCTGGTGAACCTGCTCTCTGAGATGGCGGAGAAGAAAGGCTGCACGCCGGGACAGCTGTCTCTCGCATGGGTGCTGGCTCAAGGGTAATATGCGGCGTACTCTCTTGCATAGCAAATGTCATCGCTGACCGCCTCTTCTGCGCAGAGACGACTTCATCCCGATTCCAGGAACAAAGCGAGTCAAGTACTTGGAGGAGAACGTCAAGGCCATCGAGGTGAAGCTCACCCGGGAGGAAGAGCTGGAGATCCGAAAAGCTGTCGAGAGCGTGGGCGGCAGCAGAGGCGCGCGGTACCCAGCGGCAATGTTGGCCTTGTGCTTTGGCGATTCTCCCGAGCCACGGAAGTAGACCGGCAGAGATCCGAGGAGCGTGTCGTCGTGTAGTGTTGCATCCAGCGTGACGCCTGTGGCGTTGGAGGAGAGTGTTGTGTTCGGGCCGGAGGGGTGAGATTTGGAGCCGCTCGAGGTGCATGTGCTCAACAGGCATTTCCGTGTTGGTCAGTCGCTCCAAATTCAACAAAACGTTCTTCCAGACTTCCGCAGGATCGACGACGAACGATGTCTTGTTTCTGTGCCACGCATTCCATGTGTTGTGATGCGCGCATGGCTGCGATGTTGTCTAGGTTGTGTTGTGTTCAGATGGAGGACCAAGGGCAGATGGGAGAGACACGGGGCTGGCGGCTACGTGCGGCAATGTTATTGGGTTTTGCGCTGCTTAAGGTTTCACTGGACTGGGATTCGCCATGTCGGGTTTTGATTATTGAGGAAAATACGATGCAGGTACCGGGGCGTCTGGTTGCGATCTGGGCTAGTTGCTTATACGACCTCATTTCACGCAACTTCACTTCAACCGCCTCGTCGTCCTCCTCTACCTCCACCATCACCACCACCACCACCACCACCCATACCATACCTCTCACCCTTCCTCGCACCGCCCACGGTCTCTACTGCGCTCTGGAAGCGGCATTGCTGTCCTTCACCACATTCGTTGCGTTGCTCCACCGCCACTCCGCCCGCCAAGAGGAGATCCCGGCGACCGTCACCGCCTTGCATTCCTGGAACATCGCCGCATTCCTCCCTCCACCTCTCTAAACACCCACATCGCCGTAAGTCTGATCTTTCGCTACTGCACAACCGACCTTTTCCCGCATGATCAACCGGCATGCAATGGACTTTCTTTGAACCACCTCCAGGACCTTTTTGTTTTGGATCGCTTTGAGCACTTCCTTCAACACCCTCGAACAACAGCACTCTCCGTCCAAACAATCATTTTGAGGACACGCCACTGATTCGGCAGGCCGACAGTCAGCCCCCACTCGCGCTACTAACACCTGGACAAGACATCAACACTCGCTACTTGTTCCATCCCCAACATGAAGGCCAATCTTCTTACGATTGCCGCTCTGGCAGTGACTGCACATGCGCAGGTCCATCGCGTGCCCCACCATCGCCATGCGCACCTGAAGAAGGACGAGCCCGTGGCTGCACCAAGCTACAGTGGTGGTAGTTCCAGCGATGGTGGCTCGGGTGGTTCAGGCTCAGGGGCCTCCGGTCTGGGCATTGCTTATTCGCCGTATCGCGCCGACGGTACCTGCAAGGACTCTTCCGAGGTCAAGAGCGATTTCGAGAAGATTAATGGCTATGGCATGGTCCGACTGTACGGCACCGACTGCCATCAGACTGCCAACGTGCTTGCCGCGGCGAAGCCCAAGAACATGAAGATCATGGCGGGCATCTTCGATATCAATAATGTTGCGGACGAGGCACAGTGCATAATCGAGGCCGCAAAGAACGATTGGGACAGCATCCACACAGTGAGTGTTGGCAATGAGTTGGTCAACCAGGGCACACCGGCTGGCACTGTCGTTGCTGCCATTGGGACTGCACGTGATGTGCTCCAGGGCGCCGGTTACAATGGAAACGTCGTCACCGTTGACACGTTCGTCGCCATGATCGCCAACCCGTCCATTTGTGAGGCCTCGGACTACGCGGCTGCCAACTGCCACGCTTTCTTCGATGGCGGCAGGACCGCAGAGCAAGCCGGACCCTTCGTTAAGGAGCAAGCCGAGCGCGTCAAGAATGCCTGTGGTGGGAAGAAGACCGTCATCACGGAGTCCGGATGGCCGTGGAAGGGCGAGTCGAACGGTGTGGCCGTTGCCGACAAGCAGAACCAGGGTGTCGCGATCCAGTCCCTCAAGGACAACTTCAGCAAGAACCTCGTCTTGTTCACTGCATTTGATGACCTGTGGAAGAAGGATAGTGGAGACACTTACGGATGTGAGAAATATTACGGAATTTTGTAGCACTGCGCGTCTTTTTTTGGGGGGCGTAGTCACGAGCCTTGTTGATGTACAAATGATTCTTCTTCTTTCTTCGGCGATGTCTTTGGCAAGCAGGTTGCATATGCGGCATATGCGGGAATGGCGTCTTTTTCTGGGCAGGTGTCGGAGAGGGAGCCAGGAAAAGGGAACAATGGCGTCTGTGCCGGGTCAAAGAGAGTCACGCTCTCGCTTTGGAATAATGATGATGAGGTCTGGTCGTTGCGCCGGGCTTGCTTCGTTGTCGAGTGTGCGTTCGCCATGCTGGCCGTTCTGCGGTGCCTTCTGTACACTTACGCTAGATGCCTGTGATTGCAGCAGACATGAATTGAATTCGCTTCTGACGTTCGATCAAGATGTGCCGGCTGCGAATGGCGAGAGTCATCAAACTGATCGAGAAAAGCCAGTGCAACGATCTACCGAAGGGACAAGGTTCTCCACTGGTTTCGCGCCGTTGTGGCGTGGACATGGAAGCTCCATCGTCCACCACCGGGCACCATCTGATCCTCCTCCTCCTCACAATACAACATCACGAGACACACGATAGCAATAACGAAGCATCTTCTCTGCAACGACAAGCCGCCCATCACCCTCTCCAAACAAACACTCCTCACCACCATTCTAGCGATACTAACCCTCCACCTCACACGCACAACCTCCCTCTTCAAGATCGGCTCCTCAACCTCCAAGCTCCTCTCCACCCGCACCATGGCCTGGCGCTCTTCCGGCGCCACTAACGCGGCCTTGATCGACAACCTCTACGCCCACGGGCTCATCACCTCCGACCGCGTCCGTAACGCAATGAAATCCGTCGACAGAGCCCACTACGCACCCCACGCACCCTACCAAGACTCCCCTCAAACCATCGGCCACCGAGCCACCATCTCCGCACCACACATGCACGCCAACGCGGCGGAGTCACTACTCCCGTATCTCAAACCCGGGAGTAAGGTCCTCGACGTGGGCAGTGGGAGTGGATACCTGACGCACGTCCTGGCGGAACTCGTGAGACCTGGGGGCAGAGTCGTTGGTGTGGAACATATCCGAGAACTTGTCGATCTGGGAACGGAGAATACGAGGAAGAGTGCGGAGGGGAGGGAGCTGTTGGAGGATGGGGGCATTCGATATGTCAAAGCGGATGGGAGGTTGGGGTTTCGGGACGAGGCGCCTTTTGATGCGATTCATGTGGGTGCTGCGGCAGCGGGGCATCAGCAGGAATTGATTGATCAGTTGAAGAGTCCTGGGAGGTGAGTTTGGAGCTGTGACAATACACTTGCTGTGAATGTGCAAAAGGCTATGAAGGAGCATGTGTGATCAGGCGGTGGTCTAGCAAGAGACGATGCTGACGGGAATGTGTCGTAGGCTTTTCATTCCGGTTGAGGAGGCTTATATGCAGCATATCTATGTCATTGATAAGGATGAGGATGGCAATTCGACGAAGAAGAAGGAATATGGCGTGCAGTATGTGCCGCTCACGGATGCGCCGACGGACTGAAGAGCGCCCGACAGTCAACAAACGACTTCCTAAGCAGACGTCAAGCACACGGCAAGGAACAGAACCATTCCTAGGAGCAACGCGCGGCCGAGGAGAAATGACCACCTGCCACCGGAGAGGAGACGAAGAACACGACCAAAACTGTTGGCCCTGGAGAACGTAGTGATGCCGACTAGAGCGTATCGGATGGGATGGGACACCGAACACAGGTCCAGACTATGGCCTGTGCTCTGGACCATCATTCGGCCACGCATAGGATTGGGGGTCAAGATACAACCGGAGGTGAAGACTGCTATACGCAGTGGTGGTGTTCGAAGGAGGCTCGCTCTTTGCTCAAAAACACCCGAACTGCACCTTGGCGGCACAGCGAGCTGGAGCCTGGAGACTCGCTCTCGTGATCCGAACTGGTCTTGGTACATTTGCCCCGGGGTCCTTCAATCCTGCTTTCTGTCTGCTCTTTGATAACCACTAGGATATCATCAAGATGGCTCACCACGCTGCGTTCCTGGCCAGGTCACACGCATATAGTGGGTTTCGTGCTGCATGCTTCGCGCCGGACCAGGTCCGATGCAGCGTGGTGGTCCATGATTCGAAAGTAGTCCAGGTCGCCGAGTCACTATGGACATATCTCACGACCGCCGAGAATGCGATGGCAACGGCTATCTCAACTGCGGCGATTTCTGGAGTCGTGCTGTCTGGCACAGGACAGAACTCAAGGAAAGACTCTCCAGCTATGCCCGCTTTCCTCCACCGTCATGGGCTACATTCAGAATGTGACGATTTGCATGAAACTCTCGCCCTTCGCAACACTGGATCAGACCGAGCGACAAATCGTGAAAAGCTTAGAGCTAGTGCCCTTAGAATTGACAAAGAAAAGCCTGCGAAGAAGAAAGCATGACTATGTCGATACAACCATGGGAGCCATCTATCGCACGTACAGTCCAGGGAAACGGAGGCCTCGTCTCTCACGTCGCGCTGTGCAGATCGTTCCTCGGAGACAGACGCCTAGCCCCACAGCAGCACATGCGTCTTGGCACGAAGGATCGCTGACGCGGGCGGTCATGTTTCTACCCCATTTGCGTACCTCCTGCGCATCCCTCAGATCTTGTGGTTGCTGTGCATCTAACCTGTGAGGCAGGCCGCATTGGGAACGGAGAGGCTGTCTATCGATACCCAGAGCAGGAAGATGTCTTTAGACCGGATAAGAGTGTAGCTGAGTCATTGGTTCCACGGCACCCCAGGATTTCCGCTCTCCGTAATCATAGAACTATCGGAATAAAAAAGCCTTTGTAGAACCTATTATATATGTGGCACCACGGCTTGTAGTCGGGTAAATGGCCTGCCATCTCCTTGCGCCAATAGCACGCAATTCTCCAACGAGCTTGCCTACACTATACAGATACAGCTATGGTAGCTGTCTCTCGAAACAATAACACCACGCAGTCTTGACAGCGTCGCGGTACCCAAACCCTAGCAACGCCCGACGTTTCTTTGGCGTTTCACATGCTTGCCACTCCAAACAAAGGAAGCTGGACGGACCCTTATACTGCAGTTCCCGCATCTACGTTCTCTTCCGTTTCCTCTGAAACCGGTCGTGCTACCCGCCTACGTTCTCGCTTTGTTTTTGGAAGATCCACCAATTTCATCACGAAGGAACGAGAGACAGGGCGGACTGGACGGGACCGCGACTGAAGACATATCCCAAGAATGGGCAATTCTCAATCCAACAGCGGATATCTCACACCATCCAGCGCAGAATGGATCTCCGATCAGAATCAACGCTTCACCGCCCTCGACAACGAACGCCACCGCCGCCCGAATCCCCTCCAACAACACCCCGTGCCACCACAACAGCAGAATAAACCTTTCCAAAAGCCAAAACCCACCTCGCTCAAAGAACCCGCTTTCTCGGGATACGTGGCCGGATGGCGGCAGGGCGATTGCGACTCGGACGCACAAGAATTCTCGTTCGCCAGTTTCCAATACTCCGGAGATGACGAGGAAGAAGGGGAGAGTCTGCGGTCGGACTGGCCGCTTGGGGCGGAAGACGAGAGGACGTGGAAGGAGAGGAAACATTCGCCTTCACCTGCCGCGCCCGAGAGGGTTGGGAGATCTGCTTCGCGGGCGACGCAGAGTGGTAGGAGTCAGACGATTTCGTGTCCGAGGAGGTATCTGAGTGCTGCGACGACGACGAAGATGCAGAATTCGAGCCATTCGGCTGTTGTGGGACGACATGCTGGACATGGTCCTGTTGCTAAGGTCTCGGTGGGCCAGCTGAGGAGAGCTGCGACGGAGGATGCTGCTATGGTCGCAGCGAGATCGTCACGACGGGAGATGGAAGCTGGCGTGTAGGTGTTCGAAAGCAGTGTTTCTCGAGCGCTTAGGCGTTTGGATGACTTTACGATGAGCATGTAGTGAATTCCCGGGAATGGAGTAGAGTGTAAAGGCCGTCTGATTATGTTCTCTCGAATGAATATGCCGTCCTTCATTTTCAATGCTATGCCATCAAAAACGCCATCGTAATGCCTTTGCCATGCCATCTCATCATTCCTCCGCGAAACGCCGAAACAAACCCCATCATAGCGAGCCCCTGAAAGCACCGACAACGCCTTCCAGCATCTTCAACCCATAGAACCTGCTCACGCTTTCAAAGACTCTCAGCTTCCTCGTCAATTCGTCCTTCTTCAGAGTACCCACCCATTCGCCAGCACAGGCACAATGGTCCATGAAGTCGTTCGTTCGAATACGAGCGCATTTCTTGCATTTCAAATCTTGCGTCATCCATTGCAATGCCATCTTCTGCACGTCTGCGATCATTCGCTCCTCGATCACCAGTCTGTCAAATGACGCATAGCAGTTATCGCACTTGGGTGCTAGCACCCAGTGAGAGACCTCGGAAGTAGGAGGCGAGGCGATGTCAGAGTCCCGACAGAGATCAATGTCCTTTGGAATGCAGCATTCGGAACAGCTGAGTTGCTTGATCGGCAAGGAAGCCGAGGGGTTGGTGAAAGCTCCCTCGGGACTGAATTCGCGAATGTCGAAGAGATGTAGAAGTTCCTTTCGCAGGAGTCGAGCTTCCAGTGTGATGGTCTTGTCTAAGCTGAGCACTTGCATAATGCTCTTGACCAGCTCCAGCACGGGATTTTGTGACTTGAGATGCGATCCTGGCATTGACGGGAAAGTCCAGTCTTGCAGAAGTTCTTCGTGCATCGCTTCCGTCCGTTGACGCTTCATCAGCTGTGCAATTTGCTTCTGGAGTGGCTTGGCGAAGTCTTTGGCGAGGACATTGCCTGGTGTTGTCTGATCTTCCTTTTCTGAGTTGAACATGGATGCATGAATAGGCAGTTGCGTCGCTCGTGGTGTTGTTCCATTGACAAGCCCAGCAGGCCGCTTTCGTTGGTGCATCAACTCGATGTATTCAACGACCCAGTCGTTGAACATCGGCTGGAGGATCGGGGGCAGGAATGTTGCGATCTGCCAATGCATGATCATATCAAGCTGTTGGTTCTCTTCCTCAAGGACCTCAGTACACCCCTTCCCGCCATAGTTGAACTCATCATACCATGCTAGGTAGTCCCAGAACTCGGTGATGGCGAGATCAAGAAACGCGAAAGCAGGCTTGCCGCTGATTGTCTTGAGCATGTACTTGCTGTAAGCATACGCATTCCCAACTTCAGCTTTTGAAGTCTGCAGAAGCAGCCGCCCAGCATTGGCAAAGACCACGTGCGATCCAATTCGTCTGAACTCAGACATGAGTTGCTGAAAGGCTTTGCGTGACATGATCTGGACGTAGTAGTGGAGATTGCGGTCGTACAGATGGGAGCTCGGGCTTTCAACCCATCTGACGAGGTGTTGCACAAGGACGTCTGCCATTGTGCTACCACCATGAGCAGCTTCTTGCCACCAAGCTCGCACCATTTCCCGCAGAGCTCCGATTCCAGCGGCCGCAAAAGCATTCTCCGACTGGATCGTTTGAGTGGTCTCATCGAGCGCATCCTCCTTCGCGCCTGCTCCTGAGATACCCAGCGGGTCTGATCCCTCCGCTTCGTTCAACACAGCCGACGAGAGTATAGTATTGATTGCCAAATTCTTGACGCTCAAGTCGATACACACCGAAGAGTACGTTCCCGGGTTATTCACGGCTGGCATTTCGATGACCTCCATCGAACCCAGGATGTCGTCTTTTTCGTGGCCAGCGTGATCGGGTCTAGCGTCTTGCGACCACCACAATACGACCTTTTCTTTTTGCAATCTTCGCGCATATGTGATATCGATGAGGAAGCGCGGATCATCCATTTCGAGGTTGCACAGAGGCACATTACCGTATCTCGAGAACTCGAGCAAATGCGATATCCACAAGCCCAAATCCAAGTAATGATTGACCAGTCGTTTTGCTACAAATGACTGCCATCCGAGAGGAGGCAGCTGCTTGTCCATCTCATCGGCTCGAAGCTGCAGTGTCGGGAACGTCTGTAGGGCGGGTAGGTCGTGAACAAGCATGGCGGCGCTGTGCGACTGTAACACGAGCATAACGGGCAGCGTTTCGTCTTTTTGGATCTCCTTGACCGCATCACCCAGCTCCTGCAAAGCTCGTCGATGAGTCGTGACCTGGACCGTCTTGAAGCGCAGCGCTTCCTGATAGTCCACGACGTTCTGCCAAGGCTGACCGCCTGCTTCTTCGAACTTCTTGCTGAGCATGTCTTCGTATATTCGATCAACGTTCGGCATGCCTTGTTCACTTCTTGCTCGGTTCAAAACCACAATCTTGGCCTCAGGCTTGGTCGAAGAGAAGACTGCATAGATCTGTCGCTCGCCAGCACTGATGTGGTAGAGGGCCAGGTAGCTGAAAGAAGCACTGCTCATGTAAGGCTTCTTGGGAGGAACAGTGCGCAACGTCGACAGATCGAAACCCTGTTCCAAGCCTTTGCCCAATACACCACGCTGGCTCTCATCAAAGGTGCATACACAACCCAGCTCAAGCAATGCGCGCACGTTCAGGGGCACTTGTTTTTCGTAGACGCCTTCGACACTTGTGTGATTGAACAGCATCGCCAAGTTTTCTGTCTCGTTTACGTAGACCTGCTCGCTCATGGTGAGCTTGAACAAGTGTGTAGAGGGATGTCCATTTGGCAGTGTGTGATTGACGATCTTCTCTGCCTTGACGCCGTCGATTGATACATCAGGTAGATCATCTTCCTTCAGATTGAGAAAGACTTGCCGTGGAACGATCACTTTCAGCTGGTGAATCTTCTTGTCAATGAGGACAAATGCTCTGACTTCGCCAGGAGAGTCTGTTTCTCGAAGTTGAATGATCTGCCAGTCGGTGGTGTAGACAAGCTCTGCCTGATTTCGGAAGAATGTACCAATGGCATTGTTAGCGTCAGCGCGCTTCTCACCAAAAAGCTGTCGGCGACGCTTCCGTTGTGCTTTTTGTATCTTCCACTTCTGTTTCTGGTACTTCAGCCATCCTCGGTAATCCTCTGTGATTGATGGCATCACGGCCGGCAAGGCCGAATACGGATCAGTAGGCGCCGCGGAAGGCTCGTCTCGCTCCTTTCGCTTCTGAGAGTTGACAATCTTTGCAGCAGTGGCAGGCTTGAGCTTCGACATTGGTGTGGCACCGAAATCCTCCAGATCCGCACCTGCAGCACGAGTTGGAAGTCTGTTAGCGTCCAGCTCTGCCAGAGGCTGTTTGGGGAACATGTCTGTCATCTTTGTCTGCTGGAACTTGTCGTCTTTCATGCGAATTCTTCGATCAAGCCAGTCGGGATGGGGTACTCTCGGGACCGGGTTGCGGACTTTTTGAAGTGCAGCTGGTATAGTGATAAGCTTCTGGATAACTGATCCAAGACGCTCCAGGTAATAGTCCCAATCGATGATAGTACGCGGATCCATGTCCTTCGGGTCCTCCTTCAGCCACTTCCGCAAGTAGTGCCTCTTGACAGACTCGTCGGCAGACAAGATCGCAACAGGAATGGCACGATCGGTAACAGGTGCATGCCTGGGCCGAGAGGATATAACGTATTTGCAGTTCAGGCCCTTGTCTTTCACCATTTGCTCGCCGAGAAATTCAGCGAGCCGCCGGGCGGTGGTAATGGCTGTCGACTTCTGGGCACCGTACTCCTCGAGTGTCTTCGTCATATTCTTGTTTTCGCAAATCAAGTCGATCAGCTCGTCGTCTGCAAGCGTACTGCCGTGCGAGTGGAGGACGTCCAGCCACTTGTTTGCGACCTTGGCGACGGCGCTATACGTTTCGGCCAGTGTTGAGCCCTCCAGAAAGAACTTGAAGATCTGTTGCTGGAAGATCTTGATGAGTTTCAGCTCTCCTCTTCGCTTAACCTCGAATCCTTTCAACTCTGCAAGCGACCCATCATCATTGAACACAGCATAGCGCTTCTTCAAATTCTTGTCCTCTTCCTTCGATGTAGGCAGGATCATCGCTCTGTAGGGGCCGTCGACTTCAAAGAAGATGGTGTTGTCGCTGTGGGTCTCGTACTTGAAGTTTGTTGGATCAACAAGCGTTTGATATTGGTGATTGGTGAACTTGGCGTGGACCAAGTGGTTCAACATTACGCAAGGATATGAGATCGTCATCTTCTTCCCGTTCTTTAGCTTAAAAGCAAAATTCTCGGGAAATGTAGCGGGCAGGATTGCCCAGATACCGTCAGTATCCAATTCGAGCGGTCGACCAATCCTCTCCACTAGCTGTCGTGCCATCTGAATAATTCGAGCTCCAGTCAAGCACGTAACGCCGGCCATCTCCATGGAATACCATCGCGAGCCTTTTCGCATGACATAGCCGTAGAAAGAATTCAAGATGACCTTGTGTGCCAACTGCAGTGAATCAAAGAGCACAATCATCTTTCTCGCCTCCTCGATCTCTGGCTGGCTTGCTCCAGCCTTCTCCAGATCCGAAGTCTTGCCTTTCCAGACCTTCTGCTTGCCTTTGAAGTCGTACCGACGATCACGAAAGTCTTTCACAGTGTCGACATAGAACGGATTCTCTCGCTGGCAGATGATTGCTTCTCGCTCCATCGTCCGTGCATCGTGGATCTTGTGGTAGATTTTCTTGCTGTAGTCTGTCAAACGTTTCCGGACCAGCGAAGTCTGTTCGTCAAGACTCAGATCCTGAAAAGCTCGCGCAAGACTGTTTGGCCCCTTTCCAGGGAATTTCTCATTCTCCAAGGTATGCCGAATCATGTTGTACTCGTCACGCTTTGCAGGCAAGAATTCGCCTCTCCACGACCATGGCATTCTCCGATCGCAGGTCTTGCCTGGTCGATTGAAATCACACGCTGCGCAGACAGATTCGTCAATCATACTGTCTGGCTGCAATCGATTCGTCGTCATAATGTTAGGGTACATGGAGGCCACATCCAAATGATAGATGAGAGGACGCTCGCTTCGGTTTGGTGTGTTTTTCAGCTGCGTCAGCCGATCCAAGATTTGGCCTTTCACTTCCTCATAGTTCTCGACGTCTTCGAGCTTTTTCTTCTCTTCGACCTCGATACAGAATTTCAAAGCCGCGTCCAGATCATGAAGCAGCTCATCGATGGCGGTTGTGTCCACTGCAAAGTCATTTGGTATGTCGCTTCGGAAGACACCAGCTTCGATACTTTCAACGTGCCCACCGACGTAGGTTTCGGAATCCAGCAGGTGGCCTTCCCAGAACGCTTCTCGTGGCTGGACATGTTTGTTTGGTAGCACAATCTCTTTCTGGTATGCTTGAACCATGAGCAACATCTCGCAGAGGGTACCCGTTCCTTTTCGAAGCACATCATCCGGCCCCAGCGGAATAATCGTACATAATGAGAAGATGAAAGGGTGCACATATTTCATGTACAGATAATATGTCGCCACGGCATCGGACACCGAGTACTCTGCCAGCGTCTGAGGCCGCTCAGATGCGTACGGTGTCATCAATTCTGGGTCCAGCTCATCTGGGTCGTATCCGAGCTTGGCCACAGTAACAGCCTTCAGGCCTCGACTTCCCTGGGGAAGGTAGGAATCTCGATTCACCCAGGCGAACGCATCCATATGTGCACAATGCGTGGACTGATAGATGTCCTCGCTGTTCTTCCGGAAGCCGATCTCTTGATACATGTCGATCCCATGCACGCTCGCTCGCGCTTCAACGAAAGGCCAATCAAAGAAGTCGCCGTTGTAAGTCACCATGATTGTAGGTCTGGCTTCTTTGATCATGCTGAAGAATCTCTCCAGCAGTGCTTCTTCATTCGGCTCGTTGAAGATCATGAAGGGCCCCTGAAACTCCGGCTTTGGTGTGTAATCGAAGTCTTGGATGTCCTCAGAGACAATCTCTCGATTCGTGATCAAGAAACCTTGCCCGTCAATCATGTATGATATCATCATGACTTGATCAATCGCAGCATCCGGAAACTTCAGTGGTAGCTTAGTCGTCTCGATATCAAACGCCATAACGACCGGATCTGGACGTTGCACTCTTTCCTCGATGCAGCTGACGCTGATGTGGCCATGCTTTGCTTCCACGTAGTACCATTTTCCCACTCGAATGTCCAAGTCAATGGCTACTCGAACGTGGTAAGGCACGTCGTATTCTCGAATGTCCACAATGAAATCGCTGGCGTCGGCAATGGTCGTCGGTCTCCGCTCGTTCTCAAAGTCGTCATCGAATAGGTCGAAGCCAGCGTTACCAGCAGCTACTTCGGCATATGTGTCCATTGCAGTGATCTTGGATTTGTTCCTCTCGGCAATCGGCGCCAATCCTCTCCTCACAGCTAGCAGGTCGTTTACGTTGACGAACAAGAGCTTGAGGAATGTCCTCCTGTATCCGAGCAAGTGATTCGGCATCTTGAGGTCCTCCTTCTCGACCCTCTCTACTCCCCTTACAAGGCCCTCGTATCCTCTCTTGACATATTCTTCCACCTCAGGCTCTTTTCCCTTCTTTACCGCAATCAGGAAGTATGGTTGGTACTCGACGCTCGCCTTGAACGTCTCGCCCTCATCGCCAATGAAGTAGTAGTCCACAGCAGCGCGACCACCTGGCACTTTGGAGTCCTCAATAGAGGTACTGTGCATGTTGCAAAGCCATCCAACGCGCTTCTTCCCCGCCTCGAATCGCTCGAACCCTTGGCCTTCATCTATTCGGCTCGCTAGACGCGTCGCTTCGATTCGTTCATTTTGGGATGTCTGTTCTGAAGAGCGGAGACTACCGGCGTCTATGGTTTTGACTCTTCGTGTCCTGTCGCTGAGTTGACCTGGCTTGTTGGCGCCGAAGCGCGAGCGTCCTTCCTTTCTGCGGACCGGCATTGTGGTGTATGTTGGCCAACTCGGCCAGAGAGAAGTCGATTATGGAAGCATTGCTGGTGTTTAAAGTCCAGCGTGGCGGGGCAGAGGCACAAAGACAGGCCAGAAACTCCTGGTGCGTATCGTCGTGAGGTGTAGTGGAGCGAGATTGACAGGCCATAGCGCGTCGGAGAGACGCGACACGCGATCTAGAGTTTGGTCAGATCTCAGCTTCCCTCTCTAGCCGAATCCGAATCCGAACGGAATCATTCCGACGAAATTTACAGACTGCGAGTCCAGCATGTGAGAGATCCTTCTCAGTCGACAAACCACATCCACTTCAACATGGCGGCAACGACAGATAGAGCACGCTTCTATCTGGAGCAGTACGTACCCGAATTACAAGAATGGTCGCAGAAAGGCATCTTCTCCCGCGAGGAGATCACCTCCATCACCAAGAAAAGAAGTGATTTCGAACACATCCTCAACGCTCGCGGCTCGACACCAGCCGACTACGCACGCTATGCCACCTACGAAATGAACCTGGATGCGCTACGGAAAAAACGCTCTAAGAGACTCGGGGCGAAAGCGACGGCATTCGGAGGACAGTCCGCACAACGAACCGTCTTTTTCGTCCTAGATCGCGCGACGAAGAAGTTTCCGGGCGATATGGGCCTCTGGATGCAGTACATCTCCTTCTGCAAGAAAGAGAAGGCTGGCAAAAAGCTTGGTAAGGTCTTCACGGCTGTGCTGAGATTACATCCGCGTGATTGGGGCCTTTGGATTCTTGCCGCAAAGCATTATGCCGAGACACAGGGTGATATGGGAACTGCAAGGAGTTATTTGCAGAGAGGACTGAGGTTCAATATGGATGAAGAGAGGCTGTGGTGCGAATATATCAAGCTGGAAATGGTTTATTTGGCGAAGATTGCGGCGAGGAAGAAGATTCTGGGATTGGACGAGAAGAAGGATGAGGAGAGAGATAAGCCGCGGGAAGACCAGATGGACGATGAGGATATGATCGCTCTACCTGCTGTGACTGCGGAAGATTTTGAGCCGGACGCGGGCAAGGGTGTGGAGGAGGTGGACGAGGACATGCTGAAGCGACTGGACAGCGTACCTGCATTCACCGGAGGCATACCGATGGCTTTATTCGACGCAGCAATGAAGCAGTTCGGTCAAAACGCACCGGAGGTCGCCGAAAGTATCTTCGATTTGGTCGCATCATTCAACCATGTTCCGGCTACTCCAAATATCCTACAACACATCCTGGAATATCTGCAGAACGCACCGCAAGCCTTCGCATGCGAAGCCAAGCGCGAACTCCTCAACGTTGACTCCAATTCGCCCGACTTTCCTATAGCCCTTGGCAAGACACTTGCTCACCTCAAGCGCGGTCTGTCTAAAGTCGACGAGAAGCAGCGGTCCAAGCTTGCTGAGAAGGCTGTATTATTGTTACTCCCTCTTGCGGCAGGTACGGATGTCGGTAAGCGAGTTGATGATGCAGATGTCCAGAAAGCTATTGAAGCAAGCATGAAGAAGTATGCCAAGATATGGGGCGAGGCAGCTGCGAAACCCGGCAAGAAAGCGACTGGTCCGATGGCGCTTGCTGAGAAGAAGCGAAAGGAAGGCTTGGACCACGAGGCATATATTATCGACAGATTGGTATCCGGAAAGCGGCCGATTTGAATAAGATGATGTGCTCGCTCGAAAGCATACATTGCCGCCGCGAGTCCATTCAGCGCATCCACTCCATGCGGTCCCTTGCATTGGACAGAACCTCGCCCACCAGCCACACATCCACTTGCGCAGGGTACAAGAGCCGCAGTAGCGAGGATCGTCGACTTTGTGGGGTATTCATACAAGTAGCGATCATCCTCATGCCCTGGAGTTGGATACCGAGCCTGGCGTCGAGATGAACTGTGTCGAAATATCCTCTCAATGGCTCACACAGCGTCGCCGTGTCACGAGATGTTCGAGGGACTCGGCCCACGACCACAGTTGAAATTCGACGCATTGATAATATCAGGACGCTCGCTCTGCTACAGATTACGGATGCGGCAATTCATGCGGCATGGATTTCCTGAACGTTAAACATACCGGCGTCGACTATTGATACCGCCCAATGCTTTCCGCATTTTTGCTTTTGGTGCCTGATCTCTGTAGAGGCTAAGTTTTGCATCGCGAGTCCGATGGAAGCGACCCTGTTGAGCACTTACAGCTCCACCTCGGCTTTGGAGTCGGCAGGCGTTTCTCGTACACGATAGACCAGCTTGTTTGCGCTGACCTTCTCATTCTTCATGTCCTCCATGCCCTGGAGCGCACCCTCGAGACCGCTTGGTCCAACCTTTTCTGGATGAGTCTTCAGCTTGCCCTCCGACAGAAGCTTCTCAGTGATACCGAAGAACTCCTTTGCGAATTCAAAATCTTCAGACACAGCGGGTGTCTCTCGACCAGCTTTCGTGAATGCATCGTTGAAGATGGTGTACATGAAAGTGAAAGTGGTGTCCGCATTCTTGTTCGGGAGCTTGACCGGCAAAATCGTGCCATATTTGACTGTGCCGTCGCCGGAGCCCAGAGCTTCATCGCAGATCTTGGCAGAAGCTTCCAGGGAAATGGTGTCCCAAATGAGGCGGAGAGAGTTGTTGGTGTCCTGATTGATCTTCTTGCCGCACTCTGGGTCTTTGTAGTTGTAGACGGCGTCGGCACCGAGTAATTTGACGAAATCATTGTTATGTGGCGAACATGTGGTGAGGACCCGGTAGCCTGCGAGCTTGGCGTATTGGATTGCCAGAGATCCTGTTGCGGAAGAGCCACCCTACACGATGTTAGCAGACTTCGCCATGTGAAGATAATGACTTACATAGATAAGGACTGGCTCAGGAGTCTTGATTGGCTTTGTGGGCAGATTGAGCTTCAAAGCCTTCTGAAACAACCCTTGACCAACCGTCGACACTCCAAGTGGAAATGTCGAAGCAGCCTCAAACGAAAGACTGTCTGGGAGCTTGACTAGCAAATCGCCCTTGGCAACGCAGTACTCAGCGAAGCAACCATCCTCAGGCTGGGAGTAATTGGCCCCGTGAGTAGTTCCAGCTACTCGATCTCCCGCCTTGAGGGACTTGGTCACTTCTGGCCCGACCTTAACGACAGTACCGGCAAAGTCGCAGCCAGAAATGCCGTCTGAGGCCGCTCGCTTGCCCTGGATATGTTTCCAATCGGTCGGGTTGAGCGCAATTGAGTCGACTTTGCAGAGCACATAGGTCGTTCTGACTTTGGGGACGCTCGTGCTCGCTACGCGTGCTTTGTTGCCGTTGACGAGGATGGCTCTCATGGTGGAGGGGACTGAGGAAGCCATTGCCGCGGTGATTGGGTCAAGTGGCCGTGGATAAGTTGTCTTTCCAATGCTTGAGGATGACGCTTGGTGTGATAAATCGCGCCAGGAGGTGTTTGACTGTCTCAGACGCTGGTTGATGTTGAGGAAGGTGGTTTATACGTTGAGGTGAAATGAGGAGGTGAAGTCATTGTATGACGAAAGGCCGCCGAGCTATCTCCGTTGATTTACAATCCTGCCTGAAAGTTCAGGCAACAAGTAGCCCAAAGTGGCTGACCTCACCTGCTTACGGCTCTCATAGTCTGGAACACTTATTTCTGAGCATCGAACGATGATCATCATTAGAATGGCCAGAACTTCGTGATTCGGCATGGGTGCAAGCAAATCTTCGAAAGGTCATCAAGATTTTGTGGAAAGACTTGAAATTCGAGGAGAATTCCCATGGACTTGAAAATATCTTCCGATGATTGGAAGAATATACACCGGGTGAGTTCTCATCTCAACAAATCGTCTCTACAAAAGCACTCTAAAAACGAAGACATAAGCTTGTCCATTGAGGTAGCGCTGGTGCCGGGAGCACGCATTTGCGACCTGTATCCTTGCGCACGCTGTGTGCAGGGAAGAAACCCTCCATTTTCTGCCGCGTGCAAGCTTGCCATCTTTCACCTAATACCATGGCGCCACTCTTCGAGGTCAGACAGACAGACGGAAAAGGCTATGGCGTCTTCGCCAAGAAGCTGATACGTCCAAACACCATCATCATCGACGAGCAGCCCATCATGACCGCGAAGCCGACCACCGAGCAGCCAGCGGTCGTAGACGCAAGTATCGAAGCGGCGTTCAAGAGGCTCAGCAAGAAGGATCGAGACCGAGTTCTCGAATTATGCTGGACAGTTCGCTTTGGTCGCCCTGTGATCCAATCGACCACACTTCCACAGCGCCAAAACCGTGCGTGCGAGCACTGCACAGAGATCGTTCTAAGGTTCCAATCAATCTCAAGTCCATTCCCGAACCTCGGTGTACTATCGTCCTCTGTACGCCAATATCTCGGTTTCTCCGCAGCACCATGTATCTTTGTTAAGTCTCCTACCATCTTCCACAGCATCTTTTGTTGGAGTACGAGCATGCAAAAGGAACATCCGGACCACAGTAAAGCGCTGAGTCGTAACGCCGATCCGGTATATGCAATGCTAGCAGGACCGATTGCTCAAGTTAAGAGACTTTAGAGATTGGAACCCGCGCAGAAGAAAAGGTTTCTACCAAGAATATCCGGACCATATCTACTGTTGATGGGCACGATTCGGCGGCTGCTTCTCGTCCCTTGCTGAACACTGTATTCAGTGTCGTAAGAAGAAATCCTTGTCTCTTGAACCGATTTCAAGTCGACTGCTCGATCTATCAGCCGTCCACCGTCGGTCGACTGGAGTCTGCGTGACTGCTTTGTTTGCTGTAATGGTGTGGGCGTGCAAAGATGATGACAGTCAGAGGGCGAACCCCGTCTTCGAAGCGTGTGGTATGTGCCACGATCTTTCGCGCAATCGTTCGCTGGCCACCAGCAGATTTGTTCCATCAGGAGAGGCTAGAAGCTACACATCGAGCCCTTGATACGATGGATATGACCGTCAAACTGCTTTCGAATGCCGACGCGGATGACTGCCAGCGAGATCTGCCAGCAGTGGTGGAGCATGATCTGTCGTGCCTGAGTGCTTCAAGTATCTGACCTTCGCGTCGACCTCTGTGTTTTGGTCGCCCTGTTCTGTCGAGCGTCGTTCGACTTCTGATCAACCTGAAAGACCCGGAAGCGGGTACAAAGTCCAGAATGCTACTCAAGCCAATGTTGCTCTTTGGCTATGGCCTGTTGTATACCAATGCCAAGCCACTGTCCGACATATTCGATGTCTGCATGGACCAAAAGCTTAGCAGCAGCTGCCACAAGATCTTCGAAACCAATCCGAAGAAAGAGGCAAAGCCTTTGAACACTGCTTGGGAGCATATCGAAGCAATGAACGAGGCTGCCGTCAAAGCGCTCGGGAAGGATAGCTACGAAGGCGACGAGGAGATTCGTCGACTGGCGACCAGGTTCTTTGGCATCAAGCCTAAGAGAACGACGGTTGGCAAGCCGCCGAGAGCGGTTGTGAAAGAAGAGCTCCCAGACTCCGGATCTCTCGATAGCTCGAAGATGCATCGAGTTGAATGTAGGTAGGTCCGGAGTCAATCGTCCCCAGTGGAGGTTGCTGATTTCGTTCTTCCAGTCTTCTTCAACAAAATGAAGGACCTTATTAACGGAGAAGCCATCGACAAGTCTGGACACTATGAGAAGAAGGTTTCCCTCGCATGCGACAGCGATTACATGGACGTCCAGCGTGAAACGGAGATGCTCGAGTCTGAGATCGGCCAAATGATCCGACAACCCGGAACTCATGGCAATGGCATGACTCTACAAGCGTGGCTCAAGAGCTTCAAGCAGGAGAAGGTCTCTAAGGACTCAGTATGGATGAAGAGCTTGAGCCCAGAATTAAGCTATTTCCCCATTAGCGAAACGCGACACCCGACGGACTTGAACGGCCTCCCTTTCCCACGAGACAAGAATGGCATTAGTCATATCTGTCAGCTGCCAATAAATGCAGTTACTATGAGTACGACCGACTACATCTTCGAGGCAGCAAAAGATGGTACTTACAAAGGCGAAGAGGAGAAACATCACGCCAGATTGATCTTATGTCCACGAGCAATCCAGGGAAGTAAAAGGATGGCCGGTATCGAGAAGGATTTGCTGCCTAATGGAGAGCAATCCAAAAACACCATGCTGGAGAGTCTCGGCACAGGTACTTTGGCATTCTACCACGAGCTTTGGCATCTGCAGGCCATGATGAATAGGGATCCTCGGTATGGCCAGTTTCCGGATTCGGATGTGCACTGGGCAAAGTGCGATAGAGATGGAAAAGACCAATGCAAGAAGCTAACAAAGAAGTAAGTGCCTGCATCTGAGAATTAGACAGGGCATATTTACTGACCTTTCAACTTTGCTCGCCTAGCTGGTGGCTAAAGAAGACCGGCTTCACTGACCGAGATGTGCTGAATCCCGAGGGCCATATGGGCAGTGCTGGCTCCACCTCCAGTTCGAGTTCTGAGGGAAAGTCGAGCGCTCTCGGCGCCATGGCTGCAACGTGAGTGATGCGAGAGCTCCGCAGTTGACACCTTACAGAAGCTGACACCTGTCGCAGATATCTATCGTTATACGACATGGCCCAGCCGGTGAGCCAGGAGCTCCGGCCGCTGCCTCAAAGCGCGAAGCAAGGCATGGGCCAAGCGGGATTGTTCAATCCAGACAACTATGTGTGGTTCGCATATGCCGTGTATCTGCACGCGAAGCGTCCTTCAGATCACTGGTCGAGCGGGTACTGTAAGAAGAGACCGGAAACGTTCGAGGAGAGCATGACGCCGATCACGGGTCAGTGGCAGTTCAGATTCCCATAATCTCTGTCTCTCGAAGCCCCATTATGCGGAGGATAGATATGGCTGCCGCTGCAGAATTGATGCAGGCGTGAGTTGATGCCCACGGCGAGGATTCCCTTTTGAGCCTGGAGGTTGTACTGGTAGATGTGCGTGCAAATTGAAAGTACTTCGGAAGCTTGCTGCCCACGCCACCTCCTACCCACCTTCCCTATCATTCTACTATAGTAGAAATTGGAGATTTTCTCACCACGTCGGAACTCTGCACTCTCGACGAGCCTTTCTAAGCTTGACTCCTGTGCATTACAATGCAAGATCAACCACCAAACTCATCTCCTATCGTGCTGCCCCGATGCTTATCGGCCATATTCTAATGTTCATTCCCGTCTTGTGTCCATCTTCGCTGTGTTCGTCTCGGTGAATTGGAACCTCTGCAACTCGGTATAAACCATGTCGAGGTTTTCCTCCAGGGTTGCAAGGTCCCGTTTTGCCTCGCCGATGCGGCCTGCTGTGTTGTTCTTGAGCTTGAGGATCCAGCCACGGTCCGAATCTCCGCATTGCTCCATGTACCCATAGGTTTCATCGAGACACGGCAACGCCTCTTCGTTGACATTGATATAGTGCTTGATGATGTCGATAAGGGCAAAGGTGGAACCCACCCAGAGCTTCTATAACACCTGTTAGTCAACGACGTCTACTGTCGCTCGCACGGAAGGTCGATACAGACCATGTACTCGGACCGCGCTTCAGCTGTGGCCGACTCGTCTCGTTGATCTCTTAGCCAGTCTAGCGGCTCGTACCTGCCTTTGACATGGACATCCTTTCTGAAGAATTCCAGCTGCAGTGTTGCCGTGGAGCGAACGTGTTCGAACCGGTCTTCGTACTTCGTGGCGAGATCGGTCCAGAGGGTCATGATGGCCTGGCCATCGAGTGGCGAGTCTTACATGTTAGCGCCGACAGACTGGGAAAAGCTCGGATTCAGAAAGCGTCCATACCGGCAGCCGTCTTGGCTTTTTTGTGCTGAAGCTGCATGTCTCCAGAGTTGTCGCTGTATCGCTTTGCTGCACGCGAAGAAGAGGTTTCCGCCATTGTGAAACGTCAATGGAAGGTCACCAGCCAGAGGCTCGCGATGATCTGGCGATTTGTTTTTGTCGATACGCTGAGTGGTGTTGGAAATCGAGTTGGACGTGTCGAGTGAAAGGCCACGAGCCGGAGGCTCGCGAGGTGGAGAGGCGGCGGCCATTGCGGCGCATGTGACAATGAGAACTCATGGTATATGCTCATGGAAGTGAAGCCAACATCGGCAGCAAAGCCTGCCAAGCACATTTATCCCACGACTTTTGCCACCAGGTGTCTGTTTGTCGGCCACCCGTGGTCTACATTCTCCACTGTGGTCTACATTCACAACACCTCACCACCTCACGCCGACACTCTGTGGCGGACTTACAACCCTCACATCCACATATTACAGTCTGATTCTCAACCTCGCTCCGACATGGCGAGTCGTGCGCCCGCCGGTCGTCATTCCGATCCGGAACAGCTGGATCTCGTTGGCAAAGTCACGAGAGACGGGGTGCTGCACTTTGCGGCGAGGACCAATGCACATGTAGCGAAGGCGCTGTGCATGAGTCCGTCAGCCAATGAGAGTTCCACGGCGCTGTATGAGCACGCTGTTGAGGCACTCGAGGCTCATCTAGAGTATATTACATGAAGCGGAACAACCAGGGTATTGTGAGATTCGACAACATGTGCCCAATGCTCAAGGACAGGAATGTCGACTGTCAATATTCGGTCATACTGGTAGATGTGCATTTGGAGCCCAGCTCTTCAATGGAGTTTTCCACACAGAGACTACACTCCAGTATGGGCTAGAGCTGGTCAAAGCCGATAGCGATGGGAAGGGCGGGCGACACCATCACATGCCGTCAACAAGCGCACACCAGCGATCAGCCGCAGTCTCTGCTTTCTCGTCCGAGGCCTTCCGTCTTCTCGCTGCGTACAACCGGATGTCTCCACGAGCGACGACAGTCCAAAAGATGGGACTCTCCGCATGAATTATTATCTTCATGAAAGAAGAGTGTCCCCCCACCGCCATCGCCAACTTTGCGAGTCATGCACACATCGCGACCAAAAACATACTGGAGTGCATCATTGGGCTCCCGGATTGTGCGTCTGTCGTCGTATGTATAATTACATTTCGCTGACATATATTAGTGTTAGGAGCACCCATAACTCAGAGAGCGTTCGATCGCTCTATCAAAGCGGTCAGCATGGCGCTGCGAGCCATGCATCCCGTCCCTTCTCTCCTCACTACCAACAGAGGTGGCACCAGGCCACGCCGCACCGCTCGTCGTCCCGGCCGCCGCTCTCGCACCCCGTCCATGGCCGAGGATGCCGCTGCCCTTCTCGCCGCATACCTCCGCCGATTGGAGGATGTGCTTGTGCGTCACAACTACCTCTCCAACAATCACGCCTCAATCGACGACAGGGTCGATATGTGTCTCGCGGTCATGGCACGGGTTCTGGCATGAGGACCGGGAGGGATGGGTTATGTTGTCGGACGAATTCTATTGTAATGTGTGTGAATTTACCAGAGAACGGAACATTTGCTTCGGCAGAGGAGATGGCGCATCGAGTGCCATACTACTATAAGCAACAGCAGCGGAGTACAGCATCGTCGCCTCACCATTCTGTGTTCAACACAACAAGGAAGCTATAAGCGCACACAACGACAGCGATTCCACCAAGGTCCTCAAACGTTCGCAATCCATTGATGGTCGCTTCTTCGATAATGGGCAGACTTGGACCGACGAATTTGAAAAGGATTTGCTTGGTACGTGCCTTCGTCCACGACAGGAGATGTCTACCTACAAACACCAACCTGGAAGATCCCTGTCCTGTCTTAGAGCCGCGGTGTCTTGGGCAACCCGCTTTCCTCTCGACGTGCCAAGGCTAGCAAGATGGCGCACCCACTTCGCGCCTACAACTCGAGGCTTCGAGAGGCACTACGTGGCTATGTTGCCTAGACTGGCTCGCTGCAGGCCCAGCCGGAGGAGCGTGATCGCCAGGTGAGGGTCTTGAGGCGTACAGTCGCGCAGCTGCTCGATACGGTCGGATGTGCGGTAGGAGCAGAGCAGGACTGGACGGAGGAGGAGCCAGAGCTGGATGGGCGAGACGTCGAGAGTGGAGGCGAGTGCAGTACTATTGGATGACGGATGCGTGTTTCAGTTGGTGAGCGTGAAGTGTATTGCCAAGATTGCACGTGCTCGCCTCTGTGTCATGTGATGTCATTGATGGTCTTCACGCACTGAGCCGAGTGCAAGTTCTTATCTCACAGTTATTTCCCTCTGATCTCAAGACCACTCTCTCACTCCTCCAACAACACCGTCGATCAAGGGCGCGCGCCGCGCAGCATTCGACTTGTCAATTGGCGCTCTTCTTACTCGACAACCTTCAACTCGGCGCACGACGAGTTTCTTGCTCGTCTACAACCTCACCAGCCCGCCGCTAACCCGCCGCTGATGAGTTTCACGCTCGTCTGAAACACTTGCCCCCATCACGATCGTCAAGAGCCCAGAAGAGCAAGCTCAACAGAACCTTAAGATTCGAAACTTCCAATGGACAGGTTTTAAACGCGCTCAGTTGAAAGCACATTGCATAAAACCTGGCCTCACACTGCGTCAAGGAGAGACAAGCGTGAGATGGCGCAGGAATTGGAGGATCATCATCGGACGAGCCAGACTGGAGGTGCCGGCAGCAACAACACTACAAATTGCAGCAAGAGCACCGTGGTCGACCTACTAACCCAACAACACGCTGGGGACAGTAACGCAACAAAAGCCGCCATGGAAGCCCCTACATCTGCGCGCTCAAAGACCAATGTCGCAGGAGTCAGCTCGTCCACGCCGCGGGTGAAAGCTCTGCAGTCCAACATGGCACAGACGTTCGCCGCTGCACAGCGATTTCATCAGGCGCAACAGACGACGAGAGATGCGCCCCGTGCATCTGAAAACCTTTCGAACAAATCCTCTACCCCTGAGTTCGAGCGACCCGCCGCCCAGCAAGTCCGCTCGACGACTGAGGGCCCGTCATTCGCCACGGCGAGCTCAGTCGATCCGCAAGGCACGCTGCATGTCGACCATTTCACGGGCGCACAAGACACTCTACCAGCGCACCAGACGCAATTCGCCGCGGCGAGCCCGGTCGACCCGCAAGGCACACGGGATGTCGACCATTCGACGATGGGCTCATCAGAAACGTCACCAGCGCAACTGAAGCTACCCGCCGCGGACAATTTACCCGTCACACCCGACGTCGACCACTACAGTGATCGCATGGTCACCAAACCACCTGTCATAACTCTGTCGGATGCAACCATTCAATATCTTCGAAGGAGCGAGAGTTATCGTATTGAGAGATCGCATCTCATACACTACACAAGCAATACCCATTTATCTCGTGCAAGTGACGGAAGAGAGCTTATGGCGATCCGGGATGTCTTGCGCAACCGCGCCAGGGTCACCCCAGCCGGCACGAAACGAGAGCAGTATGAGCAGGTTGCAAACGAGATCGATGACATTCTCGCACGGCTTCCCAGGTGGCAAGACTTCTATCCACAAGTGCCAGAATAGTCATAGCCCTTAGATAGATATCGTAGGCACACAACTCGCAGTCCATGTAAGCTTGGGTCTATTGAAATAGACCATGTATTTCGTGACACGTAGTCGATATCACATGAATGATTAGTAACGCAGCAGATGACTAATACCTGCCAAGCCTTGAGGCAGCAACAATCGCCACGTCGATGTCTCTTCGCCGGCACACCAACTAGATCACACTCACGCCTGCCGCTCAGTCGCGACACTCTGTCACCCTCCCCTGAGCTACTGGCCTCTGGTTACGTAGCCCGCACAGAGCAAACGACGCATCACACGCGCAGGCCGCAACAAAGGCATCTTGAACAAAGACAAGATCATTCCAGTGCACACGGCGCGACATGGACTTCAACAACAACAACACCTCTGCCTCTGCGAACTACGATGTCCGTATCCGGCAGGCCAAGCCCTCGACGAGCACCAATACAACTCCGTTGCAGCGTGTAACGCCATTCGACTGTGTGGTTTACAGGCACCGAGAGCTACACCCGGGCGATCTCGAGTACGAAGCTGGACGTATTCCCAACGAAAAGCGTGAGCGCGTGTCTCGAGGGACATGAGGTTTCCGTTCACATCGTTCACACCGTGTAACATGGCATCGAAATGGATCTCTCGTAATGCTGGTAGCTTCTGGACAAGCTGGTCGAACATGGTCGCGAGAGACAAGGCCAAGCTAAGGTCAGAGACCTCGCATGTTACTTTTCGAAAAGCATTGAGGGCCTTGTACGTGTGTGTAGGATTGTATTGACCGAATTCCAGACGAAGGGTCTGTGTATTTCGGAGTCGGTCTCGATTCCACAGAAGAAGCTCCATCGTCTTGCAGGCGGCTGTTATGGCACGTTTCGGTTTGCGCAAAGGAGGCAGGCGGACCCTGACCACTGTGAAGACGGCGTCTTGTACTATACGATGACCGGTAACATCATCGTTGTGTTGCTTGCAGGAGAGTCGCCAGTTTCCCAATGCTATTGGACTTGAGTGTGCGAGAGCAAGAGCAATTCCTTCTCGTAGCTCTATAATGCCCATGAATTTCGTCATAGAGGAGGTCGTGCCATGAGTGCTATCTGGCTTGGTGTATACCATCGTGAGAACAGGAGTGTGGGATCGGAAGTTTGAGTTCGAAATTACGGAGACTGATTGATAGAGTAAGCTCTTCTGGACGGGAGATGACTGTGGTCGAGGTTGTCTGGAGCCGGCGTGGAGCGGATGCCACCCCTCCGCTGCTGATGGGGTCGATGATCTTTCTTGAGCGCCTTCAACTCACCAACAATACTGTCATGCTCAGCCAAAAGCTCGTTATAGCCGTCCACGAGCTGGTTGTGTTCTTCCACATCCTTGTCCTCTTTGGCAGCAAGTCTCTCGTTGGCTTGCAGTAGACGCCTACGGTCAGCTCTTTTCCCTGATAGACCATACACGTCTGCTGCCCTGCGGACTCCCTCACTGCCGCAATCTCGGCGTCCTGAACCTTTTTCGTTAACGACCGTAAGTTGCTCGTTGTGCTTGTATTTCCAGCTCCTGATGGTTTCCTTGTGAGCAGATATTGTTTGCTCAGAACGTTCCTTCTCCGACTCCAAACGCGCATGGAGATCTTTATTAGACTTGCTGAGCTCTTGATTGGACTTTCGAAGATTCGTGTTCTCGGTGTTTGCGTGGTGCGGTCTCACACATTCTGTCTGAATCAGGCCTTCCAGTCGACTGCGGTCGTTTTGGAGCTGTGCCGGCAACGTCTGCGCCTCGTAATGTAGACAGACGACAGACTGGACAACGCCTTCCTCGAAGCCACCAGAAAAGAAGTCGGAGACCTTGCGAGCGAACATCGAAGACTAGAACAGAGCGAACCAGCAGGCACTCCAGTTGCAGCTTCAAGCGCCGAGAACTAAGGCACAAGAGCCAAAAGGGGTACAGAAGAGACAACAATAAGTAAGGTAGTAGAGAGTGGCGTCCGCAAAGAGTTTTCAACATGGCGAGTCGTTCTCGAAAAGGGGGTCAAAGCAAAAGAGCGGATTATTAACGATAAGGAGCGCGATCTCGCTACTTCCTTCTCAGGCACGCTTCGTGACTTCCTTCTTCCACACCACCTCTACGCGAACAGAAGGCGCAACTACGTCAGCACTAATCACAATGCGCCTTCTGTTTCGTATCGAGATCACACCAACGACATCACACCAACGACATCACTTGCACGTCTTTCCTCTTCACCTTACAACTCTTCCAGTTTTCATCGTCACAAAACCCACCGCAGTGACAGCCTCCTGAACACACCGCGTCAAGCCAATCGCAAACTCCCACACCCAAGTTTCGATTCTGTTTCTACCGTCACCATGTCTCAAGACACAGCCTTCACTAAAACTTTCAACGGACGATTGCAGGCTCAGCGTATCATGACAGAGTTTACTAATACATCCACCACGAATACCAACAATCCAATCTCAGATACTATCGATACAGCGGCGCCAGACGCCGTCACCGTTCCCGACATGAGAGACAACTTCTCTGATGAGTTCAATGAGCTCCGCCAGGCTGCTCTTCAGAATCTCGACAATGGCAATTTCAATGCAGTCAAGTCCATTCGAGGTATGCTTCGATTCTTCTATCCGTCATCTGTATGCTCACTGATGTCCCGTAGATCATGTAGCCCAAATTGCAAAGCAGATGATGCAGTCAGACGATGGACTCGACAACCTCTTATCGAAGCCGCCAGGAAAGAAGTCGACGACCTGCGAACCGCCATCAAAGACCAACAAATGGCAAACAGACAGACATGCCAGCTTCAACATCAAGTACTAAACACCAAGGCGAAGCAGAAGATTAATATCAACAAGCGACGACAACAGGCAGTAGAAAGTGGCCTGCGCAAAGACTTCTCAACACTTCGAGTTGTTCTCGAGAAGAGAATCGAATCGAAGATACGCAGTATCAAATAGATGGAACGTGACATTGCTGAGAATGCCAAAGAACGACACATCATGTCGACAGAAGCAGCAGAATTGCGTAATCAAATCTCCACTCTGCAGGAGGAACTGCAAGACGCCTTGCAAAAGCACGAACATACCATCGATGATCAACAAAAAAGACATGATGAAGCCGTTCGCAGTGTAAGTTCATACCTTCTAGTAGTGGTCCCTCCAGCGAGATTATCGAGATGGATGCAACGGCTAACACATATGATTGACAGATCCGTGTCGAGTTGGAGCAGAGATGCACCAACAAGCAGAAAGAGCTGACAGATTTGCAAGACTCGGTTCAGAATTTGTCAAATAAGCAGATCGAACTTGAGAATCTTCTCAAAGGTGCCCAAAAGAGGGTAGCAGAGCTGGAGAAAGAACACAAATCGGATCTGAGTGCTCTTCAAGCGTCGGCGAATACCAACACGCGTAATCTTCAACGCCTGCAGCAGACAAGTACCGAAATGTTCCACACAAAACGACAGAACAGCCATCTTGAAGGTCGGCTATCAGAATTACAAGGGCAGTATGACACACAGGAGCAGGCGTTAAGAAAATCCAATGATCGGAATCAGCATTTGGAAAACGAGAATGTTGCCAATTCAGAGGAAATCCAAACGATGCAAGCGCAAAAGTCTGAGGCCGAGATGCAAGTCAAAATCTTGAGTAAAGACTTGGATACACGAACACGAAGCGAGCAAGCCTTGTACAACAACAATACACAACTACAACATCAACAGCGTCGGGCCGAGCAAAAGACTCACAGCTTGATTGTCGTCTTGCAGAGCTACACCAAGCAAAACAATTCCCTAGATGCTCAGTTGCACCAGGAGACAAAGCGGCTCATAGGCGCCCGCATCCTCCTCCGACAGACACAGGATCAGCTACGAATCGAGCAACGACACCACCAAAAAGCGATAGAGCACCAAGAGCGCAGAGATGTAGTAGGCCGCGCTACCCGCTCTCTTCTATTAACCCAAGCAGAACAGCAACACCAAGCGGCCATCAAGACGATCAACGAACTGGAACAGAGCATCGAGGGCCTTCGTGCCGCCAAAGAAAATCTGGAGAAGGAACACGAAGCACGGCGTCTGCTCTTGATGCCGCGAGAACTGCCCAGCGGCAAATTGCCGACGATCTGGAGTCGGAGCAAGCCGCACATAGGCAAACCACAACGGCACTGTCGTTCGAGAGGGGGCAACGTGGCGCCACGTGTCGGAGTATTATGGGTTTGCATTCCCGTCTGGGGCGCGAATCTGCATCGCATGCATACACCAGCACCGCTCTCCGACGTCAAAAAGAGGAGCATAGAGCAACAACAAATGCTCTCGAGGCTGCGACAACAGCGCAACGGCAGACCGCCGAGCACTTGGCGTCCGAACGAGCAGCCCACGAGCAGACGGCATATGTGCTGTCTGTCGAACAGGAGCAGTACAACGCGTCACGTCGAAGTGTCATGGATTTGGAAACCCACTTGCAGGATGAGGCTACATCTCATACAGAAACACGCACGGCTCTTCGACAGGAACAGGACGACCACGCATCATATCTCCGTACATCCGCCCACGACCATACCATCGTCATGGCGGACCTCCAAGATGCCCGCCAGGAATATTCCACAGAGTGTGCAGAGCATGCCACTTCGGTCGACGCCCTCTGGCGAGAGAAGGCCGCCCATGGCAGGACGTACCGCGAGCTCAAGAAAGCTCATTCCCAGCACGACGACTTGGGTAGTATATTCGTATACGAGCAAGCCGCTCATCGCTTTACGTCGAAGCAAGGAGAACAACGACTAGAGTGCGCTCAGGAAAGGCTCGCGCAAGAAACGCGCGTGCATGCCGCGGCCCGTCAAAAACTGTCAGATGAAGAATCTGCACATGCAAAGACTTCAAACCCTCGCAGACGATCTGGGTCAGGAAAAGGACGACCATGCAGCTACTCAAAAGCGATTATGTCAGGAACAGGATGACCATGCCAACACGCGCAAGCGACTATGTCTCAAGACTGCGCAACTTGAAACACAAACAGCTATCGGAACAGCAGGCGAGGAACGAGACCCTCGAACAGAATGTGCTCGATGCCCAAGCCGACCATAGCGCCACTTCCATCGCTCTTGATCAGCAGACTGCGGCCTGTGCAAAGACTTAGTGCTGATTCGGATATGTCCAAAGTACTACATATTTACAAGACCCTAGAGTCGGGAGCGTGACAGTCCTCACGTCTCTGAGTGGTTTCTAACCTGTAACCGATGCCGGCCGGCGATCTCTCTCGACTCGTAAGGCCATAGAGCAGTCCGGTAGGCGCCTACGGCCTGCTGGTCTCTGCGGTCATAGTTACCTGTGGGCAGCAAGCCAGTCGGGCTGCCCTACACGACACCCTACGCGAGAGGCCGATTCGTATGCAAGTCGGCAAAGTCGCGTCACACGCCACACCGAACAGCACGATGGTCATCTCGGCAGTCAGACAGGCAGGGGCAGATGGGCTGGACTTCATCACCACGGATGGTGCCATCATCGATGCAGTATACATTGCGAGCGAGCTGCACGGAATCCGACTCCTTCGCCGTTACCGCGACATATCGTCATCGTCATACGTCGGACGAGATGATACTGTTTTCAAGAACATGATTGCTGGGGACATGACCGCGGCCTTGATTGGAAGCAATCCCCGTATGCTTCACAAGGAGCAAGAGGTCCGCAGACAGGTTGCTGAGCATTTGGACAGGCCTTCATCAGAGCTGTAATGTACGGAATGGAAAGAGAAGATAGACAATGGGACGCTTAATGTGTGATTAGACTTGGTGGACACAGACTCCACCGCTGCCGACCGATCCACGGGATTCCATATTTACAGTTTGTCGCGCGATAATGACAAAACATCACGCACAATGGCAGTGTACAATGTACCCCTTGCCGTCTTTATTCTTTGCGTCTCGCAGAATACCACTAGCTTCTGAACTTCAACCTAACCTCTCGAGACGACCTAGTGATCTTGTTCTGACTTACACGATGTAGCTGGTCTGCTTAATGCTACGTTGGCTGGTGGCTCTAATAAGCAATAATTAGAGTATGGCGACGATGCGGATGTTAATTGAATGAACGAGCACGATGTGGTGAGCACGATGTAGTGAGCACGATGTAGTGTTGTACCCGAGGAACTACACGCGATTGGGTCGAACACGAGACGGCACAGACATAGCGACGGGATAGGCTGTGGAAGATCGTACCAACACACAAAAGCCTCTGTCTAGCTAATTGCCATGCCTGATGGTGTTGTAGATGAACGTGTACTAATGCTAGTGCCTTCCATCGGCCCATCGTCGGGCTAAGTCACACCTTCTTTTTTGGATGGAGATTGCTGACTGGGCTAGCATACTGCTCATGCGGACTCTCTAGCCGCCCATCGTCATCCCTGGAGCAATAGAGGCTCTTCTAACAGCTCGCCATCTGCCATCCATCCAAGACTCAAGAGCATAAACACCATGGCCGAGCCAGATCAAGGTTAGTCGTCTGAGGTTGCGTAGACGTCACCGATAACTGACACCCTCGGAGGCATCACGTTCAAGGTCTTCGACGTCGTAGAACTGCTGGAGAAGATCCTGCTGGGCATACCGGCTAGTACGATCTTAACTGAAGCGCTACCCACCTGTCGACAGTTCAAGACGACAATCGACAGATCGATCAAGCTACAGAGGGAGTTGTTCTTTATACGAGACGCCTCGGTCGGTGAGCAGTATGCAGTGGATGTTCAACGGTGCGCCGTCATTCGCGTGTCGAGAGAGACAGAGCAGTTCGTCAAGGATCAACATCTGCATGTGACGGCGGTGAAGCCGAACGGATTGCTCTACAACATGCTGCCCCTGCTCGACCCAGTGGAGCGCGCAGAGGAGAGTCTGGTGGTTGCAGATTTCCAATCGCTCTCCATTCCTCGTCGTAGCAAACTCCAAGCCCCGAGCTACTGCCGCATGTACATCACTCAGCCGCCCATTGTCAAAGCGCAGGTCACTATCCATTCCAAGAAGAAGGCCTACCTGTCACTCGTGACCTCGATGAGTCCAGCGGCATTCTCTTCGGACACATCTGCGATATTACTGCCTCTCCAGAGAACATCGACTGGGGTCGTAGTCGCATTCTGCTCTTCGATTGCTGGATGTTGGATGCTATAGAAGAGGAGATCATACATCAGACTGGCAAGAAGCGTTGGCAGCGACCTCGTAGAGTTCGTGTCGCGAGATGTAATGTCCATGTTCCGTGATGAAGCGGACGCCTTCCAGACCCGGCGGCCCACAGTATGCCACCCATCTCGTGGGGCGTGAGCGCCACCGCCATTTTCACGTCTGCTCCTTCTTAAATCTTTCTCCTTATCTCAGAGGTCGGAATTTGTTGGGCTGTCACGAGAACCGTCTCTTTGACCAGCTCTTTCCTCGCCCTATCCTCCGCCATGTCTGCAGTCCCCGGGGTCAATATATGCTTATCACACAGTCAACACTTTACTTACTAGTGAGCGCACTGAGCGGAAAGTCCTGCGTGATTTGGTGGGTGACGACTTAGAAAGTCGGTTGTGGAGTGGAGTAGGAAGAAGCTAGAAGAAGCTGAAAGCTCTTGCAGAGATGAATTTAGTTCGGGTGCCAAGAGTGCACGGACTGCCGTATCACATGCCGGGTTACAGACAACGTCGTTTGACTTATCAAACTCACGGCCCGCGTAGGCGAGGCACGTGCAGTAGGCTTCTTCAATCTCGCACCGTATTAAAACCCGCTATACTCCAGGCGTCTCAAAGCATATAGTTCCATACGAGACAATAGAAATATATCCGCGTGAATAATACAACCCGGCATCGCTACGATCAATTACGTACGATACTCTTATTACGTAGATAATATTTTCTTCGAGCCGTCGTTGTCTCTTAAGCTCCGATACCCGTGTCGGACAATTACACCGGTATATCGTGTTTGGCCAAGTCCATCCTTATTCCCGTTGCCTCGCTTTTCTCGAGGACCACCTTTCCGACAAGACCTCATGTGCTTCGCTAAGCGAAAGAGGCAGTAGTGCTGGTATACTAATCGTGTGTAGCGAATCGCATTGCATATGCCTGCTAAATAAGCCCTGCAAAGCTCGTTTGACGTATATTCACTATACCGAATAGTGTGGACAGCAATCCTGACATTCAGTTCTCCTTTCCATGACCACAGCGCGCGAACACTGGCAGAGACGTACGTCTCATTCTCGTCTGCAATGTAGCGACCAAGCTGATCTGCCCCGCTGGTCGTGGCTGGCAGAGGTAGCCAGCCATATCTCTCCGTCGTGAGCAACAAAGCATGGTCGGCGTTGGTTGAAGCATCTCAGGCAGGTGTAAAATCTGGAGTGTTGACTGTCTATCGCGTGTTTCCCATCTTCTTGATCTTCAACGTCAGACATTGCTTCAACGACGGCTTGGCCACATACTCCGCCACGATATCCGAGATATGTGTCAGATGCCCATAGTTGGACCACCCCTGTGGCCAAATCTCCTCCCATTCGCGGCTCTGAGAGGCCACCAGAGATATGATTTTCTGAGGAAGGCTTGCGCCTTCGATCAAACGAGCCTGTCCATCTGCATCCCATCCATCGAACGCCTTGGAGGCGAAGGGCAGCTGTACCAGGATATGATCGTCGATGTCGAATACCGAGACACTCTCGTCGAGCGGGGCAACATCTTGCATATCGTCTTTGTTATTTATAACAGTACTCTGGGAACCAAGCTGCTGATCTCTCTGGGAATGAAGCGGCCTCTCCAGGTGCTCGATCTGGTCTGCAGCTGGTGTCGAAGATCCGTGATCGTAGTTTCTCCCTTCTTCGTGTGGCTTTCATGCGAACGAAGCTGAGCCCTGAGACCCTCGATCTTCCGATTAGCTTCTTGCTGGGAATCTTCTACGGTCTGCAACTGGCGTTGGAGTCCCGTCATCTTCGTGTGGTCTTCCCGCGAACGAAGCTGAGCCTCGAGTTTCTCGACTTCCCTGTCGGCACTTTGTCTAGCATCCCTGGAACAAGTTAGCGACGTATCGACAAGCGCACGGTGTCGGATACCTCTCGTGCTTCAGTGAGCGGTGCGACTCATCTAACAGCAACTGGATCTTGGCTGCGTGCTCCTGGGCTTCGACAAGGGCTTTGTTGTGGCTCGCATCCTCGCTATTGAGCTTCTGCAAGTCAACAGGACTGGATCTCGGCCGCGTGCTCCATAGCTTTCACCACGGCTTTGCTATGGCTCACAACATCGGTGCGGAGTTCCTGTATCTCAGCCTGCATCTCGGCCTTCTCCTTCTCATATGGTTCAAGAGTGAGGCCTTTGATACTCTCCTCAGCATTTCCGAGTAATGAGTTGAGCCTCGTTCGGACTTGAGTGATCGCAGCGAGTGCGTCATCGTTTCGGGATGGCGAGGAGAGCTGCTGGATTTGATCTTGAACCTGGACGTGCACATTAGAGGATGTATACGCCCGAGATATACAAAACTTACCAATTTGATCTTCTGATCAATGGTGCAACCCAGCTTGCCGATGATATATTGCTCGCGATTCTTAAGGACCACTTGTTTCTCAGAGCTCTTCTTGTGTGCAAGCTGAACCCATCTCAGGGGAGTGTCACACTGGTCATGTTTGGAGAGAACAGCTTGGTAATCGAGCGAAAGTTTGTGGTTGCGGGAGAATGCGTTGCGAATGGGGGGATCGGTATTGTCCCCTGATTTGGAAGAGTCTGTGGACTGCAAGGGTGAGGGTTGCGGAGGAGGCATGGTCTGATTGGAGCGGCACTGAAAGTGCCGCAGAGAATGATAACGTAGGAGAGTCCCAGGAGACAGTCAGGAGACAGTCAGGTTGTGGTGTTGTTTTGGAGAGGACTGGGCATTTCGACATCGAAACCAGAATGTGTGTCGTGCGAGGCGGCAGGCGCGATCGCGGCACAATCCGATGTGGGTGGAAGCCTGGTCCGACTTGATTGACGACCTGGAATGGCATCATATCAACGATACCTACCTTATCAGAAATGGAAGGAACAACCTGAGGCGCCGAGTAGGCAAGGACATTGTGGATGGCCTATCCCTCATCTAGACTAATGGTTCAGCTGCAGCTTGTAATTACGTCTGGAGAGTATTCTATCGTGACCCCCTCGGCACTATGGGAGGACTCTGTGTTGGACAGAACAGCTCTTATGCATCACAGTGCGTGCCCTTACGGTGTGGAGGTAGGTGATCGGGGGCCTGACGCTGAGCCGCCTTCGTCGCCTCCATTCGCTGTTCACACTGTTGGGCGGCGTGCGGAGTACTCGCAGACGTCTCTCACTCTCTTCCTCTGGCTCATCAGCTGGGCTACATTGAGTGCCGGTGAGAGCCTCGCGTTGGGCAGCAGCCTTTGTCGCATCCTCCCACCGATTATACTGTCTCCTCCACCCACCGATCCCAATCTGTCTCCTTCACCCAGTGATCCCGTTGCTGGTTGGCCTCCGCCGTCCTCGCCCATGCCTCCCATATCTCCTCTTCTGGCATGGTGTCCCCTGACTCAATAACCGCAGCTGCTACGGCAGAGGCCTTAGCGACATTGCCGTACGCAACATCTAACATCTGCGAGAGCTCGGACGCCAACGGACCGAGTGTGGGCTCCACAGCCTTGCCTTTTCCTTTACCAATCGCGACTGATAGGGGCGCTGGTGGTGGCATGGCCTCCCAGACACCGGTGTAAGTGTCCAGACGCATGCTACAGCCGGAAAGATTGGGCTTGATCGATCGGATGGCTTGCTGATACTGGGGCGAAGGACTTGGTGGTTTCGTCGGAGAGGCAGAGCTGGAAGCCCACTGTACGGCGGCAAGGGGAGCAACACGGTCGTAGGCCACCGCCAAGTCTCTCCCGCGCTGGCTTGCGGATGGTCAAAGGACACGACAGGCTGCGCGATACTCATCTCCTCCTTCGCCCAGTACTAGACGCTGTCAGCAAACACATTGAATGGGGAGGAAGTGCGGTGATTACCGTGGGAAATTCCAGGTCCTCGGACCCTGCCGCGAGGCGCAGGGCGAGCTGAGATACGAGAGCATCGATTGCTCTGGATTACCGGCATACCCAGACGGATGAGCCGCTGGATGCGGACGCCAACTTGAATGAGAGCTTCCTCGTTGAATGGGAAGCTGACGGCCTTCCTCAGATTATCGAGAAATGCGGTCTAGCTATCTTCGCTTTCAACCAGTAGGTCCAGGTGTTCTTCTTCTTCTTCCAATACGGCTTGGTGTCTTCTGTAGGGCGAAGAAAGAACCAAGTGCCGGCGCCGTAGCCGACATAGAGCGGTGTGTAGAGCTTCTGATTGGATCCAACACTCCAACGGGTCTTGACATCGGCGAGATTGGGATCTGGTTCGAAGCAATTGCGCCAGTCTCCGTGATCAAATTCGACGACAACGAGGGCAAACTGCAAACGACGGGCGATTTCAGAAGCCCCTCGCTCCCCCGGCAGTGGCTCGCGGTCTCGGCCTCCCGGGTGGTACATCTCGCCCGGGAGATCACCGCCGATAACGTCTCCTGTGTAGATGTGCATCATGTCTTGGATGGATGGATGGACATCTGGTTGTTGTCCTCGACCGCCAGCCGAAACTGGCAGACTGCATGGGCAATTGCGTCTTTGGCGTCTGCTCTGGCCTGCCAGTACCATAGCCCCTCCGTTAGGGAGGCGGACGCAAAGTACCGGGCTGTTCGACCGCTGGATAGAGGTGCTCCGTCGGATCGTGGGCCAACTCGGTCTCCGCGGCGCCTTCTACCTCAGGCTGAAATGCCGAGGTGAGAGGGTGATCGCAGTAGTAGAAGTTGCCATACCTTACTCTGGCGACCCTTCTTCGTATCAACTATAATATGCATTAGTGGAGGAAGCGACCCGCAGAATGCAACTGAGCTTACCGCTGATAACCTTGGCGTATCCAACCACAGATGCATTACCCTCCTGCATTGCATGCTCAGGTAAACCCGCTCCAAAGCCTATTGCTGCTGATGAATGGATACGAGAGCTGATGTGTCCTCTGAACTAACTACTCTCCTCCACCAAATTTTCAACGGTATGACCAATCGGCACCGATGCACGAGATGCCGAATTTGAGGAGCCCCGCTAGCTTGCAGGAATGGAATAGATATGGTGGTGGTGGTGGTAGGAGTGCTAGGATGTAGCGCAATCCGTCAGGACAGGGACAGCGGACGATTAGTGAGGAAAGAGCGACCAGTCTTGCGATGAAATCGGTTGTGGTGTTATCATCTTTTCTGCTGAATGTCGGCAGCCTGTGCACACGAGGACATGAAAGCAGTCTGAAACGAGAAACGTCTTCTGTTCATCCTCAACATATGCTTTTAAATTTCAATCAGTAAGAACTCGGTATCAAGGCTCTAATTGTTGAACGAGCCGATCGCAGCCTACATCCTCAGCCATCGACCATGGCAAAGGCGGATCTATCCTGTTCTCTCCGGCACAGCATCCAACGCCGCCTGAAAAATCTTCACCAGCTTTTCGGTATCCTCCAATCCCACGGAAAACCTCACCAGGCTAGCGTCACACCCAAACTTTGCCGCCCATTCCAGCTCTCCATAATGCGCCAATAAGACGAAAGGCGACGTCAGAGTGAAATTCGTACCGAGCGAGGGACCCTTGGCCGTATCCAGGTGATCATAAAAGACCGCCGCATCCTCGACGGAAAAAAAAGTGGCAGAAAGAAGCCCGCCATAGCCTCCTTCGGGGAGAAGACAAGCATCGTAGAGAGCCTTCGTTGGGGAGTACTTGGGATAATGGACTTTTTTGATTTTCGGACTTGAAAGGAGGATTTCCGCAATACTCTCCGCGTTATGATTGATTCGTTTGATCCTCGTGACGAAATCGCGGCTGTTGCGTTCCAGATAAACGGCGTCTTCTTCGAATTGGTTGTCTTCGTATTCTTCTTCCAGGACCCCTTTGAGGTCTTGATAGTATTTCGATCGGGGGTTCAGGATCATGGCTCCGCCCATGACGTTGCTGTCTCCGGAGAAGACCTTTGTGAGAGAGCTGACGACGATGTCTGCGTAGGGGAGAACGTGCACGTTGAGGAAGTTTCCGATCGTTTCGTCGACTACAATCGCAAAGGAATACTTGTCTGCAAGGCTGCGCAGACGTTTGAGGTCAGGAGTCTTGAGCAGCGGGTTTCCGGGAAATTCGCAGTATAAAGCAAGATAGCGCTCGCCAGATTCGAGGCGTTTTTCGAGATTGTCGATATCGGAAGCATCGCCATAGCCATAGAACAGGGCTCCGGCGCCGAACTTCTCAAGAACTTTGAGAGTGTCAACGTATGGGAAGCCGTACATTATGCTTTGGAGTTCACCGCGGGCGAGTCGGAGAATGCGATGGGAAGTGAAAATTGAGTTCATGCCTGTGGGAAACAGATAGACATCTTCGACGGAGAAGCCAGGGACATCTCTGGCCTTGTCTGCAGGCTCTTCGAGGGCCTGAGGGAGGTCGACATCTGCTGTCAGAGATCCAGCAATTCGTCTCCGAATGGCGACTTTGGCTTGTGCTGCGAATCGAGGACTGAGATTACGTCCAAAGCGCTCTTCAACAAACTGAGTAGTGTCCATGACGCCTTCGCCGTTGGTGATAGGGTCGTCTCCATTTGTATGGTTTGCATCGCCCGCACCGTTGGATCCGCTGTGGTCGACTGACATGGGCCTCTGGTACCTTCTCGGTCCCTTGGCGAGACGTGGCGTTTGAGGAGGAGTGAGCGAGCTCTCTTCGACAAGTGTCTTCTCGTCGAAGGCTCGCTGACAGAACTCGGCTCGTCGACTCTGAATACCTTCTCCAGTGTGCTGCCAGAAAGCCTTCGCAGTGGGCCACAATTCCTTATGATAGATAATCGCTGAGACTTTTGGGAGAATGCGGTCAGTCTCAGAACCGGACTTCTTGGAGTCCGGCACGAAATTCAGATGCCGTATGGTTTGTGGGTCAAAATTGGGGTTCTGGCGCTCAAGGAACTCTTTGCAGCGAGCAGCACATCTCTTGGAGGGTAATAGCATGGCAAAGTCAGTCTCAGGCGAGCCATGAGCCGCCACAATACTTTGAGCGAGCTTCTGGATGGATTTGTGAATGAAGAACCTGGGAAACCATTAGCAAATGGCGGCGTGTGTCCAGTAGAAACGACTGAGTGTGAAAATCCTCTGGGCAATGGGTAGTGTTGGGGATGACGAGGGCAATTTACCTCGGATAACCGCATTGCATCTTCTGAACGACCCAGTCCTCGCCCTCTTCGTAGCCCACGTTGGAGCGCCATGTCGGTAATGATACGCTTACTGCCTAATGGTATTCAGCGCTGTGTACGACTGTGAGCCAAGGGGGTATACACTCACGTGAGGTGTGTCTGCGGGTATCGTCTCGCCCAGCGTCTCGTTGAAAGGCAGTGGCACTGTTGCCCCCGGCACCTTCACGTCGACCATGGTCAGAATATCTTTTGACGGGCCTGCACAATCGCTTGTAGTGTCCTTTTCGATCGAGAGACGGGGCGTTTGTATGGAGAAATAAGCTGTTGGCTCTGCGGGCGAAATCGGTCGGAAAGAATGGGAGTCATGGATCATTATCGATATGATCCCTGTCGCTCGCGTGGCTTGAAGCTTTGCGCCACAGAACTCTATCCGACCTCAGCCTCTTCAACTTTTTTTCTGGCTCTTCTTCCTAATGAACGTGTCGAAAACTTTCCAACTCTCGAAATGGCGCCGCCGGCCAGCAAGAAGCGAAAGACGGAGCATGTATCGTCGGGCGATGATGCTAGCGAGGCTTCGTTCGCCTCATTCAGCGACGAGGACACCTATGGCGGCGTGGGACTCGAGCACGGGACGAGTGGAGTCGATTCTGCTGAAGAAATCGACGTGGATGGCGACGACGAGGTAGAAGCAGGACAGAACGATGATGAAGAAGATACGGAAGACGGAGATGATGCACAGGCTGGGGCCGAGATGTCGAAAGGTGCAAAGCTCAAAAGCACGCGACAAGACAATGGGAAGCCGCCGACAAAGAGCTCCAGAAATGCGCAATCGGGGACATCAGCCTATGTACATGGCACTTTCAAGAGCAATGTGTTCAAGTTGCAGGTCGATGAGCTTCTGGCTCAGATACGACCAAAACACGGAAAGCGTGAAGCGGCCGCCGAGGCAGCTCTGCATAGCTTGAAGAAGACCATCGAGCATATACCGGCCAGAGGGCCTTTCCTTTCGGCCGATGCAGAGCGTGATCTTATCAAGCAAAAGATTGCGGTGCCTTTCCCGGACCCGCGACCACCGAAGGACGCCAAATACAAGTTCGCATACGCGAAGCCGGCAAACATCAACGTGGTTGGAAGCTTTGCGCTGAAGACATCGACAAGATCCCGCGAGATACTCGAGGTCGACATGATGGTGACGATGCCTGGATCTCTCTTTGAAGAGAAGGACTACCTCAATCTCAGGTACTTCTACAAGCGAGCGTTCTACCTCTCCTGCGTCGCTGCTGGTCTGAAATCTGCCCACAAGTCGGAATATTCGTTGCGATACACGCTATTTCATGACAATCCATTGAAGCCGATATTGGTGCTTGCGCCAATAGGTCAGAAAAGTGATGCATTGGAAAGCGTGCCTGCGCCGAAGTGGCGCATCAACATCATTCCTTGCATTGCCGAGACGCAGTTCCCTGTTGACAAACTACAGCCCGACAGGAACTGTGTGCGAAACTCATCTGGGACATCCGACCACGTCGATCATGTCCAGGTGCCTACACTTTTCTACAACTCTTCACTCCGCTCAGACATGCTCATGACGTCCTACCTGAAGCTCCTGCACGCCGCATCAAAGTCTTGCGAAGCGTTCGTCGATGCCTGCATGCTTGGAAGTACTTGGCTTCGTCAACGCGGCTTCGAATCCTCGATTCATGCAGGTGGATTCGGAAATTTTGAATGGGCTGCTTTAATGGCGCTGTGCTTGACAGGGGGAGGCTCCAACGGCCGGCAGCTTCTCAGCCAGGGCTACAGTAGCTATCAGCTGTTTAAAGCTACGGTCCAACTGTTGGCTGTCCGAGACTTCGTCAAGCAGCCGCTTCTGGTTGGAGACACACCGGATGCACCGAAAAGTGCCGACGGATTGCCGCTAGTCTGGGACGTAGAGCGGGCTCACAATCTGTTCTTCAAGGTTCCACAGTGGTCTTACCGACTTCTCAAGCAGGAGTCCAAATCTACCCTGAATGCTCTTGGAGACCAGCTGCACGACGGTTTCGATGCCACCTTCATTTTGCGGGTACATGATCCACTCTATCGCTACGACCACGTTCTTGAACTACCCCAAAAGTCGCTTTCGACAGGCGAAAGCAATTTAGAGAGCACTTTTGCTCAAGCGCGCCTTCGTGAGCTGTACAGAGTGCTCAAGCAAGGTCTGGGAGACAGGGTCAATCAGATCAGAATTAACCAGCCTGCTCTGCCAGCATGGCAACTTGGATCCTCCACGCCCAAAGAAAGTGTGCAGGGCAACATCACAGTGGGGCTATTGGTCAATCCCGAAAACGTCAGGCGTACTGTGGACCACGGTCCTTCAGCTGAAAACAAGGCAGAGGCCGCAGAGTTCCGCAAGTTCTGGGGAGAGAAAGCAGAACTTCGCCGTTTCAAAGATGGAAGCATCTTGGAAAGCTTGGTCTGGGCATCACCTCAGGAAAGCGGCCATACAGTCTTGGAGCAGATTGTGCGCTATCTTCTGAGTCATCGCTTTGCGCTCGTGTCAAGCGATGAGTTGAGATTTCACGGCGACGGGTTTCCAAAGTTCGTACGAGGCGGGAGTGAAAGGACGCCATTCGAGCACATGATGGCAAGCTATAAGAAGTTCGAGACCGATATTCGGACCTTGGAGGACCTGCCGCTTTCAATTCGATCCATCATGCCCGCGGACGCCCAACTACGTTACGCATCGATGAGACCGCCTTTCGGTGGCAAGCTTCTGTATCGAGCCACTCCGGCGGATGTCGTACTACAATTCGAAGGATCAGCTCGCTGGCCCGATGATCTTGGTGCAATTCAGAGAACCAAAATTGCGTTCCTCTTGAAGCTCAATGAATTGCTGATGGAGTCCGTGAGCTCTATCACGACTCGTATCGGATTGGAGAATGAAGGTCAAGATGTCCTCAACCAAGGCTTTCTTGACGTCACGTACGACTCGGAGGCCACTTTCAGACTTCGTATCTATCACGAACGAGAGCAGACGCTGCATGAGCGTGTCTTGAAAGACAAGTCAGTCGATCCCAAATCCAGAGAGGTTTCTGCTCTGGGGCTTGCAAAGTACAAGCGAGACTACATCAAGTCTCCAGCCCACACGCAAGCGATATCGCGACTGTGCACCCGTCATGCACCTTTAAGTGGCTCAATTCGGCTTACGAAACGCTGGTTCGCGTCTCACCTTCTCACCCACCACATTGCAGACGAAGTCATCGAGCTGCTCGTCGCCCGCACCTTCACTCACCCCTTTCCGTGGCAGACACCCTCAAGTGTGCAAACCGGCTTTCTTCGTACGCTCTTTTGGATCTCACGCTGGGACTGGCGCGCCGAGCCCTTGGTTGTTGATCTCAGCGGTGGTGGCGAATTGAAACAAGCCGGCATGCAATCTATCCGGACGAACTTTGAAGCCTGGCGAAAGCTCGACCCGGCGATGAATCGCGTGGCGTTGTTTGCTGCTTCAAATGTGGACGCGGACGGTGTTACATGGACTGATGAAAATAAGCCAGCCAAAGTCGTCGCAGGACGCATGACAGCTTTAGCAAAAGCGGCTTGTGCTGAGGTTGCGGAAAAGCAGTTGTCTCTCGAGCCTGCGAGTCTGTTCACTTCGCCTTTGGAAGATTTTGACTTTGCGCTACACCTCAGCACCGACAAGAAGAAGACGAACGGGTTCAAGAATCTCGAACTGAAAGCACTACAGGACACAGATATGATCGGCTATGAACCGGTGCAGTCATTGCTTGCGGAGCTTGAAGATGTGTATGGTTCCGCTGTTCTGTTCTTCAACGGTGGAAGTGAGCAAGATGTCATTGCCGGCTTGTGGAGCCCCGTGACAGCAAGGAGAGCCTGGAAGGTGAATCTCGCCTACTCTACGATTCCCCGTGGAGAGGACCAAGATACACAAGCAGACCTGAACAAGAGTGCAATGTTGTCGGAAATTGCGAGATTAGGCGGAGACCTGATCGAAAAGGTGGAAATCTTCCAGAAGTAAGCGATACCCGACCAAAATGAGCATACCTTTTCTATCTAGTCTGGCCACTATGCGGCCTCCATCATCTCTGCCGCCTCATTGTCAGTCCTCCTGCATCAACGTCCAAGCCGAATCAAATCATTCACACTGCTCGACAGCCAACATCCTTCATCAGCGCTTATGGGTATGCTTCCCTCCGGTCAGAATCCTCAGGCTGCTCAGCACTCCCACGTCCACCACTGAGCAGACTGATCAAGTCCTTCTCCTTGCCGTCACCACTGGCCTCGAAGACGAACTGGCCGTCCGCGCCATCTTGGCCTGGATTGGCGAATTCGTAGTGCAGCATCTTGATGAAGTAGTAGTAGCCGCTGGCGATCTAAAAGAGTGTAAGCACTGGCGAAAGACAAAGGGTAGTGGGAGACCTACGAGAGCGCCCAATGCTGGACCGACCCAGTAGATCCAATGGTAGCCTTGAAATTTGGCTGCTGCGACGCAGGGACCAAAGGAGCGAGCGGGATTGAGGGATGCACCGGTGTAGTAGACCTGTGGCGATGATCAGCGTGGACGAGTGAAGAGTGCAAGAAGGAGACTCACGCCTGCAATCTGCGTTACGAACAGCGACATTCCGATGCCCAACGGTGCGACGAAAGTCTGCTTGCCCTTCTCACAAGCCAGCATGAGAATCGTAAGGATGAGAAGGCAAGTGAGGAACATTTCCAGGAACAAGCCTTGGGCAACACTCATTCCGTCGGCAAGCGTCGTCTGCGTCGCGGCGATATCTCCCGGGACGATATTTCCCGCTACAGCTGCCGCGCAGATTCCGGCGAGGAGTTGTGTCGGGACGTAGATTATGCCTCGAACTGCGGGCATGTTGCCTGTGAGGACGAGGCCGAGGGTCACGGCTGGGTTGAAGGCTGCGCCGGAGATGCGGTAGAAAGGCCAGGCTGTTACGAGGAGAGAGAGGCCGTAGGAGAGGGAGATGAAGATCACTGTTTGGGCGCTGGCGGCGCCATTGGGTCCCTTGTCGGATGCTGATCGAATGGTCAGATGGGCTTCAACGATAGTGGAGGACTGAAAATAATAGTGAGGGGGCTTACCTTGACTGGCAGACATCATGTGGCCTAAGAAGGCGAAGAAGAGGAAGAGGAAGGTTCCCACGAACTCTCCTGTTGCGGCCACGAAGTGGGTTAGCAGAGTGGAAGGTCTGGCTTCCTCTGCGGGCTTGGGAGGGGGGAGGAAGCCGCTGAAGCTCTTGCGTGCCATAATGATTGGTGAAAGTGTCTGGAGAAGCAATGAACAGTGAAGCTGGAGCTTTTTGAATGCGGGATTGGAGGCTCTTTGGAAAGCTGAACGAAGCAGCCCTTTTATGTCCTCTTCGATCAATCCTCAGGCCTCGTGCCCTTGACGTCGATGCCCATGTCGTCGTCGACCTGCTGTACACTACAGCCCAACGGGGCTCCACGACGTGATGCGTCTTCTGCATCTCGACGAGGCTAGAGGGTCGCCGATAGACGCTGCTACCAGGCAGATGCCAACCTGCAGCGTGGGATACTGCAGCAATCGAAAGACTCCGTACCTACGTCGAACGTACCAGCACACAGACTGATGTCCTTGGATCAGTCGATATGATCGAATGGGCTGCATGACTCGAGCACGTACAGCTGCTGTGTAACGACGTTCGTTCCGGGGTCTGGGGTGGCCCGCAATCTAGGATCTCAGGCAGCATCTGGGGGCGGCATGTGAAGAGGTACAAGCGGCAAGCCCGCGGAGAAAATTACCAGCAGCAAGAGTGGAGTCTCTGTGGGATGTTTCTGCAAGCCATGTCGCAGAGTGAGCGATGCTTGGCGGCAGCTTCTGTGCTCACCGACCTCACGTCCAGCCCCTGTCCGGCCTCTTCCAACGGTCCTGCACATCCCCCAGCCGGCTGAAAAGTTCTGTGGTATGTCATTTCCTACTGAAGGTGCATTGTTTCCGGCAAAGGTATCGGGGATGAATGGACTTGGGCGCCGAGATGCTGTCTGTTATCTGATCAGCATGCCGAAACAAAGCCCACCTGCTTGATACTGTACTTCGATGATTTACGGTCGTGACCCGGATGCTGGTTTCGAGCCAGTCGCAAGCTTTGTGAGCTCCACTGTACTGCCTGACGCTCGAGCTCGGTCGGTCTTTCGTAACATCACCTCATCTTTGCATCGATGGTCGGCTACCCGCAGATTTCATGCCGGGACATCCCATGGCTCTCGGAGACTTTCGATCTCCAACTCTGGCGATGTTAGCGTCAAACCTGCATGCTGCAATGCGCTCAATATCTATCCTGCCGGGTTTGACGGGTGTACGCGTTCGGGTGTCAGAAGTGCTGTGCCCTGCCAATGGATTCATTGTATGGCGAATAAAGCATGGCTGGAGGTGCAACACCATAGCCTTTGCATTGCATCTGCCCTCATGTCTCCAGTCTTGCCAACAGAGTTGTACACGGCATGAAGCCCGATGTACACCATTGAGTCCCTCTCTGTATGCGCAGCGATCTTGCCCTTCACCAAACTGGCCCCAAACTTCCACTTGGATGCCTGATGAGCGCTTCGATGCAGCGGTCAGCGTGCTCCACATCAATCTGTCTAGACCGGAGATACTCGACAATGATCATCCGTGATTGAATCCCTACCAGGTCTTGTCCATAGCCCTGTGGCTCTCTTCCTGCGCATTGTACAACTCCCAGGTGCAAAGATGCCCAAGTCCTACTCAAGATAGACGATTTCGAGGCTTCCACATGTTTGAAGACACAGTGACGTGTCATGGTATCCGTAGCCCAGATGATGCCACTGCTCTACCAGACACCGGCGTCTCGTTTGCACAGCTGATGATCAAGTGCTCCACGGTCGCCTCGTCTTTGGCCTGTGTCATAGGATCCTCGCATCGGTTGGTTGCAACTTTGATTACTCGAGACGAGGCCACTTTGATTGAGCTAAGCCCAGCCTGAGATGATGAGTCTCGGCAAGCGTTTCCCCTAGAGTCGTGGACAGGCTGGCGCCCGGAAGACCCAGTGACCATGAGTTTTAGTCGACAGGATTGGATCGCGATCATCCACTACATCAATCGCCGCACTATCATCCTAGGCTTCTTCCACTTCGATCGCCACCGATGCTGTGCATTGTCTGGACGCCAGGACTGTCGTCTAGACCAACACTGGACTGGGGTTAATCTATCATGGGGCCATGGACGAAGGCTCTCACCCACCTTTCTAGCTCATCCCATTCAGTTGTTCCGTCATCTTCACCTGAGCCCTCCGTTTACGACAGTGACGATCAGATTGATGCTTGCTCTCGTCATCAATTGCCCATTGCCCGTTCAAGGTCTCAACAGAGCTCGTGAAGACTAAGCGCAGGCGAAGCAGTTCTCTCCAATCACGGATTGGCGCAACAGAGCTGCCTCGTTATCGAAGCACGAATGTCTTTGTCTCTGCTTTCAGCCGGCCAGCAGCTTTGAGCTGCTTTGTATACTGGCCTCGCATGATGGTGTAACAATAGCAAGACGAGATGACGATGTAGCCCTCTTCAACGGGCCTCAGCAGAAATGGCACACGAGCACCAAAGAGCACGGCAACCACATCTCCAGGCTCAGCTTCAGTCGAAGCCATCCCAATTCGTCCATTATCTGTGACGAAGAAGCGAAGTCTTATTCCACACTCGTAATACGCATCCTGCCAAAGCTTCCCGCCCGCGACCTCGGAAACCATAGGCTGTGCGTTCTCCCAGGAGGCATGCATGAAGCACGCATACGTCTCGAGATCATGTTCGGTATAGGAGCCAGCTGGATACGCATGCTTGAAGCTCTCCCGACTGCCTTCAAAAAGACTTGGTTCGACGCCGCGCTGCTTGATATCCGTCTTCCAGGCTTCAGCAGCCGCAGCGTGTACGGGGTTCGAAGGGTCGAATGGCACGCTCAGCTTGCCAAGCATGGCCAGAACAACTGCGTCTAGCAGGTCATGATCGCGCTTCACCACCTGACTGTATGTCATCGTGCTGAGGTAGTGTTGGACGAAGGCCCAGCCGAATTCTCTCTTCATCCGCTGCTCCGCATCGCGCCACTCGCCACCCGGCCAGCCGTCGCAGGTCGAGTCAGGGAAATCAGCCTCGCAACAAAGCAGAGACCAGATGAGTTGCAGAGCAAGTGGTTCTCTGTCGAGAGCTGAATTCCCCTACAATCTGGTAAGCTCCCAAAGACCATCGAAAACCTCGAGCTCCTTGGCGGGAAATCTCGGTTCCAAATGCTGAATCCTGCCGACCTCAACACCCTTGACGCACAAATTGTCTGGGTTGTCGAGATCCAAAGATGCGTCGAGCGGCATACCATTACAGGGCAAGAAGTGACCTGGTTCAATCCCACAAATGAATGAATAGTCAGTATCGCCCCATCTCGGCACCCACGATGGCCACCTCTCACCCTTGAAGATCGGGTGATGAGATGTGATGCCAGCATTCTGTAGAACGTCCAGACTGCGATCGAGATTGAAGATGATATGCTCGGCGGCCTTCTTGTAGACATCGACCGTTGCCATGGTATAATCAGCTTGAAACCCAGAACGCTCTTGATCAGAGACCAGGTTCATCACAGCAAAGATCTTGTCCCTGGGATCGGCAGCCTGGCGATATGAAAGCAGGCCAATCCTCCACTTCAGCCTCCGAGCTTCTTCGTCCTCAGAAGCCAGCATTTGATGAACCATTGTGCAGTCTTCTTCCACCGCAAACTCCGGACTTAGATCTGGAGACGCCTGTCCGAAAGCAGCTACTCTTGCGATGTGAATCCATAGCATCTCCGCCTCGCCCCAGAACGCCACGGCGGCTTTGGAAAGCATCACTTCCTGGAGCATCCAGACACGCTTGAAGTATTGCAGACCCATCAAAGTCTTGTAAGCCTTCCACTTGATACTGTCGGGAGCCGGCAACCTTTCCTCTCGCATCGTCTGCTCATCCGAATACCGATAACGAGCAGGTCTGTCCCAGCGACTCTGCAGCTCAGCGATGAAACCCTTGGCAGAGGGGGCCATCTGGTCAGGATCAGAGCCGAGGTACATCAGCACTCTCACGGCATGGCTGTAGACTCTGTGCATGATGCCGACCTGTTGAGATCGCTCCGAGAGATCGCTCTGATTGATACAGACCTGGTCCATCCACAGAGTGCGCACTTGATCTGGGAAGCGTAATCGACGCAGGGCATTAGCAGCACTTGTCGTAATAGACAGGCTACCTTTCGCGCCCACTCTCATTTCTTCTCGCTCTGAGCCAGAGGCCCAGAGATAGCTCATCGTCTCATAAGGCCGTCCGCTGCCCAACGTGGCGTCTATTAGATCGCAACAGAGGGGGTCATCCTTAGATCCTGGACCCAGGTTGAGCAGTCTGATGGTGTCCCTCGCGAGCGGTGCGTACACGTCAGCCATCATTTAGATTTCTCACATCAGATAAATGATGAAATTGTCACAGACAAATTACTGATCGAAGTCTGCGGCTGAGTCCTATCGGAGCACCATGTGTCCTCGGTCAAACACTGTGGATTTTGTGGCTCAAGTCAAGGCGACAAAGCTGGAGAGATATCCAAGTATTGCCACAGCATGAGGAGTTTGATCGCCCAAAGAATTGTGAATAAAGCTTTCCATCATGGCAGAAACGAATGCTGCTGTAGAATATGTGGGCAACACCACTTGACTCCAGTCTCTCGATAGCACGACTGCTTCTCGTCCATCTCCCGCGCAGTGCTAGATCTAATCCGCATTGCAATCGACAACGTGAGCAATCGTAGCACCACAGAACAGACACGCCGCGCACACAGCCCCAAACTGCGTTGGATCAGTTGCAGAATTCCAACCACATCAAGTCCCGGTCTAAGAATCTCCCGAGGAAAAGCCAGCCCAGCCGCAATGGACTCCATGTTGGAAGACAAGAGAATATGATCTTCTTTCAGGACCAGTCACAAGAGGGCTTCGATGGTATCTCCAGGCTTCAGATGGGTTGCTGAGCCAGCTGTTCGAGATTTCAAATTGACGGATTCCACGTGACGGACTGGCATTGCAGGTTGGCGAAAGAAGTCCTGCCCATTGAGAGACCGCGGCGTGAACGCTAGATTACAGAGCAAGTAAGTACATCGTCCTTCAACTCCGAGAAATAGAAGTAAAGAGAAGAAAGACAGACAAGCAAGTGTACCCACTCCCTTGCCCCCTTCATCTCTTCTCCCCTTCCTCTCCGGCCATGCTACTAACAGAACTCGAGACCCTCCTGACGACCAACTCTTCCCTCCCCTCCTTCATCGTCCCCTCAATACCAGCCCCTCCACTCCCCGTCAACGTACTCCCACTAATCCGCACCCTCTCCTCCCATCCTTGCCCGGCAATCGGAATGGCACTGTAAGCAGTCGTGATCTGACTCAAGCGGAGCCGGTCCTCCGCCGAGATCTGTTGGTGAGGACTCTGCAGCGAGAGTCGCACCTTTTCGTCGTCATTTGCCTGTCGATCGGAGAGGCGCTTGGAGATGCGAGCTTGCCATCGCGACGTGGGGGCATCGTACTGCGTTTCGGGGGTTGTGGTGGTGTTGTTGTTGTTGGTGGTTGTAGCGAGGGGAATGGAAGGTGGTAGATAGCCTGGATCCAGCATCGACGGACTCTTCGTCTTGCCAAGGCAGAGAGAACTCCCTCTCTGAGGCATTCCAGCCAGTGGACGCGAATGTCCGGGATCACTCGCCGTACGCTGCATAGATTGAGCCAGCGCTTCCGAGGCGAGAGGTATAGGTACAGGCTGTAATCTCGAAGAAGGATTCTTCTGCTCAACAAGAGCATCCATCGCCACGGTCCGCGGATCCTCTTCCTTTGCCTGTTCCAACTTCACAGGCGCCCATCGATCCCCCGAGACTTCGGCGGCTGCTTTACTCCCTTTCAACACTTCCTCCCCCGATCCACCCGCCGGCGTGACAGGAGTCCGCCCGGCACTCTCCCATCCCTTCTCCTTCGCATCCCCATCAAAGTCCTCATAGAACAATCTTTCCACTTCGCTTCCCACGGGTAACTTCAACAATCCTTTCTGCGCGACGAGTTTGCGAAAATGTGCCTGCTCCTTGGAATGGTGATGGCCCATCGCTCCCGGAATCCAAGTCTCGACTGAACAGCCCTCAGAGAATGTCCCTTGAGCTCCTTTGGGATTGTACTCTGTAGTATGTCCGGATATCCAGAACTCCAGACTCCCAACAAATCGCAATCACACCTCTGATGAATCAAGATTTCTTCAAAGCCAGTTCCGTATCATCTAGTTCCCTCGCCTTATCAGTTTCAAATGTTTACCGCGTGGTTGGTAGTCGCGTCTTCCGACAACCACTGAGTCCCTTTTCCGAAATCAAAATCCGTACAAACGCGCGAACAGAGGTATCGTCAGTCCGATCCGACCGTTTCATGTCAGTCCGCTTAGACTGTTTCGAGTGGGCGGGAATTCCGCGGCGCAATCTTCACAAGCTCCCGACACCCGGCAATCGGGTAGGTATAAGGGATGATGCCTGTGGTATGTCTCAAAATAGTACACTCTGAAAGCTTAGCGCGAGATCGACATCAAACGGTCCGGCCGAAGCATCTTTGCCGATAATAATAAGAGATACCTCTCAGCCAAACGTATGCTGCAAGTGTTGCTGAAAGCTGGTATTCACTCAAGTGGGTCTCGTAACAACGGCATCAGTTCTCCGGTAAAGGCTCTCTAATGCATTCAGAGGGCTTTTGACTGCAATCAGAGGGCTTTTGAATTGGTCTTCTTCTACTCACTTTTCTCTATACCCGTCACCTCTATTTTACAACGGTACACGGCGGTCTCAATCACCGGTATATCCAGCTTGAGTGAGCTCCTTGCGTACTTGCTCCTCCGTGCCGATCTTCAGGACTTGGGTGCCCTCCAGCTTCTCCCCGCCGGCTTGCCGCATCTTCAGATCATCAATGGCACGCAATTTCTTCAACAGCGAGCGGATCTTCTTGTCGTGAGGCGAGCCTGCACCTGGGCTGGTGACAGTCAAGTCGGGAGCACTCTGGCCAGTTGGACCTGCGGGAACGGCACCATTCGGGGCTTGCTGCTTCAGTTGAGTGGTATTGAGTGGTGGGACACGCTGTCGGCTGCCGTCGCGTCTCTTAGACTGCGGACGGGAGCCTTGCTGGCCGTTCTTGCCGGCATTGGAGCGGCTACGAGGACGATCGCGACGCTCGGGGCTCTTGTCGGGGGATGCCGAATCGCCATTTTGCGTGGGAGCGGAAAGGCCACCTGCCTTTGCCTCTGCCTAGATATTGTTAGTCATGTTCAGGAGCCACGCATGGTTGGGTCGTGCGTACCTCCTTTGCCTTCTTCGCTTCGCGCTTCTTCTTGTTCTTCAGTGCTGCCTTGCTCAAATTCTCATCGCCGTCTGCGGTGAGGGAAACACCTCCACCAGGGGCTGCTCCCGGTGGAAGCTTGGAATCAAGACTCTCAGCACCCGGGACTTCACGCCGACGAGGCTGCCGGGCACCGAACCCATTCGTCTCAGACTCCTTTCCAGACATCATCTCTCGAACAAAAGCTGCACCGCCCTCATCTTCACGCTTGAAGGCGAGAGGAGTCGCACTGCCGCGGGCCCCCGGTGGACGGTACGCGCCAGCTGGCTTCGATGGTGTCTTGAGCTTGCCCAGATATTCAAGCGCGGAGGCGTGCGGTGTAGGCACTGGATGTAGTGGATCCTCAGGGGCATTCTGGGTGGCGGGTTGAGGTCGCCACACCACATGATACAGCTCATGCATATCCTCGTTGTACATCAAACCGCCTCCGACATGCCAGATGCGGATGCCGTTGTCGACGCGAAGACGCGGGCTGGTGGTAGCGGTGAGAATGTGCTTGCCATCGGGACTCCACTCGCAGATGGACGCATTGCTCGCTTCGATCGTGCAGACCTTTTCATAATTCTTCTCCAAGTCGTAGATATCCATCTGGCCAGCCAAGTTTCCAAAACCCGCAATAACGACAAAACGACCGTGTGGCGAGAAGAGGATGGTGTTTCGAGGCCCGAGGTTAAAGCTGTGCTGTGCGATTGCCCGCTGGTTGAAGATGGTAGTCTTGGCGGGCATGTAACCGTACACCACGCCGAATTCCTTGGAGTTGGGCGACCACGTCACGTCATGGATAGGTCCCTCCTTGTCCAGCTGGATCCTCGAATCGAAGCCGCCATTGGCGCTAAGAATGTACATGTTGGTCTCTCCGTAGTAGCTCTTGTTGCTCTTGTCGACGTCGGTTTGCGCAAGCACGATCAGACTGGTACCTTCCTGGTTCCACTTGAGCTGCACCTTGTCGCCCTTGAAGAAAGTCTTCTGCGACACCGGCGAAGTGAATTGCGGGACGTTGAAGACCTTGACGGCGGCCGGCTGGCCCTTGCGTTCGGGAACGAAGACAGCAACCGAATGTGTCTTGTCCGGCGCGAGCGCAAAGTCCGAAACGCCCTCCACGCGCAGCTTGTTCCATACAGTGCCCAAGTCCTTGCTCTCGTAGAATTGCACCTCATTGGTGACGCAGCGAGCGCAGAATTGCTCGTCGCTGGTGTACTGTAGATTCCAGCCGGTCTGATTCTTCTGCACGAACTTGCCCACCACCGCGCGCTCGCCGCTGTCGCCTGCATTATCATCGATGGTGCGCCATACCTTGAGGTTTTTCGTCGCATTCCCCTCTTCGTCTTTCGAAGGCCGCTGCCATGTGATGATGAAGGTGCCGGCTGGGGAGAAGCCGAGCTCGTAGACGTTCTCAGCGGGGAGGGTGGTTACGACATGGCCCACGGCTGCATCGACGACAGTGACATTCTCGGGCGAGGCCCAGGCAAAGAAGCGGCCGTCGGGCGAGTAGACGCAGCAGCGCAGGTTGCCCTCGGCGCGCTTGAAGCCAGGCAGCGGCTCGTAGACCGGCGCCGCGTCGAGCACGCCGATGTGCTTGGAGGTGCGGACTGTACCATGACATGTCAGTGACCAACATCATCGCTTTGACTACTGTGGGGATATTCTTACATGCGACTTGGGTGGGATGAGCCATTGTGCTGTGCTTGCTGGATCTTGTCGGCGACGTCTCTGGCGGAAAGGAGGTCTTTCTGCAGTTGCTGTTCGCTGTTTGCTGAGTTGAATAGTTAAATCCACCTCAGATTGTTGCTTGACACACGAGCAGTCAGCTGGATGTGCTGTGCGCGGCTTGTCGGGGAGTGAGCACAAGAGAAGGAGGAGGAAGGGGAGGCGGAGGAACAAAGTAATGAATTCGCTTCACCAAAACATACGAGCAGCGCCAAGGATCGGCACAAGCTGACTGATAGCCCGCGGTCCGGCACGAGCGGTGTCAAACTTTAATGGCGATCTCCCGCAGAGCCGCCGTCTTCTAGACCTTCTAGGCATGTGAAGACGACTACTTGACAATTCACTCGGCATGGCCTGCTTACTCGTGCAGAGAGCCTGACAATCTCCCCGTGCCTAAGCCTCCGATAATAGACAGAGACATATCGTCACATGAATCAGCCGCCATTCATCCTTTGAAGTAGCTCGCCAGACAACTCTTGGGAAGGCATGGATATGTTCCGCATTTGCTCAGGGCGACTGGCAGCATCGGCAGAGCCATGAGAGTGGGGCCATTCGCTTGCACTGTGGTATCTTGCTCCAGCTCTTCATTATGTACACATTCCACAGGCTCTTGGAGTGGCTATACATCTTTTTGCACCCTCAAATCTCCATATCCTCGTATCTTACATTCCCACTCTTCCCATGTTCTTGTCTCACCATACTTTCCACCAAGACTTCCCACCTTCACTTTTCGCTTTCAGTTGTCTTAGCTTCTCGTCTTGCTCTTCTTCCTTCGCCGCTCTCCTCTCCTCCCTCATCTTTTCTTTCCGTTGCTCCCTCGCCTTTCTCTCCACCTCTTTTCGATTCAGAATCTCCATCGCCCTCGTCATGCCCTCCTTCTCAGCTTGCCGTCGATGTAAGCAGTACTGGTACATGATGGCCGATCCAGCAGCCCATGCCCCGACAGCCCAATTGCAAGATTTCCATGTTCCACCTATATCCACACCATCAGCATGACATCAAACGATCAACCACATCTTTTTCTTACCTCCAAATATCAATCTAACACCACCCGTAGCAAACCCAGCCCCAATCCCGGTCATCAACCCATCCCGCACACAAGGCCTCTTGTGGATCTCCGTGATCGGTTGTCCAACAGTCAGAGCATTCCACATGGTCACGTCCGGTACCTGTCCTCCTGCTGTATGCTGCGATCCGCCTTCTGCGAAAGCATTCGCATTTTCACCAGGTTTGTAGGGTTGTGCTTTGCCGTCCTGCCATTGGGAGCCCGCGAAAGGTTTCTGCTCTGGACTGACGGTCAAGGCCTCGCGGGACAGGTCTTCTTTGGGCGATTGTCTGGTGTCGTCTGCCATGTTTGTGATGCGGATGTTGAGAGGGAAGAGGAGTTGTGCTTGAATCGATGATGCATGCACAGCATGTGAAAGTCTCGGAGGATGGAAAGACTTGCCGAAGCTCACACGTGACCGGGCTGAACTTGCCGATCGACTTGGACGCTCGACTTTAACAGCAGCGACTCGACTTCACGCTTCAATCCCACGAAAACTTGTCCAAACCGCCAGTCGCGCTGCTACATGGATTGCATGTTGCTCACAAGAGATCTTCTCGGGGAATGTCGACAGAGGTTTCCCTTGCCTCCCCTCAAATCTCTTGCTACAGAAAGCGTACTCGAAGTCGAGCCGCTCCACCTTTCAACTACATGAGACATCGTCGTCTTAGGGATCGCCGCTCGAAGATCATACTGACTGCAACTGAGGCTGCTCTCAGTGCATCTATGCTCCACGTCGACGCGGATGACTTCGCCGCAGACCCTCGTATAATCTCGGTTTTAGCAGCCCCAGCTTTGATGAGAAACCGGGACCACACTGGCAGTCTCACCTTGTTGTCGTCAAGCCTTCTACGATGGGTCTCGGTGCAACGTGGAGGACCACCTCACAAGCCCGAGTTGACCAATAAACACCATGCCTGACACCCGCGAAATTGGCCGAACTGCAATGGACGTACGCGTTCATATTATATGAAAGGCCATGTATCACCACAAGAAGAGCACGTCGCCCAGTTAGAATCCATTCGGAGCCCGAGGTCGACAGCATGCGTACTAACACTGGCTTGTCCGCCCTACTAGCGGCAACGTCAGTACGAGCAGCAGTTCATGAATTGATCGTGGGGACATTCGGCACCACCGCTCTCTATACGTTGGCTTTCGACGATGTTACCGAAGAGTTGAGTCTTGTCAAAAACACCACCACCAATGCTGCCAGCTCCTGGATTTCTTTCAGCGTAAGTAGCAGAAGCACCGAATGCCTCAGACAGCATCGCTAACCTCGATCCCAGCATGACAAGAAGACACTCTACGGCACTTCATTCAAAGCAGCTTCAACCAGCTACGTTAGCTACAATGTCGTAAATGCGACGACTCTGGTCCCCAACAACAAGACCCTCACCGCGGACAACTCCACAGTCTCTGCCATCTACGTCGCTGCTGCCAACAAACCACCCTACAACGTCTATGGCGTCTCGTTCGGCAGCACCTCAGGCCCTGGTCTCGTCATGTCCGTTGATCAACTAGGCGGTCTCGACAAGGTCGTCCAAAGCTACAATTATTCCAACGACTCAGCCGTCCACGGTCTTGCAATTGGCGCAGACGGCTCATTCCTGTATTCCGCCGACGACACGGGCAACAAAATCTGGACGCACGCCGTCGACCCAGCTACCGGCGAGCTCACGCTTGTCGACAGCCTCGAGGCTCCAGAGACGGGCTCCGACCCTCGCCATGTCGCCGCCCATCCCTCTGGTCAATACCTCTACGCAGTCATGGAGGGCAAGAGCAAGATTGCGCAATACTCCATCGATCAGACAACCGGCAAGCCGGTGTACTGCAACATCAGCTTTCCCCTGCTTCCATCAGGTAATAACCCTCCACCCCCTCAAATGCAATGCAATGCAATGCAATATCATGCCATGTGGTGAGAAGGCTAACTCGCGAGTGAAATTTTCAGGCTCCAACTCCTCACTCTACTGGGCCGACGAAGTCATGCTCTCCAAATCCTCCAATCTCCTCTGGGCAACCAACCGCGCCCGCACGACTTCCTCCAAAGGCTACATCTCCGCCTTCAGTCTCACGGCGGACGGCGCCATCGAGAAGCAGCTGTTCCTCACCGAGACGACGACTAGCGGTGGGAGCGCAAATGCCGTCACGCCGAGTGGGTTTAGCGATGAATATGTGGCGTTGACCGACAGCTCGGTTGGATTCGTAGATGTGTGGAAGCTGGCTGCGAACCGGTCAACGGCGAGTGTGGTGTCCAGGGTGATGCTCGAAGACGGTGAATGCTGCGCCAACGCGATCTGGTATTCATAAAACTACAGCGGAAGAAGAGACTTGTTACATCATGAAGCGAAGCAGGTCAAGATCCATCCTGTTTCTTTTTTTTCTTTTTTGAAGCTTCATTCAAAACACCATGACATCCATCAGATAAGGCTCCGGCAAATCCTCCTCTCGTCCCAGCAATTTCATCGGAAACAATCCAACCACCGTACAATGGAAACAGAAGCCTTGCATGTCGCCTCTCAAGACCGTCGCGAGGCCGCTGCCTTCGCCGAGCTTCGCATCTTCGCAGAGCATGTCTCCATTCTTCAACTTGGAGCCGAAATCCTGAGCTAGAATTTCTTCATTCTTAGACGCTTTGCTGACGAAACTGACGTGGCGAGCACCGCAAGGCATGAGGACCCGCATTCCGCCTGGGGTGAGGGCGTCCACGGTCCCGTAGACGGGCATCGTCATTTTGGTGCCGCTCTCGGCGGGCCAGGAGAAAGAAGCGGGGAAGTTGGATTCGTGGGAAGGCTCGTTGACAGCGGCTTGGAAGTCACTCGCCGCCTGGGAGAAGGATGAGAGTCTCTTGCCTACGCCGTTGCCGAAGCTGCTGAGGCGGGACATGCGGCGTTCAGCAAATGGAGTGGTCGTGCCCGAGGTGTCGGACTCTTTGATTGCATCGAGGCCAGAAGACCCGGCGAAAGTCCAGCCGGGGACCCAGGAGAGACGTTTTGCCCAACTGGAGCGACGGTTGCGTTGGGGATCCGACGATTGCGAGGGATCGGTGTATTCAACTTCAGAGACATTGAAAGATTTGGCTCTGACTCGGGGTTTGGCCAGAGTGTCTTCGTCGATGGAGGGCAGCGTAGAAGCAGATTGAGCTCGTTGTTTGCTGCTGGCCTTCCTCGAGAGGAAGAAGGAGCGACCACTTGCTAACGAAGGCCTGGCATTTGCATGCTCCGGGACAGGTGTCAACGAGGAGAAGTTCTTGGAACGACGCTGCGTAGCACGGTTGGATCGGAAGGACCAGTCGGTACCGATGGAATGCCTCTTCTGCGCAGGCAGAGCAATGGAATCCGCAGGTTGGGTGCCCAGAGTGTGGCGTCGCTCGATCGTGAGTGTCTGAACAGAAGTCATCTTTTGCTAGCAAGTAGTAGTAGCCAAAGACCAGAATGCCAGGAGGAAGTCTGCAGCGAAGCGGTGGGCATGGCATTGATATGGTAGCGCAGTGCGGGGGGAGCGCCCGCACGTGTACTTGGCGGTATGGTGAGACATGGCCGGGCTCAGATGAGAGAAGAAGTCTGGTACTCGTCGTGGATTCGCCTGGCCCATGGGGGAGGTGTTGAAACTTGGACAATCGAGGCCGGACGAACTGCTTCTGATTCAGACTTACCACTGCTCGACGGACCTGCTGATGGACGGATGCTACCATTCCGCGGATGAGAGTGTCAATGGCGTTGGCTCTCCCAGGCCGAAAGAGGTAGGAGTCAAATGGTGTCTGGGTTCGCAACCACCTGACCAACACAAGTCTGTCGATACATTTGATCGTGTGCGGAGAAGGTCATTCCGCGGTGCCGGAACGAGATTTCAATATCTTCTCTTCCGCCGCTAGGAAGGTGATGGTGTTGGAGATGGTGAAGGACGCTAAGCGGGCGGGAGAGGGAGGGATTGGCCGTGCTTACATAACACGCGACGTGTAAACCGAGATGCTCTCCTGATTCGCAATGCTTCCCCGTGTCACATTGGCTTTCCAAAATGCCGCCCAAACATCGCGACGGCGACGTCGTCGCTGTGGTATGCCACCTCCCTGTCCCGATGTGACAAGAGCTGCCAATACTATTGACCCCATACTGATGAAGCACGCGGCCAGATACCCGGCCAATGGATCTCACACGCGCATACAGCAGCGGCTTACAGTGCCTTCATCGGCGCCCTGATCGTGGGCATGTGGCTTCACTACCACAAGATCGTTGAGAACGAGCACTACGGCTATCCCGTCGAATGGTTTCCTTCCGTCAGCGCTACCATCGGCGACCGCTATCCCGAACGATCCGTCTTTCAGGTCTTCATCGCCATCTGTTCCGGTCCCAGATTCGCTCTCTGCTTCCTTTGGTATTGCCTCGCCAACCGTCCCAACAGCACCTTGCCCAAATTCGTTGCAGGGGTAGGAGTGTTCAGAACGTTGACGTGCGGAGGATGGACATACATTACGAGCACGGATGATCATGACTGGCACGACATCTTCATGATCAGCTACTTGGTTGCTACCATCCCGTGGACAGCCGGCTGTCTGGCATTGAGTCCGCCCAACCCCAAAGCCATCAAATACAGGAAGTATCTGGCGGGAGCTTTCTTTGGTACCATTGTGCCTCTTGTCTATTTCTTCATCCAGCACAAGGTCAATCGCGTGCCCGGAGGTAAGCGGAAAGAAAGCCAAGCAATGCGGTCGCAACGCTCACACGCCTCAGCCTACACGATCTACGCCTTCTTCGAATGGTCTCTCGTCCTCCTCGACGTCGGCTTCGATGCGGTCACCGCTATTGACTTTGCCAGCTTCGAGCTGGTCGTAAAAGATGTCAAGGGACTGAGCAGAGGGTACGTGCAGTGGCTTCCGAAATAGTTGGTACGAGGTTCTTGCCTCCACATGCATTACAGGACATCATACTGAAGACGGCATTGCTGGCAGGGAGGACAACCGCGTTCTTGAAAAGCAGAAGGACAAGCCGGTCGGACAAGTCTTCAGTCCTCTTTTCTCATGGGACGACCTGCTCGATGCCGCGGCCGAGGTGTACCTGGGCTTTACCTTCTGGACCGTCTTGACTGCTCTCGGCGTTGTCGTCTGGTACTTTCCCCTCTGGCACATGGGTATCTCTGGCTACGAAGTCGCGGTCATGTCTACGATTTCGCCACTTCTCCTGGGTATTCCGCCACTCCGTCGAATGGTGACCAAATCTCTGCCCACTGTCCTCCTAACTACTGGCGTCGGCCTCCTAGCATATCTGGTCAAGACCCCCGAACAACGCCTGGGAGCTGTCAGCCTGGGCGTTTGGCAGGGTTGCTTGGCCTGGACCGCGACTTGGTGGAGCAAGCGTAACAATCCGGCGATGCTGGAAGCTAAGATATCTGCATGGATGATTGGTCTCATCGCCAGCAGCATTTCCAAATTTGCCTTCTGGACCAACAACCCTCTCTGGCCCATCATGCACGATGCTAATGGCGGCTTGAACAAGACCGGTATCTTCCTCTTTGCTCTGGCCATATTCCGCTCTTATCAGACTCAAACCAAGACCATCGACAGTGCAGCCCCTCAAGACAAGCCCAAGGGTCCCTCTGCCTTTGCGGCGCTGGGTCTCGCGGGTGCATTCTTCGGGCTCCACTCTCTGCTCTCCGACTCCAGCACCATCATCCTCTGGGTGTGGGAAGGCTTCCCAGTCCGGGGCCCACTCGCTGTACCTCATGGAGCCGTCACTATCCTAGCCATGGGCGTTGGACTCCTCTTCGGCCTGTTCTATCCAAACATTGCCAGGAGCTGGAGCGCATTTGGCGTTGGATCGATTGGAGCTGCTGTACTGACTTGCTTCCACAATTGGACCGGCTACTATGGTGGTCTCACTCTTGCCGTCTACTTGACAGCCGTCACCCCATCTCTCATCTCAAACGCAGTCCGCTTTCCTCCTGGTCGGACTTTCTTCCTTGGCTTCTTCTTTTACAACCTCATGGTGCTCTTCCACGTATGGGTTGTTGCTTATGCCTTTGTCCCTGGTGGTCCACTCGTTCGCGAGCATACCGATTGGGTCATGGCAACTACCATGATCATGATTGGTGCGGGTGTCTTCTCGTCAACTCAAAACAGCAGCCCTGCCAAACAGAAGTCATTCCAGCCACCACCAAGCCCTGCCGCCCGGAGGCAGCGAAGCTATTACATCTACATCCTCATCGGCCTTCAGCTTCTGGGTGCCTCTGTCGCCTTCCTGCGCTTCCCAAGCTACGACTACACGCCCTACCACAAGGACAGCAAAGTCATCACCGCTGGCATCTGGACAATCCACTTCAGCATTGACAACGACATGTGGAGTTCGGAGCGACGCATGGAGGCACTCCTGCGGGAGACCGAACTGGACGTGGTGGGCTTGTTGGAGAGCGACTTGCAACGCATCATCATGGGCAACCGAGACACGACACAGTACCTTGCCGAGGAGCTTGGTATGTATGTCGACTACGGTCCGGGCCCGAACAAGCACACGTGGGGATGCGCATTGCTATCCAAATTCCCCATCCTAAACTCCACACATCACCTCCTCCCCAGCCCCGTCGGCGAGCTTGCACCGGCGATTCACGCGACCATCGACGCCTACGGCGAGCTGGTGGACGTGTTCGTCTTCCACTCGGGCCAAGAAGAAGATCCGGAAGACCGGCGTCTGCAGAGCGAATATCTGTCCGACCTCATGGGCAGCTCCCCACGACCCAGCATCCTCCTCTCGTATCTCGTCACCAAACCCGGCGAAGGCAACTACAACACGTACGTGTCGGAGCGCAGCGGCATGAGAGACATTGACCCGAGCGACTGGGACCGGTGGTGCGAGTACATCCTCTACAAGGGCATGAAGAGGACGGGATATGCCCGGGTGAGCAGGAGTACGATTACGGACACGGAGTTACAGGTGGGCAAATTCGTCGTGGGGCAAGCGGAGGATGTAGAGAATCGGTTGGTGGCGGAGGAGCAGGTTCCGTACGATCTGAGGTTTCCCACCATGTTTCGAGGGAACGGAGTGAGGGGTCACCGGTATCACGTTTTTGATGAGCCGAGGTATTACGCTTGATCATTATCTCCGAGGATGGGGGGAAAGCGATGAGTTTGGGAACTTTGGGCAGGGGGAGGAAGTGAGTGGGGTGTATGATAGTCAGATGAGATTTGGGGAAATCAAAAGCAGAGCATTCGATCGGATGGCTTGTACGGTAGGTGTATAGGAAAAAGGGTGGAAGAAGAAGCATGTCTATTCTCTCTTCATTATCATTCTCCCTTCTATCCGATTTTATCGTCTCCATCGATCCAATCGTACCAGCCCGGACTGAACCCAAGAGCAAAAAGAGTGCTTTTCCATCGAGAATCCAAGAGATGACGCATCTTCTGTCTTTTTATCTCTCTCTGTCGTGTCCTGTATGCCCGTCCCTATCCTGATAGGTCTCGTCATCATCATCATCATCATCATCATCGTCATGTCCAGAATGATATTCTCATTCTCGTTCTCGTCCGTCTGTACAATAAAAGCGAAATATCCGTGGGTGGGGGGGGGGTATCACGCTTGCAAAAATACCAGAAAACAAAAAAAGAATAGGAGGGTTATTAGCGACGACGAAAAGAAGAAGAAGAAGAAGAAGAAGAAGAAGTCGACGATGATGATGGTCTCCCCGACCGATCCTGCTCCAGCGAAACGGTACGATTATCACCCACCAACCGAGCCGTCTCCCCCTCCAAGACCAGACTCGAGGAGAACATGGCGCGCACCCGGCCGACCCTCCCAAAGGGGACGCGCGCGTGGAGAGCGAGATGGAAAGCGCCGCGGCCGTCTTGGGCAACGCCGACGGAGCCGGGAGCGACGAGGCCCCAGTCGCCGGTCTGCAGGAGGGGGCGCGGGGCGCGGAGGTAGGGCCCGTGGATCTGGCGCGCGGTGGCGTAGCGGGTCGTGTAGGAGTTGAGGCGCGTGCAGCCGGAGCTGAAGAAGAGGAAGTAGATGCCGTCGGGGGAGCGGACGAGCATGGGCGCCTCGACGAGGGGGCCGTCGGTGGGGATGTTGTGGAGGATTTCCACGGGGTCGCCGTCCGGGGTGAGGGCGTCGGGGGACAGTTTCTGGAGCATGATGGGGGTCGGGACGATTTGGCCGCGGGTGTTGCCGCATTCGCCGCCGGCGCCGATGTTGTTGCCGTCGATTTTGTAGGTGAGGTAGATGGTGCCGTTGATGTCGCGGATGGCCTGCGGGTCGATGGCGCCGCCTTCGAGCATGGGACAGGCGAGGGAGTCGTTCTGGGCTTTGTAGGGGCCGGCGGGAGAGTTGGTCTCGGAGACTGCGGCGCCGATGCAGTGGGGGAAGGGGTGGTGAGGGTTGTCCCAGTGGCGGTAGGGACTCTGGCCCTTGGGGCGGTCGGCGTAGTACATGACATACTTGCCGTCGTCGCGCTGGATCACGGCAGGCGCCCATGTGAAGGAGACATGCGGCACGACAATCTTGCCGTCTTCCACATTGTGGGTCCAGTCGCCGGTGGTGGACAGAGGCTGGTCGGCGAGACTGGCGAGGGTCCAGTCGAGGAAATCGGACGAGGTGGCCATCTGCACATTGGCCCTCCCATAGTCGACGGTGTACTCTGCGGCGTCCGACTTGCCCTGTGCGAGGACACCGGCGGCGTTGTTGGTGGCGAAGGCGTACCAGGTGCCGTTGGCGTAGAGAATGGCGGGATCAGGGAAATTCGAGGGGATCGCACGTCGGATGGGCGAGTTGTGATGCTGGGGAAGGATGACATTCCCATCTCCATCGCCCGACACGCGCGCATGATGATCGCGGTCGAGGGTGACGGCGACGACGGTAGCGATGACGCCGAAGAGAATGATGAGCATGATGGGCAAGAGGACGAGGGATCCAAGCGAGAGGAAGGAGAAGGTGCGGTATTCCTGCTGTTCGGCCTGGTCAGGGGGGCAATTCTTCTCCTGGTCCTTGGGTAGTGATGCAGACGTCGGCGTCGTGGTCGTGACCAGACGAGGTTTCGTGAAATATCTCTGAAAGAAGGTCATATCCGGAGGGGTGAATGGGGGCTGGTTCATGGCTTGTGATGGTGTTGTCGTCGGCAGGTGATTCTGATTCTGATTCTGATGATGAGTCTCATGGTGATTATTGGGCGAGGGAGTGAGGTCGTCGGGTGAGGACCGAGTGGGAGAAGCGGCGGCGTCCGAGGGCGGAGGGGACACAGGTACAGACACAGACACCGACACAGACACAGCAACATGCAGCTCCTCCTCGTTGTCGTCGCTTGTGGGAGGTGTGGAATGATTCCCACCTTCCTCCTGCATTCTTGCCATCTTGATTCCGTCGTCCAGCGCGACCGGCAGTCATGTGCAACGGGGGAAGGCGTGTAGCACGAACCAACACCAGGACTGCGAAGGTAAGTCGGATCTCGTCTACGCAAACATGGGGGAGTGAGGAAATGAGCGTGGTGAGAGAGAGGGAGGAAGGATGAGTGAAGGAGAGGAAGACTACTACTCTCCTCTCCTACCTACCGACGGCGGCTATCTGTCGATGTAGTGCGAGTGTACTGTAGACGAACGAGTGTTTCGAAGTGCTCGATGCTCCACACCACACCTCCACCCACCTGCAGCGCGCGAATGTGAGGCGGCGTCGCGTCGACATGGACCCCGTTCCAGACGGCTTATCAACATCTCCACGAATTCCAGAGAAGGACATGGTCGGAGGAACATAGAGTCAGACATTGTTGTCGCTTCTGCAGATGGCCCGACGCACCTCCTTCTGCAGTCTTGGATGCAAGATGCAATCGATATGATGCGGTATCTTCGTCTTCAGACCAACTTCAGCACATTCATCAAATTCAGCAGACTGCCGTCGTAGTACGATTTGATACTGCCAGGACCAGGTCCCATCGCAACGCGGACGGCCACGACGCGAGAATGACGCGCTCCCACCCCCCGTCAGCACGTCTGCCAACGGCACTGCTTATCTTCACCTCATCACCTCGTCATCTCCCATCTACTCTATTTAACATCTTCCATCTACCGTCTACCATCTACCATCTACCATCTACCATCTACCATCTACCATCTACCATCTACCATCTACCCGTCCAACTGTACCGCCTCACACTCTTCTTCCCTCGTATCTTCACCACTCCAGCTGCCCGGTCCGTCTGCCGTCCTGGGTGCTGGAGCTGCCTAGCTCGACAGGGTTACTGCTCAGCATCCGTCACCGCGCCAATCCCATAGCTCTGAGATGCCAGGATCACACTACCGCGGGCGAGAAACATCCCGTCTTCCGCTGGCTGGCTGGCGAGTCTAACTCATATACAGGCAGCTAACAGAGCACCTCACCTGGTAAGTCGCCGATCTCCATCCACCCACCACCGTCCCTCTTCCGTCATCATGAAACTTCCAACGAAACAATCGACTGAGATTCCATGGGAGACATTCACGACGTCTGGGGAAACCGGGCGGGCGAGCAATTGGGATGGACCGGCGGGAGGAGACTTGCTTCGAGCCCTTGAGGTCCATGAGGTATGGCAGACGGGGAGTCGAGGAGCTCTTACGTCGCTTTCGACTTGGCTGCTGCTGCGTACCTTATCAACCAACCAGGTACGGCGGGCAACCGGGCTCAAAGTCGCAGACGTTTCTTCTGTCTCTTCTCAGAGCAGATCAGATCGTCGGAGATTCCAGCCGTGTAGCTATTCTATCCTTCTTCTTACTGCCCCCCAGAAAAGGGCAAGAGTGGGATATCTTCTGTGTCCGTCTGTTCGGTCGCGATGAAGCTTGAAGTCTGAAAAAGAATAAAAAATAAAAAAAGTTCAGAATGGTATATCGCATCGCGTCACATCACATCACATCACAAAATCAGACCTTCACCATTTCGCTCGGCCCCCAATTATCATCCCTTTCTGTCTTTCTTTCTGTCCTCCGCGGGTATCATCATCCTCATCCTCGTTCTCACCCTCATTCTCATCCTCATCCTTCGCATCTCCTCTCCTCTCACTCGTTCTAATTCGAAATCTTCGACGGAATCTAAGGAAAAAAGCCAGAATATCAGTCCCAACACCTTACGTGCGTGCTTGCTAATAGAGAGCGAAAGAAAAAGAGAGAGGAAACAATACCTTCTTGCCCGTCTTCTTCTCGATAAACTCGCGGATCTTATCCGTCAGCTTCTCGTTCTTGGCCCGGTATTTGCTGGGATCCACCGGGTGGCCCGAGGCCGCGCCCGCTTTCTTCTCGATGGCGTCGACGGCTATATACGCGCGGTTGATTGTGAGTTAGCTAGATGATAAGTGAAGTGAAGCGAAGTAAAGCAAAGCAAAGCAAGCACAGATGCATGGATGGATGGATGGATGGATGGATGGATGGATCGTGGATGGATGGGCTTTCTGGGGGATTCAAGGATTAAGTTGCTTACCCTTGTCGAGGTAGTCTTCTTGAGGTTGGGCGGCCATTTCCTTCAAATTCGTGTTCTTATCCTGTAGACGGGATGGAGGGGAAGTTGGGAGGAGGACGGAGGGAAGAGCAAACGGGGGAATTGGATAAGTGTGCAATGATGGAGTGAGATGAGGGAGATGTCACATCGGCTGTGCCTTGAAACTGCGGTTGGGTTTCACGCGAGATGGGATCTTCTGGTCCGATCGATCGGCGGGCGCCCGTCATCATACATCGCGACACGGCGTTGCCGTTTCGACGGGCCGTTCCGTCTGTACCGGTCTCCGGTGTGACGGTGATGGTGGCTGTGGCTGACGAATTTGCAATGCGCGGAGCGGATCGTGCAATAATCAAGCATCTTTCTTGCTGGACGAGCTTCTCCTTCTTCCCCCGACTGCCGTCTGTCGTAGAGATGGCCGAGGCACTGGAGGAAGCGGGCGGCGGGAGCGCCAGGCTGGCAAAGGATTTGTTTTCCGGCGCTGTGGGCGGCATTGCACAGGTGTTGATCGGTGAGCATGTGAAGACGGTCGGAATGAGGTGGTGGATCGTCTGTGAAGATGCTGGGCTAACCCGTGGCAAGGTCAACCGTTTGGTAAGCTCTAAATTTCGAGAAGCGTGGCACGACACCGCCGAGACTGATTCCAATGATGCCCAGACATTGTCAAGGTTCGATTGCAGACCACGACACAGTACAAAGGCGCACTGGACTGCGCGTCTCAGATCCTCAAGAACGAGGGCGCCACGGCGTTCTACAAGGGCACTCTCACTCCACTCATCGGGATCGGAGCGTGCGTGTCCGTCCAGTTTGCCGCCTTCAACTATGCCCGGCGCGTGCTGGAGGAGCGGAATGCCGCCAGACTCCAGACGTCGGTCGAGAGATTGGAACAGGAAGCGCAACCGTTGAGTTATGCACAGTACTACGCCGCGGGAGCTTTTGCCGGGCTCGCCAACACCCTCCTCTCCTCCCCCATCGAGCACGTCCGGATCCGTCTGCAGACCCAGCCTCACGGAGCCAACAGACTCTACACGGGGCCCGGCGACTGCATCGCGCAGCTCTCCCGCTCGCCATCCATCGCCATGGGCCTCTACCGCGGCACCAGCGTCACGCTCCTCCGCGAAGCCCAAGCCTACGGATTCTGGTTCCTCACCTTCGAATACCTCATGAACCAGGACGCCAAGCGCAACGGCTACGCGCGCAGAGACATCCCGACGTGGAAGATCGCCACGTACGGCGGGTTGGCGGGCGAGATGCTGTGGATCTCGAGTTATCCGTTGGACGTGATCAAGTCCAAGATGCAGACGGACGGGTGGGGCGAGAAGCAGCGGTATAAGTCGATGCGTGATGCCTTTGCGCAGACGTTCCGGCAGGAGGGCCTGATGGGCTTCTGGCGGGGCGTGGGACCGACGTTGCTGAGGGCGATGCCGGTCAGCGCGGGTACGTTCGCGACGGTGGAGCTGACGATGCGGCTGATCAGCTGAGAGAGCGTGGTATGGAACGGGAACGGGAACGGGAACGGGAAAGGGCAAGGGCAAGGGAAAGGGGAGATAGAAAGGCGGCCGTGTGTATTGTGGTGGTGGTGGTGGTGTTTTCCGCTCTAAGCGCGTGTACCACCACACACGATGTCGAATGGAACGGTCCCGTGACTGCTGTCGTTGTTCCTTCCCTGAATAGGAGCTGTCGGAGAGGGGACTCTGCACTTCCCCGGAAGCCTAATTCTCCCTTAGTCAGCGCTGCGTCTGTTCCCGTCGTTACTACTTCGACACCGACTCTTGCCACTTCCGTCAACGTCCACCGACTTTTCTTCTACGCCTTCTTCTTCACTTTCTATCCTCCCTCTCATCCGCCCGACTAAAACATCCCCGGAGGACATTCTCTAACACATCTCCGGAGAGTGCCCTTCGAGACATTCTTCGACACGTCCACGCTTGGAGACGTTCTCCCAGAAGATGCTCGATCAAGCTCCGTTCCGACTCCTGCACCTCCCCGTGGAATTACAATGCTACATCCTCCAACACGCCCTCGACTGCCTCACCGCAACCATCCATCTCGCCTGCCGGAGCGACTGCACCGTCCACCCCTCCCGCTCCCAGAGACCCTCCGCCCTGCCCACCCTGCAAATCTTCCACAATCTCCGCCTCACCAACCAAACCCTCCGGAAACTAGCCCAGGATGTCTTTTACGACGTCAACCAATTCACCTTCTGGCCCTTCGCCATGCCTCCGAATCTAGGGCCCGCAGAGGGCAGAGCGTGCCGTCTCAAGGGCGTCCGACACCTCATCTTCGAGCAGGATCCCGTGCACATGACATTCCGGAAGACCCGCCTGGCGATCCAGTTCCGCCGCCTGAAGACCGGATGGGAGTGTAGCTGTGGGCCCGACGAGGAGATGATTCAGCGCTGTTGGCCCCAAGACGTTCACGATCACAATCACCACGACCGGTTATCCCTCGCCTTCACGACCGTGGCATTCCAAGACCCCTGGGTCATGTCTCCTTCGTGCGACAACCCGGAAGACGCCGAACGGCAATCTCATCTTCTGAAAGACCTGCGTCCGCAGGAACAGAAATTGGGCCTCGTGACTTCCCTGGCGCTCGTGATGGGGGAGAGATTTGAGATGTTATTGCGGGAAAAGGGCAGAGGGGAGGATCTGACTTTGGGGGATCTGAAGCGGTTGAGGGAGATTATGGTGGGGTATTTTGACACGGTGCCGTTTGAGATTTGGTTGCCGGGAGGAGGAGGGGGAGGAGGGCATGGCGAGGGGGAGGGGAATTACATTGCGAGTATGCGCTATGTCTTCGAGCAGGTTCCGTTGTTGCGATTCATTGGGGATGACAAGGCATGATGAATCTTGAATCGGGAGACGAGACGGCGATGAGATGTTTATTATATATAAACTTCTCCAACCCGCCGCTCGAGCCGTACGGGTATCTACCCACACCCGCATCTCAAGACTCAAGAAACCCCCGGAAACCATGTCCGAAGGACTCTCTCCGCCCTACGACGACGGTGCTGGCTCCCGAAGCGAAGATCCTCTAGTAACAGTCACCACTGAGCCAGAGCACAGAGACAGTTCTTCGCCGCTACCCTCCGCTCTGCCGTCGCACGTTTCTCCGCATAAACACGGCTACCGTATTTGCTCTGACGACGAGACCGGGGTCCCGGATTGGAAAGGGGGAACGGTCGGTCGAGAATTACCTCGATTCGATGCAGCCGGTTGCGGGGCTGTAGAAGAAGTCAGAAATACCACGAGTAATTGGTTTTCCCCTTCCCTTGTGGTGATTGCTGCCATGGCACCTCTCATCCAATCAGTTGATGTCTGTCTGTCTGTCTGTCTGTCTTGATAAGGCAAAGCGGCGGGAAAAACGGCTCCTGGAATGAAATGAAATGAAATGAACAAAGGAAGAAGTAGATTGGTTGATGTATGTATGGTAGCTCCTTAGCTCCTTAGCCCGTCATCATGCATCATCAGTATTCATCATTCGTGACCGACCATCGAAGTGATGATTCAAAAGGCCTTTGATTGCTAATTCTTGGCATTACACAGCTCGCTGCAGGTCCGGTATTTCTGTCTGAGAATGGCTGCAAAGCTGCGAGAACGAAGAAGGGACTGTACTTTTCCTTGCATCTTTGTTTCGTGGTCTGGCATGGCAGTGCTATGGACCATCACATGCTTTTACGCTCGCGATGCAGAGTATCGGAAGGCCAAATGGTGTTCCCTGACCGGCGACATAATACCAGAGGTTGCCAGGCCGACGAGAAGTTTGGTGGTGAATAGAGCAGTATAGGAGATTGAGCTTTGCTCTTTCGCCAGCATCATAAGCACAGTGGATTTCCATGGAGACTATCATTCACACGCGTCGGGTTGCGAGGTAAGCCTGTGGTGAACGTGAATCGATTTTCCACTCCTGACAGTCAATCATTCCGCAATGATGAACACGAGCCGCCGACATTATTCACCACATGACGTTCACGGCAAACTCTCCGTGAAGACTTTATGCACACATGCCTTTTCATTAGAAAATGCCGCGAGCAACAGGAGCGTTGACTTCTTCATGCTCCAGCGTACATCGATCATGGAAGCGACAGCATACACGAATCGCGAGGCTTCCAAACAGCAGACGGCCTCATCGTTCGAGACCGAGGAGCAAGCGCAGTCTCCCGAGCGTCCGTCATTTCGAACTCTGCAGAAATGGCTCCGCGACGATACCAGAGCGTATGAAGCTCAAGAAGACCATCTTCGACGACTTGAGCTGACGCCACCCAAACGCATGACTGTTGCAGAGCGTCAAAAGGTCGTCAATTGGGACTATGCCGTGATCAGGAGCTGTAAGGAGCACGCCGAGATCTTGCGCACGATCAAAAATGCGACCTTCGAGGAGGAGAGGGCTCGGGCGATGATCCAGGAGCTAGCTCTCTGCGCTGGTACCTTGGAGCGACGCGCGATGAAGCTGGCGGACAGGCTTGCCGACGAGCTGGGTGCGCTGGAGGACGATATTGGTGGGGAAAGTGTTGGCTCGGAGGACGGTCCGCCGCACGACGAGAACTCCGTCGATGGCAACCGCGATCAGGAGAGGAGCGGACAGGGTGAGGACCGACCGCGGAGATCGAGCGAAATCTCGAATGTGGCAGTGATTGGTTCGAGGGGCGAGGATGCTGCTCCAGACGACGATGATGCGGAATCATCAGACACCGATAGCGAAGAGAACGCCCAACGGAGGTGGAAGGCATGTGTCGGGCAAGGTCCTACTTCGCCCGTCCGTCTTCTGTTCATGAAATGATAAGGAAACCCATCGGGCAACCTATATCATGGCTCCTGGAACGCACATCTCCCGCAACGAGTTGCATCGTGGTGGTTCGACGTTGAGCGACGATGCTGCGTCTCAACCCTTATCTATCCTGAAGCATTGTCAGATTCTACCCTCGATGCCGATCGAACGGACACTCCCAAGGAATAAATGTCCGACTGCATCCGGAGTCGCAATCCCAGAGATGCAGAAAACCGCGCTGGCCAAACGCGAACCACCCGACCATACTCCAGGAGGGCAGTACATGCGAGACGAGGCGCAGTTGGGCAGATAACACCAGAACGGTCCAACAGTTCGAAGCTGATCCACGGCGTGCCGCTGTATACCTTGAACTCGTTACGCCCAGGAGCGGCGATGAACCTTGCGGTATTGGGCTCAGGCAACACTTTAAGGGAGGAAGCCGCCGGCTGCGGGCAAGCATCGCCTCATATAAATTGGCGTCTACTGCGTCATTCGGCGCAGGTTAAACAGGTATTGCATGGTACACGGATGAGCTTCGTCCGGCCTCATACAGCGATGAAGTGACGTGGATAGCGCGCTGTCAAATAATGAGACAGGCATCTTCCCTGCGTCGTGCGCTGTGACACTTTGATCTTATAATAATCGTAATCAACGCCAACCACCCGCGCTTTCGTCATTCTCAGTTCACACATCCTTTCTTCCGTTGGACGACTGCCTCTCATGGTAGCCAAAAGCCGGCACTATGCAAAATCATCATACGGCGATGAGCGCTGCTGGCCTCGACATGAATGCTCTGCGGCAGATGATCAAGCTGGACGTCGCTGCATGTAACGAGTTGCAGACCAAGATCCACCAGTACAGATGGGAGATTTTGGGCGGTAAAAGGCCAAATGATAAGGAGTTGGATCTCATGGAAGCGTCAAACAAGGACATGACCAAAGACCTGGTGCAACGGATCGAACGGATCGAAGGGCAGGGACATAAGACTTCGTCGGATCGAGAGATGTTGCAAGCTCTCAATGCACGACTGGCGGTGTGTGACCACCAGCAAATGCGACTCACCGAGTTGCGGGATTTGGACCGGGAGACGAACGGTGGTAAATGTCCAGAGAGAGCCACCAAATTTGCTGAAGATAATCTGCCGCTGGGAGGCCGGTTGAGAAGACCATCCAATTCACCGCAATCGAGAGTGACAGAGCATCTTCGTTTGAGCAGTGAGGCGGACGCCAGATCAACGAGCCCAGGACCCATCTTTGAAAGAGCTGACAGCAAGGCCGCTTCGCCTGCTGGTAGTCGAGACCGTGGGACGATGGACGAGTATCCATGCAGAGCCTCTCAATTGTCCGGTTCGCCTCGGACACCGGCCTCGCCTTCGATGGCCTTTGGTACACCTCCCGGACAGCCTCAGCCACCATCACGTGGTGTTGGCATTACCAGAGCGGCGACAGACACCCTCACGGGTCCGCCTCGTCGACCTTCACCGCAAGCGCCACCGATTTCTCCCGCAACGACCTTCGGTACACCATACCGGCCATCGCAAACACCACCACAAGCGACAGTCACTGCGAGAGCGGCGAGAGACGGATCTGGTGAAGACATGTCTGCGAGGAGACACTCGTTATTCTCACCGCCGCCACCTCCACCCCTTCCAGTCGAGACACCGCACGCACAGTCGAGGGCTGCGGCAACTCCAAGCGCGCACTCGGCTATTCCCAATCGGATGTTCAGGGACAGCACTGATGATGTTCCCGGCAGGAGACATTCCACGATGACGCCGCCATCATCCGCGCCGCCACCACCCGCACAGCCAGTCGAGCTGGTCAATATGCCACGAAAATCCAATGAGTCCCCGCGGCCAATGTTCTCCAACGTGAACTGGTCTCGCACCGATAACGTGAGCGCTACCTCCGCTCAAGCCAACCAGCCGCGAGATCCACCACTTCAGAACTACGCGGACACAGCCCGAACGTCCGGAACACCGATCGAGTATCCGGCCGCACCGCCATCACTGACTTCTAGCAGGCCTGCCGAGCGCTTCTACGACAAGTATGTCAAGTCAGCTCCGCAGCATATCCCGAGGGCCAGCGGTGATCCGAGAGCGTCCTCTGAGAATGTCACACAAGTGCCGCATCGTCGTCCCTCGCAGCTCTCGCAGATGACACCAAAGTATCTTGACACACCGAAAGGCGCAAACAACGTGTCGCGACCGTCACCGCCGGAGCCGATCACCGAACGGCAGAGTACGCCGTACAAACCTCCGATGAGCGGTAGCTCGCGTACGTCAAGCGAGTACTCGCTACCGCCATCTCGACCGCGTTCGGCGACGAAGCGTTCATACGAAGCTCCATACGTTAGAGATGCGCTGGATGACGATACCGAACTAGAGCCAGACAGGTCGGGGTGGCCGCTTTTGTACCGTATACTGGATGTGGACCCAGCGACGGACTCAAGCGTGTTTGATGCCACTGCTCGAAGGTAAGCCTCTCTGCCAAGTTGCGCTGAATCCAAGCTGATCATTCATCCAGAGCTTTGACCAGGATGAGCTTGAAGCACGATCCAACTAAGGTTCCTGGTGATCCCGAAGCGCCAGTCCGCTGGGCGGCGGTCCTTCAGGCGTTCGATACTCTCATTGATCCGGAGCGGAAGAGGGCATACGACATCCATAGTGCCGAGCTGGTAGATTGTGATGATTCTGACTTTGCGAAACTAAGCATGAATCCAGCCTCGCGAAGGTAGTGAGACGGCAAGGCAGGGCCGTGATGTACATGTGTTGAGGTGGTTGTGTCGGTGAGCTTCTTTGTACTTTTCTCTCCTTCCTGCAGGGTTGCTGTATTCCGGATACTCGGGCATTGGGAAGGCTGTCTGATATGTTTCTGTCTGATATATTTCGAAGCGGGCTCCACTTGTTTGTTGGGCGTCACCGCCGATGATCGAATGCTGTAATGGCAATTGCTTCATTCTGATGAACCGTTGCATTTCCACTTTGCAAGCGATGCATTGCCGACTGATGTGGAGGATGTCTTGCAGAGAATGTCGATGCGATGATGTTGATGTTGTTGATGAAGAAGATGAGATGAGGTGACGAGACGCGTAGGAATCCAAGCGCGCTAGTGATTGCTGCCTCAGGCAAGGACAGACTTCGTCGACTTATCGGGAGGAGCTTTCAGCGCAATGATTTCAAGGTGCCGTGAACGATGATTGTTAGCATTAAGACAACGCTCTGGATAGAGGTAGGTCGTGCAGCTGCTTGACTGCCTGTATCGTGCAGACACCAAGGCTCCGATGTCCGCTGCGAAGATCTGCAATACTATATTTGCCGTTCCCATTTCTAGTGGCACGCGTGGAATACAAGCCCAAAAGTATATATCATCGAGCTTCTCACCCGCTCCATAGCAAGGGAATAAGGCACAAGAAGATCAGCAGAAGATTGATGGGTTGGGGACCAAGCTCAAAGAGGCCAATTTTGACGGGGGAGGGCCTCCGAGAAGCAGCAGAGGAAGACCAAGACAAGATTGTCGGTCTCGAGCAACAGCTGACAACAGCTCTCGCAAGGCAAAGTGATCTTGCAATTGCCGTCAGCGAGAACAAGAACGGAATCGAGCGCCTTGGAAAAGAGAACGAGAAACTCGGGGAGCTCAGATCGCAGCTTGAGGATTGGAAACCCAAGCTGAAAGTGCCGTGACTGCGGACCAGGGCGAGATCGTCGTCCAGAGGATAGAATGTGAGCACATCTGGAGCACCTGACAGTGCTCATTGAGGCTCGAATCACTCAGGTCCAGCTTCCAGATGCTGCACTTGCGGACCAGGGCAAGATCGAAGCTCTTCAGAAAACCGTCCAGTCCTGGATCAGTAAACTCATCGCAGAGAAGGGAGCTCTCCACACATGCGAAGAGAAGCGTAAAACGGAGTCCGAAGCATACATCAGCATCTTTGGCTGGATGGACAGAAGCGGGCACTGGAATTCTGGAGCAACGCAACATGTCCAGCCAGCATCGCACAGCACGCAAGATGGCCGAAATCAAGGTAGAGACGGTCGAGAAGGAAGTCGCGAAAGCTCGGGAAAAGCCATCAGAAGCCCACCAAACAATCCAGGAATCGAACGACGCAGAATCTCGAGCCAAAGCCGCGGAGACCGAGGTTGAGAATCTCAAGCAGGAGATTGCGGATCTGAAGCGAGGTCTCTCAGACGAAGCTAAGTGGAATGAAGAGCGACTCGGACTGGAATATGAGCGTCGTTAAGGGTGTGGGCGAAAGAAGCGGCCAAGAGTGAGTGGTGAGGGTGAGGATGATAATCGGCCATCAAAGAGATGAAACCTGTGGACGGACCACGCGTTCGCGTGAATATTAGTGTTGAGCTTCTAACCATGTGCACGTGCATGAGCATTCCGCTCCCGCGTTTGCAAGATGTCCCGGTGTGGCGGCGGTGATGTGGTGTTTATGGAAAATCACATGAAGCGTGAGAAACGCATAACACTTCCAACCTCTGGCTTCCACGGCGGCTTAAATACCATAAGCTGTGATGGATCATTCTGCTAGACCCAAGTTGGCTATTTGCATGAGCACTAAAGCATTGCTATGTTACACTACGTCTCCAAAGCTCGTTCCAATGCTTCACTTCCCATCCCCGTGCACAGCGTGCGTTCTCGCAGTCACCTCACCCCACGATCGTCGCCAACTGTGTGCACTGAAATAGAAGTTTCTGGATGGTTATCAGCGATTGGAAACGCTTCTGATAAAGATGGCTATTCTCGTCTCACAGCAGAACGGCATAACTCAAGCTCTGTCACAAGCGGTCTCGGGAAGCAGCATGACCACCAGCATGAGGCCCACCACATCCCGCATCGACAAACGCAGACAATAACCTCGCGCTTCTTGTCCTGATCTCTTTCTCTTCTTGTCCCTTCTCCCACACAAGCAAAAAACTTCCATCAAACTCATACCTCACTGATTGCCACATTCCAACCCCGACCACCTCAAAACATGGCCGCGTCCGTCGATCTACCAAACAAACCACCTGATGTTTCGCCGCCCGCCCCTCCTCTTCCACCGCCTCCGCCACCACATCCATCACCTGCTCCAGTGGCCCATCAACCCCTAACGCCCCCACCAAGCATCCATGGCGAGAACTACATCCCGGATGAATATCTCGAAAACGACCGCCGGGTCGCAGGAATCATGCTGATGCTCAAGCAGCACCAACTCCATCTCAGATCGCAAGGGCAGGATGTCGGGCGTCTGCATGAGGAGAATGGAGATCTCAACGACAAGGTGCAGAGCATGAGCAGGAGCGATAGCAGATTGCGGGAGGAGAATGCGAGGCTGGAGAGCGTTTGCAAGGGGCTGGAGAGGGAGAAGAAAGAAGGGGTTGAACGTGAGGGTGAGCTGAAGGAACGCGTTAAGCGATTTGGGGAGCAAATGGAAGCGGGAAAGCTACAGCTGGAAGCCAGGGACGGAGAGATCCAGCAGCTTAAGGGCAAATTGGAAGCGAAAGACTTACAGATGAAAGCCAACGATGGAGACATTCGGCAGCTCAAGAACGAATTGGAAGCGAAAGACTTACGGCTGAAAGCCAAGGATGGACAGGTCCAGCAGCTTCAGGGGGAACTGGAAGCGAAAGACTTACAGCTGAAAGCCAACGATGGAGACATTCGGCAGCTCAAGAATGAACTGGAAGCGAAAGACTTACAGCTGAAAGCCAAGGATGGACAGGTCCAGCAGCTTCAGGGGGAACTGGAAGCGAAAGGCTTACAGCTGAAAGCCAAGGATGGAGACGTCCAGCGGCTTAAGAATGAATTGGCTACTAAAAACACACAGCTGGAAGTCAAGGACGAAGAGACGCAGCAGGCTATAAGGGAATTGGAAGCAAATTACCGACAGCTGAAAGCCAACGACGAGAACATTCGCCAACTCAAATGCTCTCTTGAGTCGCTGAAAGGAGAGAAGGAGAAACTCTCGACAGAGGCGCAGGACCAGAAGAAGTCGGCCTCGGAGAATCGGAGCCGCGCGAATCATCTTCAGACGCGGATTGATTCGCTTCTGCGCGAGAAAGAGGAGTTAAAGCTAGAGAACGCTCGCATAAGAAGCGAGATCTTAAAAGCAGAGTCCGAGAAAGAGGATTTCCGCCATTCTGCTGAGGAAGAGACCGCCCGTCTGGGAAAGAATCTCGAGGCCGCGAATGCCAAGCAGCGCGAGCTCGAGAAGCAGATCGCAGGCGAGCAGTCGAAGCGATGCGAGCTCGAAGAAGCAGCAAAGAGAGATCAACAAGAGATCGGGCGACTGCAAGGCTCTATGACCTCCTGGGTGAACGCCAACAACGCCGCCAAGACCGACTGCAACAACATGAGGAAGCAATGGCAACAAGAAAGCCGCCTACACCAGATCGAAGAGCATAAGCGGAAAGCTTTGGAACAGGACTTGGCAGGCTGTAAACGTACCTTGCAAGCTTGCAAAAAAGACCTAGAGAAGGCGAAGCAGGATCTTAAGAAGAAGGGACAAGATCTAGACAAGGAGAAGCAAGGTCGGGTGTACGCCAATACACAGCTGGAGAGCCTGAAGAAACTCGCGCAGGAAGACGAAGAGAACGCCGCTGCACATCTCAAAGCACGCAAGGCCGCCGAGAAGCACGTGGAGCAGCTTGAAAAGGAACTTCAGACGGCCTTGCAGCGGACGAGTAAAGCCGAGTCGCAACTGAAAAACGCTACCGCAGAGATCGCTGAGCTCCAGCAGGACATCGAGCGTCAAGATGAATTCAGCGATCAGCTCGCAAAACTGATCCGCCGGGAGAAGGACGACCGGAAGCCGTCGAAGGAAGAGCGGTTGAAGCGGGGACGATCAGACGACGAGAAGGAGGAGAAAGAAGAGCGACCGGCGAAGAAGTCGTGTCTCGAAGAAGAATGGCATCCTTCAAACGACCCGTCGTTCGCCTAGTCCTGGTGGTTACTTATTCCCGAAAGCTTTGTGAAGAATCCAGAGGTGTGAGTTGTAGCGCAGTACAGTGGTGCGCGGTCGCATCGTCTCTCAGGCGATGCGCACGATACGATAGCAAGAGATACCCAACGAAAGCATTGTATAGTGCTCAGGTTAGCATCCGGTCTCGAATTTTTTAATGATATGTTTTGCTCATCCGTGTTGTCAAGAAAGGCAAAAAGTCCAAGAGGAAACGTATGCAAGACGGATGCGGTCCGATCTGGTGATGAAGCCAAGCGCGGAGCAAGCCCGTACGAGACCCGGTTTTCTCCCTGTGCGAGAAGCGGAGAGGTCGGAACAGCAGTACGACGTGCCACAATCCAGTGAAGCTCCACAAGAATGCTGCTGTTATTGGCGGAGGAATGCTGTTATTGACGAAGCTATGTTGTCATTATCATTTGATGTTAATTGTGCAGCTTCAGCGAAGTCGCTGTGTTGCTTGCGTCTTCACATGCAACGCTCGGTTCTTTCCGGAGTCGGCTGGATACAAGGAGCGTCCGATTTCGGCGTGGCAGGGCATATGGGAGACTATCGGATTGGGTACGTGCTGGTTATGTCAAAGCGTTGCCGAGGCCCTGTGTAATAGAGCAGCATTCTGCACAGGCGCAGGCATGAGACGCGTACGTGCGCAGCGATTCAGATAATTTCTGCTGACAGGATAGAGTTGCCCTCCGAAAAGGAGCACTTCATGAGCACTCCATGAGCACTTCATCGCAGGTGTCAGCGCAACTTGATTCTTGCCGATCCAGAGTGGATTTGGAGAGGGCAGATCTCGCGTAGGACACTTCCTTCAAGCCCTCTCAGCACCACATGCTCTTCGTGCCATCTTTACAGGTGCCTTCCATTGCCGGAAGCCCAAGGCACTTTCCAGCTGCCCATACTGCTTCTCGGTAGCATGGTACCTGCTGATCACAGGAGGACGCCTATGCAGACGATGATTTTCAACTTTTCCAACGACCAGTTCCACCTTCATCGCATGTCTCCAATCTCAGCGTCAGCCATGTCCTCCTCGGTCATCCTCTTTCCATTGTCCGTTGTCAGGCCTGCAGCGGCCTCGGCCTCCTTCTGGGTGTATGGCTCTTCCTTCAGCTGACGCACACGCCTCTTGTGCGGCTTGCCCTTAGTATGCCTCTCCAGATTCGTCTCGGACTCGAACCACTTGGCGCATTCGGTGCAGTAGAACTCGCCAAAGCCAGGAAGGTCTTCGGGCGCCTTGGTCTCTTTGTACTGCTGGAGATGCTTCTTGGAGTGGACATCGGCGTGTATCTGGTCTAGATCACGGGTATGTCTCCGGGTCTTCGATTTCGACTTTGGACCTCGGATTGCCGGCATTTTTCTTATCCTGTGCGCCGAAGTCGGGGGATAAAGGGGGTATGCTGCTTGCGGATGCGCCGCGTTGTTGGATGGCAGCAAAGAGGCCTGGGGACCACCTGCAGCGTTCTGGGACCGGCTGGTCGTTGGCGAGTATGATATGCGGAATCGGATGAACGGTTCGTGGTGGGTATCTCGACGAGCGCACGGATCGATGTCACAGTGATGTGGTGAAAAATTGGAGAGGTCTGCAGGCTCGTGGCCGAGGTTATTGCCGAACAGTGATGCTCGCTTCGGTTGCTAGCGAGCTTCCGGACCAGCCCTTGCAGCCAATCACGGCGATGCTGAAGGCGGTTTAGTAACCTCTTTGGTCACCTACTTCTGTTTCTTCTTCCCGCCTGCGCCTCTATCTCCAACTATCTCCCCTCCAAAACATCCAATTGCCCTCCAAGCACGCCGCTGGAGCTGCATCTCACATTCCTCGCCAGCTCCACACCTTCTCAGTAGGCTGCTGGTCACCTTTCATGATGTTGTCGACAAGAGCGGCTGCGCGGCAGCTGGTATGTTTCCTCTGATAGCTCTACAGCTCCCGCCAGTGATGTGTCGATGGCCAGAGACGCTGACGATGAGGTTCTATAGCCCCGGCTGCTGGGCCGCCGCAACTTTGCTACCGTCAATGACGCCCTCACCAAGAAGGTCGAGATGACCAACTGGGAGAAGGGCCACTACATCAACTATGCCAAGATGAACGAGAACCTAAACATCGTGCGGCAACGCCTCAACCGTCCCCTCACATACGCCGAGAAGATCCTCTACTCGCATTTGGACGACCCTCATGGACAAGAGATTGAGCGTGGAAAGAGCTACCTCAAGCTCCGACCGGACAGAGTTGCTTGCCAGGATGCCACTGCTCAGATGGCCATCCTCCAGTTCATGAGCGCCGGCATGCCCAGCGTAGCAACTCCTTCGACTGTGCACTGTGACCATCTGATTGAGGCTCAGATTGGTGGTGAGAAGGACTTGGAGAGAGCATACGCGATCAACAAGGAAGTCTACGATTTCTTGAGCACCTCTTGCGCCAAGTACAACATCGGTTTCTGGAAGCCCGGCTCTGGTATCATCCACCAGATTGGTCCGTACAGCTCAATTCTTGGACGAAGAAGCTTCCTGCTAACATCATACAGTCCTCGAGAACTACGCTTTCCCCGGTGGTCTCATGATCGGTACTGACTCTCACACTCCCAACGCTGGTGGTCTTGGTATGTGCGCTGTCGGTGTTGGTGGTGCTGATGCCGTCGACGTCATGGCCAACCTGCCATGGGAGGTCAAGGCTCCAAAGGTCATTGGTGTCAAGCTTACTGGTCAATTGAGCGGCTGGACTGCGCCAAAGGGTAGGTGAATTCAGCACAAACGTTGAGGTACAGCAGACTGATCAGTACAGATATCATTCTCAAGGTGGCAGGCATTCTGACCGTCAAGGGTGGAACTGGTGCCATTGTCGAGTACCATGGTCCAGGTGTGGACAGCATCAGCTGCACTGGTATGGCCACGATCTGGTATGTCTCAATTGTTAATCGCAAAGTGTTGCCGCGCTGGAAGTTGCTGCTGACTAGCGGATCAGCAACATGGGTGCTGAAATCGGTGCCACCACCTCCGTCTTCCCATTCAACGACCGCATGTACGACTACCTCGCCGCCACCAAGCGTCAACACATCGGAGACTTCTCCCGTTCCTACGCCGCCGAGCTTCGCGAAGACCAGGGCGCCGAATATGACGAGCTCATCGAGATCAACCTCAGCGAACTCGAGCCACACATCAACGGACCATTCACCCCAGATCTTGCCACTCCCCTCAGCAAGTTCAAGGAGGCTGTCAAGGAGAACAAGTGGCCTGAGGAGCTCAAGGTCGGCCTCATCGGCTCTTGCACCAACTCCTCGTACGAGGACATGAGCCGTGCTGCCTCCATCGCCCAGGATGCGCTTGACCACGGCATCAAGGCAAAGAGCATGTTCACTGTCACACCGGGCTCTGAACAGATCAGGGCGACCATCGAGAGAGGTCAGTGAACTATCCCAGCCCTTTAACAATGGCACATCAGGCTGACTTTTTCATACAGATGGACAGCTCAAGACCCTCGAGGACTTTGGTGGTTTGGTTCTGGCCAACGCCTGCGGTCCATGCATTGGTAAGCGGATCACGTCTACGTCTGAGTGATCAATCCTGTGCTAACACGCAGTAGGCCAGTGGGACAGACGCGATGTGAAGAAGGGAGAGCCAAACTCGATCATCTGCTCCTACAACCGTAACTTTACCGGTCGTAACGACGCCAACCCAGCCACACACTCCTTCGTTACCTCGCCCGATATCGTTGTCGCCATGACCCTCGCCGGTGACCTCACCTTCAACCCACTGACCGACACCCTCAAAGACAAGGACGGCAAGGACTTCAAGCTCAAGGAGCCAACTGGTGATGGTCTGCCAAAGAACGGATACGACCCAGGCCGTGACACCTACCAGGCTCCTCCAGAGGACCGTGCCAACGTCCAAGTCGCTGTCTCTCCTACCTCCGACCGTCTGCAGATCCTTGAGCCCTTCCAGGCTTGGGACGGCAAGGATGCCACAAACCTCCCAATCTTGATCAAGGCCCAGGGAAAGACGACTACCGACCACATCTCGATGGCTGGCCCATGGTTGAAGTACCGTGGCCACTTGGACAACATCTCGAACAACATGCTGATCGGTGCCATCAACGCTGCCAACGGCGAGGCCAACAAGATCAAGAACCAGGAGACTGGCGAGGTCGATGCCGTTCCAGCTGTCGCTCGTGACTACAAGAAGAGAGGCATCAAGTGGGTCGTCGTTGGTGACTGGAACTACGGAGAGGGCTCCTCCCGTGAACACGCTGCTCTGGAGCCAAGACATCTTGGAGGTCTTGCCATCATCACCCGATCTTTCGCCCGTATTCACGAGACCAACTTGAAGAAGCAGGGCATGCTTCCATTGACCTTCACCAACCCAGAGGACTATGACAAGATCAAGCCAGATGACCGAGTCGACCTCAAGTGCACCGAGGTCGCTGTTGGCAAGCCAGTCACCATGACCGTGCACCCTGCGGACGGCGGCAAGGCATTTGACGTGTCCCTCAGCCACACCTTCAACGAGTCGCAACTCGAATGGTTCAAGAACGGCTCTGCATTGAACACAATGGCAAAGTCTGCGGGAGGTAAATAAGCTAGTTGGAGGATATGATAAGAGACCAGAGCGAAGGGAGTATGGAACATCTGGAATGATACAAATGACGCTCAGTCGTCGCTGCATACGAGGACCGAGGAGGCTCGCAAAGCAGCAGCAAAGGCGACGAGCATGTAGCATTGTGCATAGGACTGCTTGTTTTGAATTCAGGCGCGTTTGGTATTTTGGTGGGACGAGTGTACTCTGAGATGATTGTGAACACCAAACCGAGCCTCACTTTTCTCACGAATCTACAACGTTTGCAGAGCTATGACGATGCGCTGACTTCTTCAGTGCGCGTTTGTCGATGGGCGGAATGCTGATCCAATGCTCATATGCCTTCTCAGCGGCTGAGAAGATCCACGAGAGCTGGGTATGGTACCTGGGACATGTGCTGGTGGCGGACTGGGTCTGCTTAATTACATCCATCCAGCAGCCATGGAAGATTTGCAATACGATTCGATCTGCCTTCCAATGCTTTATGAAGTTACCCGGCAGTTCTGACAGGGCTCGAAAGCACGAAGACGTAATCAATACTGACTACCTTACTGGCTTCTTCACCTCCAAAAGACATGCAAAGACCTTGTTTCCGACATTTATACCTGTATCCTGGATGAGTGACTACGTTGCTGTACGGTAGCATACATTAGTGTTGAGAGTGGAGGTTTTCAGTGGCAGGAGTCCGGATCGATTTCCGCAGCTGAAGATGATTAGCAGCGGGACGAAGTCAGCATGACCCACGTGACTTTGACAATCTTGGCAACGGAAGCCGCCGAGGACGCCCACCCGAATTTGATTCTTCCAACTTCAGATCATTGACGCCGTTGGCAACTTCAGAACCTCGAACGCCAGTCAGCAACCAGAGACCGTCGCAATGGCCAGTACGTCATCTACACAATCTATAACCATCGCCGCTGCTGACACCGGACACAGAATCAAAGAACTCGTCTCAGCACAACCAGGCGAAGAAGGCGCACAAGAACGGGTATGCACGAAAACCTCCCAAATGCGACTGCGACGCGGGGTGCAAAGAGAATGCATACGAAAACAGAGGAGAATGGCAAAGATGATCAGGGCTGACATCGGATGGATAATAGTATCAAGAAGCCAAAGACGCACAGATACCCGTCGCTCAAGGGAACCGACCCTAAGTTCAGGAGAAACCACAGACATGCGCTCCACGGCACCATGAAGGCTCTGGTACGTACACCGCCTATCTTTCCAGTAGGAGTAGCGGCGATGCTGACAACTGCAACAGAAGGAGGTCAAGGAAGGCAAGCGTGATGCTGCTTAAGCGATCCACATCACACAGACCATGGATACGGCTTTCACACGAGCATGACTGTCACGGCGTCAAGGCGTACGCTCTCATACCACAGCAGGTAGCTGGAATGCAGGCCTGAAGGTTCGCTTTTTCCTTCGAGGTTCCCTCTCCATCTCCTTGATGTGATCATCCACGGCATATGTGTGTACAGCGCCTCGCAATATCTCCATGCGAGGATGTCTGAAGGATTTATCAACGTGCCAAGATAAATGTCATTTCGGTGAACACCATCTCATTACCAAACACGGACGCCGGAGTTTCTCTGTCGGCGTTTGTGCATGAAGCGGTGGTGACAACTTTTATGTGCGCGTTCCTCTAGTACAGTGAGAGCCGCTTTTCATACAGCCCAGGTGCGACGCCTGCAACATGCTACGTGCTCAGGCGCCAGGTCTTGCAACTGCTTGAAACATGTAGAAAACGCATGGAATGTAGGAGTCTCAATATTTCATTGTTCGTGGCATGTGAAAGCCGAGTCTTCTCTCGTCAATCCCGAATGTGTCTCGAAGTACTTGCAAGATGCAAACTTCTAGCCCTGCGGCAGGGTGATGAGGATATGGATGCTTCTTTATTCAAGGAAGATGCTCTATCCATTCCAGCCGCCTTCCCGTCGTGGTCACGGTTGCCTCTTTGAAAAGCGATTTCGCTTAAGTACGCTAGCGTGCTTTCCACTCCTGTGCAACAGCCTACTCCTGACCTCACCTCTTGCCGGACACTTCACTTCTCAGCTTTCTGACACACTCACACAACCTCGATTGCATCCTCTGGCAAGCAGGCATCGACCGGGTGTTCGACGAGATCATGGCGGACATACAGCAATGGCGCCGCAAGATACAGCCCGCCAGCCGAGTACGCACTCCAGCCCTGGAGGATACAGAAGATACACTGCCCCCGGCAACTCCAAAGCAACGCGGTTTGAAGTCGAAAGTCTCGTCCTACTTCGATCTCGGATTGCCCAAGTCCACCGTCGGCCAGGAAGAGACTGCCGAGCCGCAGCTTCCAATCTGGCCTCGGGACCAGCTGTATCCAGACCCGAATGTCGAAGACCAGATGGACTCCGTGATGTGTCGACTGATGGCGCACCCGCACATCCCGCTAGACGTATGCTTCAATGGCAACCTCATGCGCATCTTTGAAGGCTACGTAAGGCTGAAGGAGGAGCGGGACACTCTGCAGAAGCGCCTGGACCATGACGCTTCTGCTTTTCAGGCAATGTTGTCGAAGTATAATATGGCGGAGAAGGACTGGCAGGACGAAAAGGAGGATTTCAAAGAGGAGGTCAAACGCTTGGAGATTCTTCTGTCCAAGACAAGCAAGCGTGGCCTTGCCGAAGTAACTTTGGCACGGCAGGACAGTAGCCTCCGGAGCCGCAAGAGAGAGCGAAGTGACCACAAGGAAACGCTGCTGGAGTTTCTCGACCGTGCCAAGATTTTGCATCCTCCGGACAAGATCTATGAGAGCCAGAGAGGTAAGTGCTGATATTTTCCCGGGTCGTGCCTTTCTGACATCAGATAGCCACGATGAAACCCCTTTTCCAATCGCCAACAGACAAGGATAAAAGAATTTCGCAGACACTGGCGCAGAAAAAGAGTATGACGAACATTCATGCCGACTTACCATTTGGCACACCACCACGAGACATGAGGTTTTCGTTGACAAATGCCTCAATGCTGGAGCAACAGGCGCCGAACACCACGCGAAGACGAGCAGCCACGGCCTCAACCGATACCTCTGTAGACACTTTCTCGACCTTCAGTGCGGAAGGTGACATATTTCGACAAGGAGCCGGTCAGTCCAGGCAGCCAGATGTACCGGCAACCGATGAGAGCGCCTTCTCGGAGATCGAGCGTCTGGCGAATACGATTGCTCTGCGGCGCAATGTTGACCCCGAGAGCGTGAAGCCGCTGCTTATGAAACTCTTCCATGCTCCTCACGCTGCTTCCGGGGATCACAAGACCGGCGGTATCTCGACTGGACCAGGTATCGGCGAGGACTCCGCAAAGTCGCGAGGTTCCGCCAGAGTGGTCTCGGGCAGTGTGCCGGTGAAACGCCCATCTGCACTGTCGAAGGCTTCAGGATTCTTCAACAGACTGAGGCCGCAGCTCAGCGTAGACAACACAAGCAACTCTCGCTCGGTTTCGCGCCGATTCTCCTTCGAGCCCGGAGATGATGGCGCCGCCCAGAGCCGTGCGACAGCAGGAGTCACCGTACCTAGCAATAGCAAGGATCGTTTCCTCCGCAAGAGCGTTTCCCTCGACGCTTTGCAACAGATGTCGCAATCCACCGCGGTTGGAGTAGAAGAAATACATAATTTGTCGCCGGTAGCAGCATCTCCTACGACGTCCGCGCCGGCGGTGGATGGGAGGCCTCCTTCTCGGATCCCCACGCCAGTGTTCAACACAGGGTACCTGGCGAAGCCGCGCCAAGAACGCGAAGACTCAGCGTCCAGTCTGCTCACTGCCATCAAGTCAGCCGAAGACACCGAAAAGAGAAGCAACTCCTTGTCCAGCTCAGTGTGCAATTCGCCTCCTACTAGCCGTGGCGACGTGCCCAGAATCTCCCACCCTTACGAAGTGGATCAGGGAACTTTGTCTGCATGGCGATCACAAAGCAGCAGCAGTAACCGCCTGTTGGACCGTACGAACACGCTCCGTGGAGGCAATGTAGCCGCCGCTGCAGCTCGGACCACCAGCAACTCCAGCGAGGCCACTGGCAGTCAGACTCAGCCAAGCGCTCGCAGCTACGGCAGCGGCTGGTCCAACAATGGAAAAATCAGGCAGGACGTTGGTTCAGAGAATGCGCGACCAATGGGTTGGAGTTCTGAGCATTGGTTCGACACTTCTGGGATTTGAGGTAGCAGTGAGGCATCGGCACCGAAACTGACCATGTGAGATATTCGCTTCGACGAGGAAAATCGCGGTGTGAACGCGAGCGGACAAGGCTGTGAAGTTTGCACAGCCATCGACAGCTAATTTGCCACTCTCATCATGTTTTGCAGCACCGCACATGCGTCAGCTGAAGGAGAGGCAGCCTGGGCATTGTGCTCGGTCGGCACTCATGGTGATTCGAACAGCCTTCGAAGGCAAGTATCGCAAAAGTACCACATCGACTGACGCTTTGTCCGCTGTCATCATCATGTCCCATTCGTCGCGAGTACTCAAACTTCACGGAAGCACAGCAGCGGTGAGGCAAAGTTGGACGTTGTTCTTTATTGACAGGGGTCTTGGACTATCGACAAGGGGGCGAATGACGGGCGGCTGTTTCATCACAGCTGACACAGGCACTGTCCACTACTTCCTTGGGGAGCGTAATTGTGTTGTCGACAGTCCCGAAATGCGTCTATGAGGAATAACCCGCGACAATGTCAGCGCGTAAGATGAGGTGTGCCGGTGCATGATGTGAAGGAATTTTCTTTGTGAAGGACCGAAACCATCTCGAGCGTACGCGACAGCCTGGAGTCTGGATGTAGCAGACGCCGAGGCGAAGAGTCGATCGGGAGTGGTTCCGAAGAAGCCACTCCTAGTGCGCTGCCACTTCACTTCTCAAACAACGGCTCCATGTCACATTTCTGCTAAAGCTGCCAATGACGCAGAGGGTGTGGCTTGACTCCTCGCGGGACGTGGCTCAGTTCGGGCAAGCTCTTGTCACTTCTGGAGATCATCGTGAGAGCTGCCTCTTGCCGACGGAGATCAGCGCTCAGTCAGAAGACCCACTGCAGGACCGCGTCAGCTTTGAGGTAAGATGGGCGTCGTCTGGACTCAGCAACCCGCGTAGAACAACGAAGAAAGCCTCTCAGGATATGCCTCACCTGTCACCACATGGGAGAGCTGCTGCGCCACAATCCGAGCGAGGGGTGCACGTTGCTATCCATCGCTAAAATTCTCCGGTAAGCTAGCAGAACCTTACCTGAACAGCTCTCCAAAGGAACGGGAGCTCTCATCTCATCGGAGAGAGAGAAGCAGCGCTTCACATAGGATCCTCGGAGGCGCTACTGGACGAGATGTGCTCGAGCGGTACAGAAGATGTTCTGGATGAAGCCGCGGTAATAAGACCCGACGATGGATGTGCGCGAGCTGGGACCCAATAGGTTACCCATACTGAACACCTGCTCCTGCAGTTGGTGTTTGTGTGCTTGTGCTTCTCACGGACGCGGTGGGCGCCTTTTTGTGAATGCAGCCTTTGCGATGGACGTCCCTGGGGTCGAAAGATGCATGGAAACGTCTCGATGGTCTGTAAGTATTCAGAGGCACTACTCAGCCGCCGCCACGGACGCATCATCTCGAGCTATGTCAAGGCGAAGGCCCTCTGAAGGCGGTCACCCGATCGTCGCGTCCTGTGAGGGTTGCGTCGCGATAAGGGCCATCGACATGTAGCTGCTATTCGTGGGCTTCCCACACCCGTCCTACAGGATCTCATTTCGGCTAACTTAAGAGACGCCGAACGGAGTCGTTTTCTCATCATGCGGGAGGGTGCGGGAAGGGTGAGTGAAGCGTTGAAGTCTCTTGGACGGGACTCACGGTTCTTCTCCACCGGATGCACAATTCCACTGGATCAGTGTGAACGGTCACGGGAGGTCCGCTCACGTCGGCAGCCGTTTGTACGACATCCGGCAAGCGGGATGTGGGATATGCTGCCGGGATGTGCGTCGCTGAGTGAACGGCGGTGATGTCGGAGGGCAGCGACAGCACGCACCGCATCGCAGCGCAGCGCAACGCAGCGCACCGCGCCGCACGTCACTGACACGGCGAAACGGTGTGAGGTCAGCATTATTATTATGGTGCAGTGCTTCGCGATGGAGACAGACGCAATAACCCATCGGCTGGGGTACCACGTTCCTGCCCAACGCTCGGCCCTCATTCGCTGGCCGGGCTCGGAGGTAGGATATGAGCAATAACGGGCACGATCCCGTCACGTTGCGGCGCGTCTGCCTATTCTTGCCCGGGGCGGGGGGGAGAGGCAGGTGTGGCTTGCCGGACGATAAAGGAAGGCCATGCTTTTTTCACACGCAACGTTGTTGAATCGCTGTGGCGCCCGAAGCGCAGCCAGCACAGCACAGCACAGCGCAGCACAGCACAGCACAGCACAGCACAGCTACAGCAGCCAGCCAGCCAAGCCAGCAGCCAGCAGCGGAGTGACGGAGTGACGGAGCATGATACGGAACGAGCCACAGCGAGGGCATCGACGGTGTGGCTGCAGCACTAGTGCGGCATCGTTCCAGACCAGACGTGGCAGCTCCACCTTCACCCTGCCAGTGGCTCACGCTGCACCAGGCGACCTGCCCCGCCTTTACCACGCTGCACCTATACGCCACAGTGTGGCGGTGCAATATCGTGCTCCCGTCTGCTCCCACACGACGCCTCTGCGAACGGGCGGAGAAGCTGAGGGAGGGAGGCAGAGGAAGCGAGGGGAAGAATGCGTGCGCGATAACACGGTCTGGAGCATCGCTTGGGCGTCCTGATCGTGACCGGGCGCCGACTCAGCGAAATGATGACCTTCCGATCGATCAGAGGGTGCGCTAGAGCTGTCCCCCCCCTGTCTGCCGCTCGGTCCTGGAGCGTTGGACTGCTTACATTATTAGTATTCCTGGGCAGCCCCAGCCCGTCTGTGGCTTAACACTCATCTCTCGCCGTTTCACGGCCTGGTACCTTTCTGCGCCCAAACACCTGACCTTCCGGTCGTGCTCTTTTTTGATGACCTCGTCGTCCTCTGTCCGTCGTCGCCGCTGCTGCTAGACCTTCGTCGGCTACCATGTTCCGCAATCGGTGAGTCTGGGCTGTTTAAACAATGTGGCCGCTGGGCGGTGGAATGGCGCGGCGCGGCGCTGCTCTGGGCTGCTCTGGGCTGCGCTGCGCTGCTGGCCAGCGGAGCGAACAACAGCGCGCCTCCACTGCCACAGGATCGGCCTCCGCGTTGCGCGACGCAAGAACCTTAACGCTCGACGGTGTGCAGCTGCTAACACATTCCGTTTGCAATGTAGGAGGACGTCGCAGAAGCCCAGCGACGAGCTGTACCGCAACTTCAAGGCCAACTTCCCCCAACTCGGCTCCAACGCCCCGCCTGCTGCTGCCACCGCCGCCGCCGCCGCCGCCGCCGCACCGCCGCCCGCCGGCACCACGCCGACGCACACGCACACGCACACGCACACGCAGCACGCGCAGCCGACGACGACTCTGGCGGAGGCGCTCGACGTACCGATTGACCCGCGGTAAGGCCCTCCCTGCATCCCCAGCATCATTCTAACAGTCCAAGTCACGATCAACGCAGCACGGCACGCCGTGTCGTGGCAGCGCAATGTGCCCTGAGAGCGACCGCTGATTCCCGCCCGACAGGTCCTTGGAAAATCAGCCGCACGATATCAAGGATGCAGACCCCACCCCGAGAGGCTCCAATGAGCCTTGGAATTTCGCCCCCTCCGATCTCACTCCTTCATTGATGGATCCAAACAGCAACAACTTCAACATGTTCGCCAACCACATGTCGGGCTACTACCCGCCCACGCCCGGCGGCACCAATGCTCTCTACCACAGCCAGGCCGGCGACCTGCACACGCCTGGCTTCGGCGGTATGGGAGGCCTGGGCACTCCTCTGTCGATGCCTACGTCCGAAGGCGCCTTGCATGCTGGCCAGCAAGCCGCGTCCTTCAATGGCTTCCAGACTCACATCCCCCAACACATGCAACCACAACAGTTCCAGAATGTCAACCCCTTCCACATGCACCACCAACCGCAGGGCTTCCCGCCCGCGCAATTCACCCACCAACCCTCCTTCGAGACGATGGAAGGGCCCGTGGGAGAGTCGCCGGTGGACGACCTGGGAATGGATCTGGGAGGCATGCATCAACAACACCACTCGCCCGAGATGCTCTTCCAACCTCCAAACCTCCAGAGCACCATGCAACCGCCACCGATACATCCGACCGGGGAGAAGTGAGTAAAACACTCGCGACCGTCAGTACCATTCGCTAACGAGTGATAGGTTTCGATACCACGTCACTCTCAACGCTCCGACGGCCATGACCAAGCACGCCGACGAGATACCCGTGACATATCTCAACAAAGGCCAAGCGTACACCCTCAACGTCGTCGACACGCAATCTCAGCAAGGCGCTCCGGCCGGCAAGTACCGAACCTTCGTTCGTGTCTCGTTCGAGGACGAACAGCAACGCCAGAAGCCTGCCGCCTGTTGGCAACTGTGGAAGGAAGGGCGAGGAACGAACGAAGCCCATCAAAGAGGCGGTCGTCTGCAGGCTGTAGAGTTCGTCGACTCGAGTCAGTCCAGCGGCGCTGAAGATCCAAGTAAGCCCAAGGTCGAACTCGAGAGCGCTTCATTCGACGGCTTCTGCGTCGCTTGGACTCCCCCTTCTGGCGCCGCCGAGTGTCCGATCTCTGTTCGCTTCAACTTCCTCTCGACCGACTTCAGTCATTCAAAGGGCGTCAAGGGCATTCCAGTCCGACTGTGTGCGAAGACGGAACTCATCGAGGACGCTGCCGCAATGACGACGTCGCAGGACGACGAATCCGAGGTGTGCTACTGCAAAGTGAAGCTTTTCAGAGACCACGGAGCGGAACGAAAGCTCTCCAACGACGTCGCGCACGTCAAGAAGACGATCGACAAGCTCAATCAGCAGATCGCGCAGATTGAATCTGGAATGCGAGACCTGGGCAAGCGAAAACGAAGTGCGTCGATGGCCAAGGGTCTGGACAACAGACCTGGCAAGGTCCCAAAGCATCGAAGAACATGGTCAATGACATCGGTGAACTCAAACGGTGGTGGCAGAGGCAGCGCCGAAGAGGACCTCCACATCAAGCTCATGACGCTTCAGGACATGTTTACATCGACGAGACCCGCGAGCGTCCTCTACCTTCGAGGTGAAGACGAAGACGACCCGGATAGATATCCTGTCAAGCTCACCGGAGAGATTCCGGATCTCATTCGAACGGACTCTGCGGACGTGGATCAGTCGGTCTGGGAGAAGCAGAGCCAGAACGGCAACAACTCTTCCGTGGACTCGCCTACTCCGAGCTCGAACTCTCTAGTCGGTAGTCGCAAAGACTCGTCCATGCAACAACCCACGCCAGTCGGCGGCCCTTCGCGCATCAACTCGAACGAGTGGAAGAGCAACCCTCAAACGGCGACTACGGACATCACACCCTCGGGTCAGGAGCAGCTTCAGAGCCCGCCTGATGACTTGCCAACCAAGATCAAGACCAGATCGCCGAAAGATGGCTCTGTCTCTGGCTGGATCGAGGCTCTTGGAGTTGATCACAGCTACCGATCGCCTCCCGACCGCACCATCAAGCCCATTGCGTCGTTCTACGTGCAGCCTCGCGTGGCCGGCAAAGCCCCGTGCGATAACTTCTACCGCGCCATCTACCTCACACAGCGGACCCTCAAAGACTTCACAAACGCACTCGCGACCAAGTGCGACATCGAACCGACTGAGGTACTCCGCACATACCGCATCAATCGCGAAGGCCTACACGTCCTCTTTGACGACGAGTGCATCCGTGAACTTCCGGAAGGTCAAGACATGACGGCCGAATTCAGCGACATCCACCCGGACACGCCAGTGAAGCCCCAACGAGAGTGGGACGCGGTGTCCGCAGACATCCAGTGTGACGGCGACCTCTTCACGACTGAGAATGTCAACTCTAGCGGCTACGAACTCAAGCTGCTATTCTAAGCAGCTTCTCTTCCTCCCTTCCATACGATGAGAATGCGCATAGCTGGCGTATTCACGACGCCAACGCTTTTCCTAGCCTCTCCACGGTTTGCGCTGCGAGGCGTCCGGTTCCGACCACACACACCCGACCTACGACATTCGTTTTTCTTACACCCCTACATGTAACGAAGAACGACCGTAATGAACCCCACGAAATGCAACGCTACGCATCTGCACAGAAAGTGTACATGAGAAAGAAACCTCCAAAATATCGATTGCCTTTTTTCTGGTGACGAGAGATAGACAGTGAATGTCAAGGGCCCATGCACCCTAACGAGATACCAAAGCCCTCGTGACATCGGGCCTTCACCCACCATCACCACATTTGAGATTTTTCTTGCGATACCCACAACAGGCGATGCTTTTGATCTATTCTTGGGAACGGAACACGAGATTCTACTTCTCTCTTTTTAATGGTATTATTTGCATGATACAGGGGATACCGGGGGACGGGTGTTTGAATTGGAGGAGCTATGTCCTCTGTCTCTTAGCACACACACACACGCGCGCGGAGAGAATGGACCAGGAGCGGGAGCAGCAGTAGCCGGCCTTACTGTCTGCCTGCCTGCCTGCCTGGTATTGCAATCACGGGTCCGCATGAGAAGGACAAGATTGGTGTCTGTGAATTGGATCCCAGGATTGATTGGGACCTAGGGGACTCGGGGATTCTGGATTCTGGACTCTCGGGGAGGGGGGGGTTACATGAAATGATGGCGGTGTGTGTTTTGTGTTATTACCGAAAGAAGATACCCACAAATACGCAACAGAGCATGCATTTTATTAGCCCCCTTCTACTACCTACCTTACTACTATGCAAACAAAAAAAGAGAGAGAGAGTAATGACCACACACAGAGCGCAGAGTGAGTGAGTGAACTGTTCCCCCCTTCCCCGGCGGTGGACACTACTTGGCCATGTTTTCCCGATTTGATCATCTGACCTATTGCAAATCGTCGCATCCCAGCGCGCGCGCACGCACGCACGCACATGTGTGTGGCACGCGCAGCAGCTATCGTACTCGCAGATCTCCTCCTGGTTAATAAGGTCGGTGAGAGAAGAAGAATGTGGAAGAAGAAGAAGAAGGCGTAGCGTCTTGCGGACGCACGCACAGCACAGCCACCTCTCAGTCGTCACAACTTGGAACTCACAAGGCTGCAGGATTCTCGAGGCTGGGATTCGTCGACCTATCCATCCATGCATCCATCTATCCATCCATCCATCCACCATGGCAGGCAGGCAGGCAGGCAGGCAGCAAGCCAACCCCAGTGACTTCTAGGCCTTTTTCATCCTCGCGCGGCTAGAAAGAACAAACGAGAAGACGCGAAAGAATTAATTAAAGTTTTTTCATAACTAACATGCATGGTCCTGCTATAGGTGAATGGTGTCTGGCGCCATAGGGGGCCTGCAATCGCTTTGCGCCATCGGAGAGATGAAACGAGGGAAGCATCGTCGGGTGAGGGTGTGGCTGGCATGGCTGGCAGGTGCTGTCTGTCGCTGTCGTTGTTGCCGTTGTCGTTGTTGTCGTTTGTTTGGAGAAGAACCCCACCTGACTCTCTGGTGGATTCTAGAACTACTGTACCTACTACGGCGCCTCGGAACACCATGCGACGTGGCAGGTTGATTCCGAGGAGACGGCTTGTTTATATGGTGGAGTTTGGAAGTCATCTGCAACCGGAGAGAGATATGGGAGGGGAGAGAAGAAGGGAAGAAGAGAGGGATGGATGCTTGTGCCCGTGCCTGTGCCATCACACGCGTCTTGCAGAGAGTGTTCTATTAGGAGGCAGAGGAAATAGGTTCGTTCGCTTCTCGCCCGTATTATTATTGATGATGATGCCTGTATTGCGGGGTGGGTGGTGTGGAGTTGTTGGGGGAGGGGAGGACGGGAGAGTCATAATAATGTTACAGTCAGTGTAAGGAAGACACCCGGCGTGACGAACAGGGCTCAACCACGCATCGGAGCGCAGCGCATCGCATCGCATCGCATCGCATCGCATCTGTGCATCTGTGCATCTGTGCATCGCATTTTCCTGCCGGCTCTGCTGACGTTGGAATTAATTAGAAGAGGGAAAAGGAAAAGGAAAGATCTGGTCGCTGGTGCACAGCCACAACAAGAGAAAAAAAAGAGGCTTTCGAAGTTCGGCGGGAGATGGGCGATGGGAGACAAGGACTTCCCTGGCAAGTTGCTTGCAGGCTTGTGAGGCTGTGTTGTGTCCGGGGAGAGCTGTCCCGCCCGACGGCACATGCACATGTTCCTGTCGTCGGTTTTGTGTTGTGGCGACCACGCATCTACTGCGTGCGTGCACATGCGTGGCACCTCCTCTGCCGCTCGAGTCTATTTCACCACATACACCACCCCACCACACCACACACCGCAGCGGATCGATCGGACGCCCAATTTTTTTGTTAATCTTTTACCTTTTTGGATTTTCGACTTGGGTGTCTGACGTGCATGATGGCATGCATGCATGCCTGTCGTCGTCCGCCCGAGAGAAATAATCGACCCCACGCAGTGCTAGAAGCACGAATGTCCGCACGCACGTACCTCATCTTCCTGGAATAATGCTCAGAGATTCACTGCGTACCCAGTCCACACACCAGTGTGTACATACAATTCCATGTCCGCCTCATCCGAAGGGCATCAAGACACGAGTAATAATACGAGCAAGCTGTGGGGGAAGATTTGGACCCTTCGAGACTTATTTCCTTCCCAGGATGTCCGCATTCCACCTTCTTTCGGTGTGTCGCAAAATCTCCGCGTCGTGAAAGTTTGCTCGTCTTCTTATCACAGGGCTGGCCTGGCTGGAGACAGATTCGGGTAATCGCATGACTCGGACGCAGACTCAGACTCACAGACTCCGCCAGCGAAGACCGAAAGATTTGAGGCTGCTCGCACGTGATGCGCGCTGGAGCTTCCAGGGAGAAGAGTCCGCCGTGTTGTTCTGGCCTGAACGATGGAGTAGACGCTTCCATGGTCCGGACCGTCCTCTCCAGGTATAAGTAACCGGATACACGAGCGCTATTTCTGGAGATCTGATTCTCGATACGTTCGTGAGACCCGTCTCCTAACACGTGAACGCCAAGGCTTGATGCGAAGAGTGAGGAGAGGAAGCCATGTGCCATTCCAGATAGAAGGAAAGTGAGGCCTGCACGCTAAGCCGGATTTGGAGTCATGCCAAGATTTCCAGAACCTCACTCCCCTTTTCCCCATACCGCCGACCAGATGACACATGCGTCAACATCAGTGGACAATTTCTGCTGCGTGTGTACGACGCTCCTGGAAATTCGCAATCACATTCTATATTCCTGTCATGCTTGCTCCATGTGGGCGGATCCTCCACCAGCGAGACGAAGCCGAGTGGCTGTCAACTGTCAAAGCATTATTATTGTCTAGGCTAACCCCGTCCATGCGGGACTATCAACTTGGAATATTCGCGACGCTCACATGTCTCGCATATATCCGTCTCCGAATCTCAGACGCCGTCAGTAAGACAACGTGGACAGACGCGTTCTTCCGGTACGGACCAACCTGGCGCAACGTGGGAGCATTATGGCTTCGTGTCAGGGCTCCCACCCCTCGGATGAGACCTCTATCGCCGTCTATAGCCGGTACGGTATCCGTAAGGCGAGCGGCGGAGGGACACATCTGGGTGACATACTTCCGTCGGGCCAAGCCGTGGTGATTCACTCGCCGCCCGCTTAATGGAAGCCTCGAAGCCTCAAAGGATCGAGAAGATTAGCGTCTCTCGAGGGATCACGAACGAAAAATTATCCGCCTGTAGAGCAATTATTGCTTCCAGTACCCGACGAATGCCGTTACATTGAGCTCTTGGGGGCCTTCTAATGGCCGATCTTGAATGTTGCGAAGATTCTAGAAGCAAGGTTGCGGCTTTCGACAACCTTGTTGAGCGGCGACTTGCTCCTTAGATTGACCAGAATATGAATCTTCCGGTTTGTCATCTTGCGATAGCGAGAGGGAGTTTGGAGGCGAAGTCTTCGGCTCTCCAAAAGCACGCCACTTAACTGCTTCGAGCAATGGACGCCGAAGCAAGGGAGAGCCCTCTATCACCACAACCATTCACTTCTGGCCTGGAAAGGTTTGATCAGGCTGCGAGCGAGGCTGGCTAGCGTGCGACTGATTGAAAATCTTCGCGGCGCTGGAACTTGCAATCGCTTCATCATGAGCTTCCGCTCGCCAATGAAAGGCCGGAAAGGCGTCCGACTGAGTCTACCCGAAAGCTTATAGTCCAGCTCAAGGGACAGAGGAGGAAAGATTCTTGAGAGGGGACTTGATACGACAGCCATATTCCAGCGCTCTTTAGTACAAAACGCGAAGCTTTGAAACGTCAGACGTGGAGGACTCTCAGACATCTTATTATCAAAAAAACTTGCCCACAGCGCGAGCTGAAAAATCGAGCCGAGGGATCACCAATCTTTTCAATAGATTGCCATCAGACGACGGAGAAAGTATCATAGTGACCCTTCACAAGGTGTGTAGGGCAGCTTAGGATGTACCGGAAGCTTATTTCACAGGAGGTTGCCCTGTTGTGTTCGATTCTCGAAGACGAGCCGGAATCGCATTTGGCGCGAACCGGCTTACCAAGGAGGCTAAACAGGGATCACGGAGGTGATGGAGGTGAACAGCTCCGAAGCGCTTCACCGTTTCAATCATGATCAGTGGTTCGAGCAGAGCTGCAGAACATTATTCTGCCGGTGGAAGGGTATTGTATCAACGCTATAAAATCTCTGTCAATATCCTCGTGTGAATGTTACTGAATATTGTTGTTTTGCAGATGCAGATACAGATGCAGAAGCAGGGTACTTGCTAATATGAGACCGTGCTATGAAAGCAGGTTTTGAACCGGCATTTCTTCCTGCACAACGACAAATCCAGTCTCGAGGTGCGAGCCAAGCCTGATCTCGGCCATTCTCCATCTCGTACACATTCAGCTCACTCGCCTTGTAGCCCTTTAGATAGGCTTTAATATAAGACATCCTCAATTATTGGTGGAGCCGCGGGACGAGATACACTCGGCACTGTCTTCATGATATTTATGTCATGAAACTGGCGGATTACTCTCTATAGGTTCTGCCTATGGCGGAGCCCCTCTGTGTTCCTCTTGCGCTCACTCCACGAGTCTCTCCAAAGCTTTCTTTCCTCTTGTCGTCTAGGCCAAATGCCAGCTTCTGCGTCTGCGTTTAGTGCTTGTCGTCGGCACGTATCTGGAACTTATCAAGGTATTCGTTCGCATTCGTTGCGTCGGAAGTGTTGGCGCCGCGGCCTGGAATTGTAGGGGTCATCAGTCTGCTGTGGGTCGGACGCGTCGACGGTCTGCTCAGCAAAGAGAGGATGGACGCAGTCAATCTTTTCAGCCGGAGAGTTGTTCTCGGAGTCCTCCGGAGATCAGCGCTTGTAGACTTGCTCTGGATTGTCGAGGACGGGCTGTGTGGTCTTGATGACCTGCTTGGACTTGTTCTGCTCCTTCTCGTTCTCGTCCATGTAGTGCTTGATCCGCATACAGAAAAGCTCGAGGAATTCGAACATTGCATCGTGCGTTGGTTGGAGGAGGTCGATAGGCGAGGGACGCGTCGCGTTCTATGTCGCCGCCAAGGCGCTAAGCGCGCACGGACGCAGAAGTCAGAAGGGAACGACGGATAGCGGATCAAGAGTCCCAAGTGCCGTTCGCCGACTTCCGAATGACCCTTAACCCAATTTTCAGGCCCCTCGAGTCGCTTCTACAACTGTTCTGCTCCCTACAGCGAGAGAAGAAGCACAGTATTTTGGCAATACTACGGATCCCATGGAAACAGATAGACGAGCTTACTACGAAGCCTGGACGAAGCTCCGTCGAGTCATTTCTTTGGTGCTCTTCAAATGGAGGATTCATGCGAACGCTATCCATCTCCTAGGAGCGATTAGATTAAGCTGCGTCTCAGAACGTTTCAATCCTTCTCTTCCTCCGCATGCCCTTCGTCTCGTGGCATGGAAACGCCCAGCGCTGTCATCAAGTTCCCTGCGGGCCCAGCCATACCCGCCTGTCCCTTGAAGGATTCCAACATATTCTTCGCCAGATCCAGATTCACATCATTGTACTCTTCCTCGTCATCAGAGCTGAGTTCTCCATCGCCAGGACCAACGAAGTCATCATCGTCGTCTGCGTCGTTGAAGCGAACGTTCTTCTTCGCCATAGTAGCAGGGGGTTCGGGTCCAAAGAAAGGTTTCTGGAACTGTTCAATTTGCTTGTCGGATGCTGCGGCCTTGCCTTTTCCCCTTCCTGGTTTGCCGTCAGGTTTGAGGTTGAGAGCTCCGTGGCCTTTGAGTTCCTTCTCCATCAATTCCATCACTTTGCGCATTTCTTCGTCTTCGTCGACATCACTCGCATCTTCATCATCTTCGAGCGCAAGCCTTCTCGCCTCAGCCAGCAAGCCGCTTTCTTCAACCTGAGATGCAGGCATCGATTGAGCAGCTTTCACGGCTTGTCGAAATTCTTCCTCATCGGCTTCTGAAGGCTGGGCGCGCTCTTTGCTATCTTCGTCGATCTTCGTCGAGGCTTCAGACTCTGTATCGTCGTCTTCCTCCATGTCGTCCACCCCTTCCACGCCAGCCTCATCGTCGTTCACAAAATCCTGGAAGCGGTCGACCATTTTGCGGAGATTCTCCTGAGCACCCTGATCACCGAAACCCCCGTTCCTGCTGTTCCCCCGAGATCCCCCTTTGCCGGAAAGCTCTTTCTCAAATTCGTTGTAATCAATATCAAGCCACTTCTCATCGTCCTGTGTTTGTGGCCAGCTTTTGATATCAGCCTCGGATGGTAACGTCTCCTCTCCACTTTCGACGTCCTCTAAAAGCATCTTTATCTCCCTCACGACTCGCTTGTCCCGACTCTGAGGATCCGCAACCAACATCTCAAAGCCGCAGGTGAGCTTCATTCCCATCACGATCTTTTCATCCTTCATCTTCGGCAAGATCCCGATCCAAGCAGGCGGCAGATCAAAGACTTGGCTCTTTAGCTGAGCGTAGCCGACCTTTGTGAACTTGACACTGACGGTGATGAAATCCTCGGGCGGGAAGTACAGCGTACTGAGATCTTTTGTAGACAATGGTTTCAAGCTGATGGTGTCTCGGAGATAGAATGCTTCGATAGCCGGCGAGATACTCGTCGGGTTTCGATGCAGGATGTAAGCCAGACGTCTTGGAATGGTAACGAGAGAATGATGAAGAGACGATGAGATGGCAGAAGGATACTCCCGTAGACGGTAGAAGGCTTCCTCCTCAATCGCTGGTTCAACGAGCAGCTTCTGCGGCGTAGTTCTGATGATCTTGAGAGCAGCCTGCAGGCTCAACTTGCGAGATGTGCAGTCATCACTCAGTGGTATTATCTTGAGATGGCCATTGTTCATCCAGACTCGATGCTCGGCAATGTCTGGATTGAGCCATTTGGGAAGGGAGTTCGCAGCTTCAATCAGCAGGAACTCGCCGTCTGTGTCGTACACGCGGATCCACGCATCAGGAAATTCCTTACTAAGCTCATGGAGTAGGTAGACAATCAGCCATTCGTCTGCGACTGAGTCGCCAAAGTTGGTTCGACCGCGGAGGTACGGCTTAGAGGTAGAGTCTCCATCGAGCTCGACCTTTGGGTGGACAGTGAGATCGAACGCATCCCGTTGCCAGATATATCCTGCCAGACGCTCCTTTTTGAGCGCGTTGGCTGCTTTGAGTATTTCTTTCAATCGATTTCTGAGGGCCCATGTGCTGTTTAGCTTCTCGTCGATCACATGAATGATGTACTCGACGCAATCGTCTGGTAGCCGTTTTGGGAAGCCATCGAACCCTTCGCCAAACCATTTGAAGCCATCGTCAGGTAATCTTTCGTCCATGATAGATGCGATGAGCTCAACATATGTCTCCTAAGTGCAAGTGAGGGAAGGCAAAGGTTTTAGAGATGGCAAAGAAAGTTGACTCGAGCAGCTCTCCGCATTCGGATTTCGGGACGGCTTCGGCAGAGATGCCGGCATTAGCTTTGTTTACATTCGACATCACAACGCGAACGAACACTAAAGCCGCGATATCCAGCAGCTTCTACAGAGCATTCTCTGCACCAACACCAACTCTTGCAGGTCGCTGACGCGCGCATGTCGAATACTAATAGCAGGTGATCCGCTCCTTCAGCCACCAACATGGCTCACAACTACATAAACTCGCCGGGCACGGATGCCACTGGCAACACCTTTCTGAGCCCGGACAAGCATCCTGCCATTGACCTTTCTTTCGCCCAACCTTTCGCGTCGCCCTCAAAGAATCCTGCACAGGATCTTCGGAATCAAATGCGCGGTCTGCGAGGCGCACCCAAGACCGCACAGACACCGCGTGCCCGGACGGCCCTTGTCGACAAGCGAAATCCCATGGGCAAACAGGAGTTCACGCCACTCCTGAAGAGCGCGAAGCGAAATCAGCTTATGCAGCAGAGCATTTTGGAGGAGAAAGAGAACACCGACTCGTCGAGACTCAGAACACCCGCCGGCCTGCGACAGAGCTATGGGAGCAGAGCCACGCCAGGCCTGCCCGTGGAGTCTTCGATGCTAGACGAGCCGACCGGAAGCTCCAGTGACAGAGATGCGACGCCCATGGCACCTCAAGTATCGAGCTCGTCGATGATAGACTCAACGCCTATGCCACAGCTACCCGATCGCAACAAAGGCGGCGTGCTGGACCAAGGAAACGTTCTCACCCTGCGCGACCAGGAAGCTAAACTCGACCAGATTCAGAAGGACAACTTTGGTTTGAAGCTGAAGATACACTATTTGGAAGAGGCTCTGCGCAAGAATGGAAATGAGTATCACCAGAGAACCCTGAAAGAGAACGTGGACCTCAAGACAAGCAAAGTTTCTCTTGAACAAGATCTCAAGCGGCAGCGTAAGCGATTACAAGAGGCCGAGCACCAACTTGAAGAGTACAAGATGTATCTCCATGAGTACCAAGAGAAAGTCAAGAAGCGTCACGCGAGCGAACGCGATCAGGAGGAATTTGATCGGCTGCAGAAGATGGCAGAGGAGTCGCAGAAGATCGCAGACGAGCGGGAGGCCGAGTTGGAAGACATGCGCGAGAAGCTGGGTCAGGCGGAACAACTCCAGGCCTCTGAGAACGAGGCGCAGCGCTTGAAGGAAGAGATGGAAGACTTGGAGCAAGACCTGCGCGACCGCGATCGCCAGCTGGATGAGAAGGAAGCACAGCTCGAAGATCTCCAATATAAGCTTCGAGACGCGGAGAAGGCACAGAACGACTCAGAGGAGCTACAAAAGCTCAGAGATGACATGCAGGACCTAGAACAAGACATACGAGATCGCGAGCGTCAGCTAGACGAGAAGGATGAGAGACTGGAGAAATTGCAAGAGGAGCTCAAAGCCGCGAAGGCCGATCTGCAAGGCGCCGAGCATCTGCAGCAAGACGTCGAAGAACTGGACGCCGATCTCAAAGACAGAGATGACGAGCTGGATCGCAAGAGAGCAGAGATAATTGAGCTTCAAGCGCGCGTCAACAGCGTCTACGACCGTGAAGCCTCAACCAAGAAACTGCGTGGTGATGTTTCTGGGCTGGAAACCAAGCTTCGAGAGAAGGACCAAGAGCTGGACGAGACTCGGGAGCAGCTACGCGCTCTTGAGAAGCGCTTGCAAAGCTCTGAGTCTTCGCAATCCAATACGCTGCGCCAGCGGGAGGATGAGTTGCGCAATGCGCAGCGCGAACTTGCGGACAAAGATGGAGAAATTCGTGCTCTTCAGGAGCGACTTTCAACGGCTCGTGGCAGCTGGGATGAGGAAGCACAACAGAACGATCAGCGCATGCACGAGAAGGATCAGTTGATTCGAGAAAAGGAGAACCAGCTCAGGGATAAAGTGCGTCTCATTGAGGAGCGTGAAGATGAGCTGTCAGATCTTGAAAAGCGACTGCGCGATACCGAAAATGTGCGAGATGAAGCTCTGCGAAAGCAAGGCAGTCGCTCTCACGAACTAGAGGACCAGCTACAGGAGTTGCAAGAGAAGCTGCGCATGGCAAGTTCTAGTTCTCAAGCCAAGCTCAACGAAAAGGACGCTCTCATACAAGCTCGCGAGGCCGAAATGCAGTCCTTGCAAAGCCGCATCAATTCACTGCAGTCAGGCGACAGCGCTGAGCTGCGGAAGAAGAATGAGCAATTACAGCGGCTCGAGTCGGATCTCAAGGCAAAGGAGCGGGAAAGTAGAGATCAAAGCCACCAGATCACTAGTCTCAAATCTCGCTTGGGAGCTATGGAGACTCCTTCAAAGAAGGATAGTCTGATCAAGCACCAAGCTGACCAAGTGCGATCCCTTCAGCAAGAGCTCACGAAATTGGAACAGGACAAGGATGCCGAATTGGATGAGCTAGATCAACAGCTTCAGACCCTTGAAGATCAGAATGCTGGACTGCAGCGCCAAGTGGAAACCCTGCGGAAGAAGAGCGAGGCTGCTGATTGGGACCAAAGCTTGATCGGCCACCAAGGTCACGATCTCAAGGCCAAAGACGAGCTGATTACTCGCCTTGAAGACGAGCTGAATCAATTCCAAGCGAAACTCCGAAATGCCGTCGAGCAACGACAGTCAGACGTACGAGACTTGGAGCGCGAGCTGGAACTTGCACGATCCTCTGGCAAAGGTAACGTTGAAGATGCTCAGCGAAGGCTGAGGGCCTTGAAGTCTGATCTTGAGACCCAACATGCCGAAGCAATCCAAGACCTGAAGGATGAGATGGATGTCGTTGAAGATGAGAACGACCGCCTCAAGGCAGAGAAGGTGAATCTTGAAACTCGCATCCATGAGCTCGAGAATGAGCTTGAGAAAGCTCGACGCGCCAAGGAGAACGGAACACCTGTACGTGAGCGCAACGACCTTCGTTTGAAGCTCAAGACCGTGGAGAATGAGCGGGAGCGGTTCAAGACTGAAGCGAAGACCCTTGAGTCCGAGCTTGAACAGGCACTGCAGTCTCAAACAAGTGGCACACCCATTCGCGAGCGAAATGAATTGCGTGGCAAGCTACGAGAAGCTGAGGCTAAGATCGCCAAGTTCCAGGACCGGATCGAGACTCTGGAGGCTGACTTGCAATTTGTACAGCAGGAGAAGACGATCGCTGAGGAGCGACAAGATCTTCATGAGCTGCTCAAGACCGCCAAGGTCGAAGAGGAGCAGGCACGCATCGAGCTTATCAAGCGAGACAAGAAGGAAGCTGCTGCGAGAAAGAGGGAGAGCGAGTTGAAGGCACAATTGCAGAGCGCCATCGCTGATGCCGAAGACCTCCAGGCGCAAGCTACCGAACTCGAGAGCCAACTCCAGGCGTCTACGGCAAAGGAGCGCGAGCACCGCGCCCAGCTTAAGGACCTCAAGCTTGCAAAGACCCAGTTGGAGGAACTCGAGTTCCAACTGCAAGACCGCAAAGGCAGCTCTTCGGGTCATGCCAGACGTGAAGCAGAACTCCGTGGCCAGCTCCGCGATGCTCAGGCTGATCTTGAGCGCCTGCAACTGGATGCTGTTGAGAAGGACGACAAGCTCCAAGCAGCCTATCGAAAGGAACAGGAACTACGTGAGCGTCTGCGACGAGCCCGAGCCGACGATACCTTCCAGCTTGACCGGCAAGATCTCCAAGCGCAACTGGACGATGCGGACTTGGAACTTCAAGCATTGCAGAAGCAACTCGCTGAGCGCAGCAGCAAGCTTCACGCATCGTTGAAGCGCGAATCGGAGCTCCGAACAAAAATGAACGCCTTGCGTGCCGTGAATGACAACGACAAGACGTTCGATGAGAAACAACATGCCGTCGCGACTGAGCAGAAACTCATCTCCTCGCAAAAGAAGCACGAAGCCGAGCTCAAAGGCCTCGTCAAGCAGATCCAATACCTCCGAGCGAAATTCACACGAGAAGAAAACTTCCGAGCGGATTTGGTGTTTGTCAAGAAATTCTTCACGATGCAGATTGGCATGTATAGTGCTTGGTAAGTTTTCCCCCCTTACGCTAGTCGAAAGCTAAGTGAGAACATTACTGATCTTTTCTACAGCAACAAAGTCGACCTGAAACTCTTGGAAGAAATGGGTATCACTCCCGATCTGTCTGTGCGGGAGAAGAAGCCGAAGTTGAAGACGGTGGGTCTCGCTGTTTTGGCCGGGGTGAGGATGCAGAAACTGGCGAAGCAGTGGAAGGGAAATCAGGAATTGCATCGGCAGTTGGTGAGGAAATTGGAAGGGATGAAGGGACGGAAGGTTTCCTCTGGTGGCGGTGGTGGGAAAGTTGGAAAGTAACAGGTGTTGGCTTTGGAGGTGTGGTGTTGGCATTCTTTTTTGGAAAGGGGCATGCATGCATGGTACGATGATTCTCGCATTGAGCATGGAGCATGGAGGAGTCCTTTTTGGCTGTCGTTATTGTCAAGTTTTTCGCACGCATTGAGTGAGGGTCAGTCACCTTTCGTATGGAAAATCGAAGTACAGAAACACGATTGATGGTTTTGAAAAGGATGAGGGAGAAGTATTCTGTTTCGAAATTCAGATATTGCCTTTTTCCCTTTCTGCACAAGTGTGTTCTGTGTTCTATTTACAAATCCATTCCAATCGTGAGAGAAAAAAAGGGGGGGAGGGGTATATCATGTATGTCTCGTGGTTTTCATCACCATGGTCGTAATGATGCTGTGATGCTCATGCTCATGCAATGCAATGCGAATGCGAAATGTCCTGTACCCACCCCTGTCCCGCCCGCTATGCGAAGAGAAATTCCATGACAAAAAGAAAATCCATCATGAGTGGGTATGCGTGCGTGCTATAGCACCAATCATCGGCGTTCGTCTTCGAATCATCGCTCTGAATTCAGAATCTGCGAGGGTGTCGACTGTCCAGCCGCGTTTGTTGTTATTGGGGAGGGACGTCCGATTCGCAGTAGGAGTATGATGGTGAAGTCGTGATGCAGTCCATTGGGCTGCCAGTACCGGTGCGCGTGGAGAGAGAGCCGGGAGGTGCGGGTCCAGTTGAGCGGTGACATTAACATGCTGAAATTAGTTCGGAACAGGAACATGGCGCTTGAAATTATTTGGACGAAGGAGTGTACGTCCCGGGCACCTGCTGGTTGCTAGAATAGAACTTGACACTCGCAATGTCAAAATACGCCTCCTCAAACGCCTGCGGGTTGTTCTGTACCCATTCATCACAAGTCGCGCAGCCGGTGGCGTTTGCGGCTCCGGAGGACTGCCAGACGTCGGCCTTGCCGGCCCAGGAGCCACAGGTCGTGATGTCGATGACGAGATTCATGGAGCGGAAGGCTTGGCTGAAATCGCATCCTGCGCCGGAGAATCGGGCGAGGGGTTTCTGTGTCCATGTCTTGGGGTTGGGTTTGCCGGCTTGGAGGTCTGCGGGGAGTCCGTCGTGGGGGAAGAGCCAGATGGTGATCCCGTCGGCTTGCCAGTCGTAAACGTAGACGCCGCCGCCCTGCTTGTTGAAGGCGTCGCCAGCGGTGGGCATGCTTGCTTGGCTTCCGGCGAGCTTGTTTTGGTCGTAGGCAGCAATCGAGCATCCAGTACCTGCCTGTCCGGCGTTGCAATTGCCATGCAAGAGGCGGCCCTGGAAGTCGGTGCCGTTGTCGACCGTACATCCCGGAGCAGTATGCAGCGTAGCGCTGTTGTAGTCGCCCTTGTGCACATACTCAAGAATATCAGACTCCCCGGAAGCAGGCCACGTGCCTTCACTGCCAAGCATCCAGATAGCAGGCCAGAGACCATACTGCACCGGGATCCTCTTCAGATCAATGACAGCCATGGACCCAGCAATGAAAGTCTGCTTGCTCGTCAACCGAACCGATCTTCGTCCCGAAGGATCCCTACTCGTAGAATCAACTCCAATCTTTGCTGAAGTCGTCTGAGTCTCGTTGTCATAGATGAATCCAACGAGTTTCTGTTGTGCTGCGGCTTGGAAAGTCTGATATTGAACGAATCCTTGCGTCGGGTCCGGACCGTCGAAGGCCGTAAAGTGATTGAAGAAATCTGAGCCAGAGTAGTCGGCGAGCAACGAGTAGCCAGTATCTGATCCAGCAGTGCTATTCGTGCCGTTGAGGCCTCTAGGAAAGATGTGAGGGGCTCCCTGTGCCCACGGAGCGGCGGCCAGCGCCAAGAAAAGCGAAGCGAAAGTGGACATCTTGCCGGAAGATGTGTTGCTGCTGTTGGAAGTAAAGACCGTCGACTTCAAGGTCGGAACGAGCATATGAGATGCTCTACCTGTTGTCTTGAGGAACGAATGTCGTGGAAGTCGTAGTTGGGGGCGGAACCAGTTCGCAGTGCTTGTAGAAGTAGGTCGCGTCGTGGTACTCTTGTCGGGCGCTAGTGCGGCAATCTGTCTCAGACAGGTAGCAAGGTAACTTTCTCCGCAACAGGAGTGGTCGTCTTGGGTGTTCAGAGAGTAGAAACGCGAAGTAGGAACAACAGGCCAAGAGCGTCCGACAAAGTGTGGATATATGTTTCAGGTTTGGCGCCTATTGTCGATGGGGAACAACGCGAGAAAAAAAAAGAAAATTCGTGAAGAGAAAGAGAAACTCTTTTGTGCTTCATTGTCGCACTTGACGCTGTCATTGTGTTGTTCATTGTTGCAACACAATGGTGAACAGAGACAATGAGAGAAGAATCCCAACCTGAAGTTGAGTCTTGGCATGATGTGGTCCGTGCGTGCACTGCCAAGCCTGTCGTGAAGGCAGTTATCGAATGACGGCGGTGAGTTGTGACTTTTTGTGCCTTGACACATGGAGGAAATACGTACGTACGTTGGAGTACATCAGTATCCTATTCCTCCCCACATTCCCCGATCTTTCCATGCCCAACATGATACAAACACCATGCAATGCATTCGCCCTTTTCCCATTTTTGCTGCCTCTTCGCGGTCGTGCACCCATGAATTAGTAAGAGTAGTAAGGTAAATCGGAGAGATGAGGTGCACTGCGCCCGCGCGGCAGATGTCAGCTCAGATGAAATGCTCAGGCCAAGGCTCAAAGACGGCCTTCCTTCTGAGCTTCTCGCACTTGCTCGAAGACCTAAGAGCCGGATTAGCAGCTATATTCGACGGATAGAATGATACACATACCTTCAATAGCTTCGTACGTGCGCCCTTGGCTGCAACGCCTCGCTTCTCCAATCCCTCGTCGTCCAAAGCGACTAGATCTTGCCATCTCATATCCTTCAGATTGTCCGTGTACTTGTGTAGTCTCAAAGTTCGAAGCCAGTTTGGAATGTCCTTGAGCAGTGCAAGGTCGGTGGGATCCTCCGGTGGCTTGCTGCTGCCTCTGCGGCCGCGTGGGGATCGACCACGGTTGATCTCCGAAGCATCCGATAGATAGCCCTCGCTCATGCCGAAGGTGCCCATTCCCATGTTCAAACCAGCCATTCCGTTGTTCAGTCCAGCCATGCCTCCATCAAAGGCGGCGAGGTAACCATTGTTCTGAGGGATCTGCATGCCGTTCATGTTGTGCCCATGGCCGTTTGGCGGGCCTGTGATTGCAATGCCGGGAGAGTTCGGGCGCGAGCGTCGGCCTTGGAGAGCAGCAATCTGCTGTTGCTGGAGAGCCGCCGCTTGCTGGGGAGTGAGGATCTGGCCAAGTTCGTTAGTCATGAGAATGTTCGATGGAACACCGGGCGACATGGGCTGTTGCCCATTCTGTCCCTCTTGCGACCGGGCTCGCCTGTATTTGCGAACGTCATCAAGCTGAATGCGGTTGTTCACTGTTGAGAGAGCAGCGAGCTTCATGGCAGTGGCGTTGGCTACCATGTCGGCTTGATTAGCGCTCTGCTGCTGCGTGTTGAAGTTAGGCACCATCGGAGTGTTCGTCATCGAAGCCCAGCTTGCACCAGGTGCATAGGGTGATAGAATTGGCATGCCAGTGTTGGCATGGTCGCCGATATGAGCAGTCTGACTTTGAATGTTGTTATCGCTAGACAGCGGGAACGGTCGGGAGGAGCGAAGACCAGCAGATGGAGGAGCCTGGCTAACACCAAACTGGCCCATGGGTGTTTGACCTTGCTGGGCCTGCTGGCTTGACGAGGACTTTGGTCTGCTGATAGGTGGCTGACTCTCTGGCTGAGAGCTGCTCGTACTCCTCCAAGGCCCAGAGGGAATGCCGGAACTGGTCCTCTTGTGCTCCTCCTCTGGTGCAGATATTGTTGGCATATACTGAGAAGATCGATCACCCACTGCACTGTTTCTGTTGGACTTGGGAACGTTGCCCGTTGTCTTTTGAAACTCGGCCTTTTGATCTTCGATGGCATTTGCGGCATCTGGGAACATGGACTTGATGGTACTTGGGTCGAGGCCTGACATGCGCTTGGCGCCAGGAGACGGCGGCGGCTTGTTGCCGAAGCCAAAAGAGCCGCGAGAGCCTTCGACGTTCAGCTTGTTCATGGCGTCGTTCATTCTCGATGACATGGGATCCTTCTCATTGAACGCGGCGGGAGACAACACACCGGACATGGGATGACTCTTGGCCATCTGCTGCAGAACTTGGATGAAGAAGCGGATCTGGACCTGGGTGGTCTGCTGCAGGAGAGCATACAGCGCGGCCGTCCTCTCGGGCTCACTCAAGACGCGAAACCACTGCTCGATAGCGCTCAGCTCGTCCTTGAAGTCCTGATCCAGCGTTGCAGCAGCCATCTCTTCCAGCGTATTCTCGTACTGATCGATATCTGCAATCCACTGCTGTGCGGCCTTCTCCGCCGCATCTTCCGGGTTGCCCACGTTGGCACCCTGCGAAAACTGATTGAAGTAGATCTCGGAGGCCGGGCGCATACCTCGTGTAGCGAGAGGAGAGGTCGCGCCGAAAGCACCCATGTCGGCGGAAGCACGAAGGTGGTGGCCTGGAGCCATTGTGCCGGAGGTGGGCGGGCGGAGGGTTGAGCCGGACATTGAGGAGCTGGATGTCTCGGGGGTACTGTTGCGATTTCCGATGATGTTCGACATGGTGATAGATGATGATGATGCTCAGCGACGGCGAGGTGGATGGGTGCGTTGGTCGGGCGGAATTGGGCGAAATGGTGGTGAAAAGTGAGGGTCGGGTGGAAGTGAAGCTGATTTGGTGGTATGATCAGGACTTCACTTCACTTCACGTCGTCCGTTCCGTCGAAGGGACCTGCAGACCGGCTGTCCTCAAAGGTATTCGACGAGGAGGATGAGCAAGACGACGGCTTGGTCGAATGTGCAGCGGATGGTCGAGTGCAGCTGCGAGAGGTGAAGACGTGCAGTGCAGCATGCGTGTGGACGGGTAGTCGAGAGGTCGTCGCTGGTGGCCGCCGCAAAGTTGGGCCGGCGGGTGTGGCTTGCGTTACGGGACGCGGCCGCTAAGGTAAAGGCACTTGAACGCTCAACCTTATTCAATTTGTGCTTGGACGTCGCCCAAATATCGCCAAATGTCGTCGAACAATCGCAGCCAAAGAACGAGTGAAAGGTGTACTCGAGCCAAGCAATGCACAGGCAGGAGAGCGAATGGGGAGAGGATGGAAGAAGACGGAGTGCAGGTGGTCGTGCACAAAGAAATCTAGACTCCCGTCCCGCACCCGCCAGACGCCCCACTTTCTTTCACAGCATGGCTCGGGCTCCTTTCAGCCAATCAAGGCCTTGGCACTCCTCACCACAAAGACGTGGACGTCTCCTTTCCTCCCACCTCGCCTGTGACCCTGGAACACACCACCCTTCACCCACCACACTTCCTCTCGCAGACTCTCGCAGACATGATAAAGCAGACCGCAGACGTCGTGTCTCTCTTTCGCGGTCCAGAAGAGCTTCACGTGCCCAAGATGCAGCCTGCCGCGAGCCGAAGCACTCATCCACGGAACGCCGGACGAGCCTATGCTCCACACCCACGTCTTCATCCGCCGCCAGTCTGACACCGTCGTTGCTGTAACCGCCCTTTCCGGCCGAGATATATCGCATAACACTTAGGGCAATAGAGAGATGCGCGGCACCAACAGGGCGGCAAATTCTTGGAGATAGCCTCTTCGGCTCTGTCAGGACGCATGGTAGACACGTTGTACACAACAGGAGTGCATGTGCAGCAGAAGCGTGAGAAGGCCACCACGACCCCAAACGTCCGAGCGGGACAACATGCTCGCCTGGACGTGGACATGCCTCTCGTCGAACAACCATTTGGCCCTGTGATACCTCACGTCAAGACCCTCGCGAAGCAACCCAGGCCTAACACATTGAAGTATTGCACCAATCGTAAGACCAAAGTACCACCAACAGCCTTGAGAGATCCATCGAGCAGATTGGACCTGAGAGGAGAATGGAGCGAAGGCCCCAGCTAAAGCACACCCTTTCAAAGCCAATGAAAGAGGTATCACTGACTGATAAGCTAGCGTCGTCTGATATGCACGCATCGCTTGCTCCAATCAAGGCAAGTTAACGCAAAACGCCAAATCTATGGATCTCTAATGGTAGAATTGTCGTGCATTCCCAGCGTGCCAAAACGAGAGAAGAGGGACGAGAACAAGGACAGAGGCAGGTATTCAAGGCTAGATTCAGTATTTGAGTTTCTCTCTTTCTCGTGGAAATCAACACGCAGGAGCAAGTTGCAGACAACCCATTTCCAACCCTCGGAAACCACAACCAAAACCCAAGACGCAGCAACTACGAAGGCACATACCTACCTTGACTCAACAAATCTCAAATCCTTCCATCCTATTCCACCTCCAAACTATCCATCTTTCATCTTCATCATCAGCCCATCACATCTATCCATCAGCCTCAAACACCACAATGGCCGAAACAACCACGATCATAATCTGCAAATTCTGCCTCCAAACCCCACCAGACCAGGATGTCTATACCTTCCCTGAAGACTGCTCCGCGGAAACAGCTATCTGGACATTCTGCGGTAATTACGGGTTACTGCTTACCGCTTCGGGAGGGACGGAACTCGTGCATGGCATTCTCGCGCCGCAGCCGAGCAAGAAAACAGTTCCATCGGAAAGTTCGATTGGGATGGAAATGGGGAAGATAGTGGAGAGGAAGGCACTGGAGGAACGAGCATGTGAGCGAGGCAAGGAAGCTTGGTGCGAGGCTCGAGATGCTTTTCATGATTTGAGGGTGGATGGAGAGCGGCGGGAGTCCTTGCAGGAAGATCGGTTATTTTGAGGGCGATGGGGTTGGATATGTGATATTCTTCCAGAAATTGAATCGGGGCATGAAGCTTTTTGTGGAGGGGGATTCCTTGGCTGGAGTTTTGGGCTAGGAAATGGAGCATGTGATTCTTGGCAGCTGGCTTAGAGAAAGACGAATCACACGGGTCTTGAAGATGGAATAGATCCAATGAACAAAGGGAGTTATTCATGAGGGGCACAAACCGTGCTGAAGTCAGAGCGTCAAAACAGAGTATCTCTACGAGTCGGAAGGAAACGGGGCGTCAAGACTTATTTTGGCCGGCAATACGAGTCTATGTCGATGTCGGGGTGGTTGACGATTTAGTGGTTGTGTTGTGAAACAGGTTTGGTGTTTGTTCATATGTGCATAGATGATGAATCTGCACGACATCCCTGCTCTAGCGCCGGGAGGAGCCTTTTGCAGCTCAGTAGCGGGGAAGAGCACGAGATGGTCTGTTTTGCTAACGACGACGACGTCAAAGCGCGGCAGACGCTGCACACTGCGAGTTCGTCGTGGTCGCCAAGCAAGTGTCACGATCTCGATATCGCAGAGGATCACCCCGGTCACGACCATCTCCAAATGTACATGACGTGACACGTCTTCTCCCAAGCTTCGCCTCGTTTCCAAGCCGGGGGGCGGATTGGTTAGATATATTCGACTGCACCTCCCTCCGATACGCTCTACGAACAACCAACAGACAAGACCAGCATGGCCACAGCTACGCCGGGCGAGCAGCAACCAGCTGCGCAGCTCACACCCACCGAAAAATTCTTCCGCTTCTTCCAGCATGAAGTTACAGGTCAGACAGCCGGACTCGGGAGCTTGGAACAGGCGCAGCATGGCTGACTTGGAGACTTCAGACTTGCGACAGTCCATGGAGCGTATCAAGGGACTTGGCGCGATCTACGGCGAGCGTTCAGACGCCATCGATCACTGTCGTCAGTCAATCTCACGCCTGTCCAGCGAAGTCCAGGATGCCTCCTCCTATCTCCCCGCTTACGACCAGCGAGCGTACAGCGACACGATCAAAGCTCTCAATACAAAGCTACAAGAAGTCCGCGAGGCCGGCGCTCCCCGACAGAAATTCTCTTTCAACAAATCCGGCGCCATGTTCACGGCCAAGAAGAATGAATCGGCAATTAGCCTTAATGACGCCGCCGAGCTCGCCCGACAGAGGCAGAGGCAGATATCCGGTCCCGTAGCTGACAGATCTAACGACTCCAGCTGTGCAAACACGCCTGCCTCCAACCGGACGCCAGAGCCCGAGAAGGTCGATGAAGCCGAAGCCCAGGACAGCGGTACCGAGATCAATCAACCCGGGAGTGGCGGTCTTTTGGCTCCTGAGACTGCACGCGTCCGAACTCCCTCTTTCTCTGGAAGCAAGTCCGTCACCATCGGCGACCGCGAAAACGTTCACATCGTCTTGCCGACAGCCGCCAGCCACGCTACCAGTTCAGCCACCGTATCAAACCTGAGGCATTCGGTGGTAGATATGTCGCAGCCGACCACTCAGGGACAGCCATTTGCCACATTGACTTTGAAGAACATCAAATCATCACTGGTAGTCTGCGGGCATGTCAGCGGAGCGGCACACCTCACGAACATCCGAAACTCCGTCATCGTTGTTGCATGCCGGCAGTTCCGGATGCACGAATCTTCGAATTGCGACGTATACCTCCTATCGACCTCGAGACCTATCATCGAAGACTGCTCGGCCATTCGCTTTGCTCCCCTCCCTAACGCTTACATGAGGGAAAGCGACAGGGACACGAAGAATCAGTGGTCCAATGTCGACGACTTCAAGTGGCTCAGAAACGAGCCGAGTCCACACTGGAGCCCCATGGAACCCTCGGAACGAATCGCGGATAACGTGTGGAAAGACATCGTACCGGGTGGACCAGAGCTGGGCGTCGAAAATGTACTGGAGGCCGTCAACGTGCCGAAGTGACCTTCTGTGGATTCAAGGTGGCGTTGGGCGAAATAAATGTGCAAAATCGGCATGGGGGTTTCAAGTTCTGCATTGGTCTGCATTTTGCAAGTGGATGAAAAAAAGCATGGGACATGAACTTCCGACTTGGAGAGGAAGTAGATCATGGAAACGTTTCGGCTTTGGACCGGGTCTTGGTAATGTATCTTGCAATATTCAAAACCTTAGGCGTTGATCGCCTACTCCCATACCAGCATATCTTATCAAAAGAAGATTTTGCATGTGCAGATCTGGCAGCAGATGTACAGTCACTACTGCCCACAGCTGGAAGCAGATGTCTTCTCGAATACCACCTGTCGTCGGCAGTTTGACTCCGAGAGGTCTCCAGCTTCACCGTTCGAGACAGTATGCTTCTCTCAGTCGCGCAGCCGTTTGCTGAGGCGTCGAGCCTACAGTAGCGCGTTGCTGCTACCTTTCCATTCATGCATAAATCCACGAATCGTTCTCCGGGCTAGACTTTGAAATTTCTCCTCTCACCTGCCCACGACCTGCGAAGCGGTTACAATCTCACGCGAAGCACCTGTTTGCCAACTCACTTCAACTTACAACATCGGCAAGGTTCTATTCATGTTCATGGATTCACTGAGCGGCGATGGAATCCAGCACCAGAGAGAGAGAAGAGCACTCTAATAATGGTCTAATGGTGACCAACCAACCCTCTACGCAGCCAGACGCAGCCAGACGCAGCCAGACGCAGCCAGACGCAGCCAGACCAGACCCGACCCGTCTGATTTACCGATCCTCCTCCTCCTCCATCATCATCATCCATCCCATCAGCAGGATCTTTCGTTTTCCAGACCAGGAATGGCAGAGTGGACCAACAGATTCAGCCACTGATCGGAGAATTCACCACAATAGAAAAGCTAGATGGCTTGGTTGGTCAACCATACTATCCCCCATCCGTACAATAGTGTCAGCTCAGCGTAGAGAGACAAAGCGAGCGACTCGGAATCGTTCGGCGCATGCAACATATCGCGAGACGATGGCGATTCGGGCATTGTATAGAGTAGCCATATGTTCCCAGACGGATATCAATCCTCTAACCTTTCCTTGCCATATCTTCGACGTCTGTGATAAGATATGAGAATTCTCCACGATGGTCACTAGGATTCCGGAATGCTCACCATTCACATTGAAAGCTCCACCGAATTCGGTCAGCTGCTCGGTAAACAATGTGAATATGAAATCAGTGCACAGAGAAAGCGTTCTATTCATCTCTTTCTATACTCATACGCCGTGCTTCACCACAAACCCGCCTGGACGGCCTGTACCGTGACGAACAAACATTCCATATTACGCTAAAGCTCCAAACATGAGATACTATCGAAAACATAAAGGAAACCACATCCATGCATCAGGGACGAGGCTGACGATTCCCGAGCTTGATCTTGGGAGAGAACAAGACCTTGTCCGGAGCCTCGTCGCATCGGCAGGGGTTCTTGGGCAAGCCGCAAACCTGACAGTTCTCCGGCCAGCGATCGATGATTCCATATCCAGTCGATTCGGGAAGAGATTCTCGCGCAGCCAGATTGCCCCTTGATGTGATGGCGTCCGCAGAGGGAGGTGGAGATGGTGGGCGAGAAAGATCTGCAACGCCAGAGTCTTCAGAGGTATTATCTGACAGTGGTGACGGAGAGCGGTCCAATAAGTGTCCATGAGCATACTAGTCTTGTGGTGGTGGACCTGCCGGTGTTTGGTCTGCGGATGCAATGATATTGTTCATGTTTGTGGTAGATGGGGAAGATACAACTGAATCCCGAGTAATTCTGCGGCGAGGCGTCTCACGAAGTGTCTTAGCCCTGTCTGTCTTCTTCAATAGGTTCAGCCATCGCCGGCGATGCATCAGTGGGTATGTCCAGATGACGATCGCCCCAACTTGCTCCGGCGGAAAGTGAGAATTCTTATGGGCCTCCCACTAGTGCACCATAACATCTGCCGGTTGATGTTGGTGTTCCGGGTGAGTGTTGCCGTTCGTGGGGCCAGCATCATCCATCTCCATCTCGTCGCCGCCGTTGGCCTCACCTGTGGAAGTCAGCACTGTTTCGGATCCAGTCCAATGGGCGCCCTTTCGCACGTACCCTCGCCGTCTTCTTCCTCCAGATCTTCGTCATCGTCGCCGTCGCTCTCGGCTTCGAGATCTTCGCTGCCAGCGTCCGACTCCTCATCCTCGTCCTTGCCCTCTGCGTTCTCGACGCCCTCCATGTCGGCGTCCTCGCCCTCATTCTTGACGGTGGCATTCTCGCCCTCGGCAGCAGCGATGAGAGATTCTTCCTCTTCGAGCTCGTCAGCTCCGTATTGTGCACCGTCGTCCTCCTGAGCATCAACGTCGGGCTGCTCTGGTGGGAATTCGCTGGGAGCGCTCTCTTCCGAATCCCACTTGATCTGGAAGCGGGTGACACGAGGCTTGTCTGCGAGAATGTTGCGGCGAATCTTCTCAATGACCGGCTTAGCTGGCGGCTCCTCGTTCATGGCTGGGTCGATGTATTCGTTGTTGACGTAGTAGCCAACACGTACGAATTCGCGATCATCGTAGGAGCAGGACAGGAGGATGACAGTGACGCCAAGGATGTCCGTAGCTGGAATGCGCGTGGTGTTCGGTGGATCGGCCTCGAAGACGAACTTGTTCACGCCTACTGGGATCGGGCCGACGAGAAGTGAGTCCAGCTCTTGGTCGTGCTCGGATCTACACGCGACCTGTCAGCGATGCTGCTATTGCTGGCTGTTGGCTGGCTGTTGGCTGGAAGGGTGCGGGATGAGGGGCAGAAGGGTGTTGCGATACTTACGAGGTAGCGGAGCCAACGTAGGTCAGCTTCCACTCGAGGTCCTTCTGCAATGGCTCGAGGCACTCGAAGGTGATTTCGAATTCGTATGGAGCGTCGAATTGCGCCGGGTTGTTGCGGACAGACACGTTGAGCAGCGAGACGGTCGCCATTGTCGCAGCGGTTGGTGTGGAGAGTTGCAATCAAGGTGTTGGTTACAAGCGTGTAGATGCGTGAGGAGTCGTGTTGTGCTGGTGGATGGAGAAGCTGATGTCTGCAGCTAGATATGTGATGCGGGATGGTATGTCGCGATATGGTGGAAGGACAAGCAGGTGAAAGTTGTGTGGTTTGGAGGAAGTTGGTGTTGTTTGTTCGGGCGGTGGTGAAAACAGACGGCGGGCACGAACGCGTGATGCGTCTCTCTAGCGCGTAAAGAGCAACCACCATGACTTCAGGCTCGCCCGCAAAAGTCGCGGTCCCACTGACCCAACTTCCAACTCTGAATTCTGGCACAGCTGCTGCAGCATGCTTGGCATGTGAAGTGAATCCATCGTCAGCCAACCACATCCTGCCCTTTTACTCCTCTATGAAGCGATATACCAGCGAGGGGTTACCTCAATACCTCCGAGCGCTTCGTGATCGGATAGCGGTATAGAACTTATCAGGGTGGAAAGTTCAGCCCGACATGGCACATCTCATCCGAGGCAAGCAGGCAGGCATCCAGAACGACCTCAGCGCCGGATTGAGCTCGGAACTCTTCGCCTTGGACGACCTGGCTCGATATGGAGTCAACTCTCAAATAGCATGTCTGGCTTATGACCCCGTCCAATCCCTTCTGGCCGTGGGCACCAAGAGCTCTCAATTCGGACCAGGTCAGATCTACATCTTTGGAAGGGGCAGGATCTCCGCCGTCCTACCTGTACCAGCACGGGGAGCAAGCCCTCAAACATTACAGTTCTGCGCTGAGAAGCTCGTGTGTCTGGACTCGAAGCACGATGTCTCCATCTATTCCATTGAGCTGAAGAGACTCATTACTTCTTACTCACCACCTGGCGTGGTGACGGCGTTATGCACGGATCCAATGCTGGATTATGCAATACTGGGCATGCAGACTGGCGAGATATTGGCCTATGACATGGACCGAGAGTCGCCTGCGCCGTTCAGAGTGCCCAGTCTGTGGCAAGAAGTCGACCCCAAAGCACGGGTGTCCAACATCGTGTCATTGCAATTCCATCCCCGAGACATTGGGACGCTGCTCATTGGATACACGCACGGCGCGGCCATCTACAGCTTCAAGCTGAATAAAGCTCTCAGATTCTTCCCGTACGAGGTACCTCGGGGTGCGCCTGGAGGAGATGGCGACGCGGCTGCTGCGTCTATGCCAAGAAGGCCGCGATTGACGCAGGCTGTCTGGCATCCGACTGGAACCTTTATCATGACTGGTCACGACGACAGCTCAATTGTCTTCTGGGACACCATCAAAGACGGCAGGATGCTCATGGCGCGCACATTAACAGACACCAACGTAGCCACTCCTGGCACCGTGACTGGTAACGCAGGATCGAGACCGGGCACCATGGCCGTCAAAGAACCTCTATTCCGTATGTCGTGGTGTGCAAATCAGCAAGACCCTGAAGATACAATGATCCTGATCGCAGGCGGTCAGTCCACACAGGCCCCCACGAAAGGCTTGACACTGTTCGAGATGGGTCGCACGCCCGTCTACGCCACCAGCACGTGGGACATACTGGTCGGGTACTTCGACTCGCCGAAGCGTCAGAGGATACTGCCCACTCCTCCTGGGGCTGAAGTAATCGACTATTGCTTGATCCCCCGTACCTCGCCTCACTTTGCTGGTGCACATGATCCTATCGCTGTAATTGCTCTGCTCTCCTCGGGAGAGCTCCTCACTCTGTCCTTCCCATCGGGAATGCCGATCAGTCCCACGAACCAGCTGCATCTGTCCCTCACTTTCGTACACCCGTTCGTGAAGTCAATCAACTCTGCACAAGTTGAGCGCGACCGTTGGCTGGGCTTGCAAGAGCGTCGTCAGCAAGGTCCCTTGATACTGCAAGGTGGTAGCGAGCTCCCTCATCACACAAGAAAGAGTGGGAGTCGAAGCATCGTACACACGGTCCACGCTGATGGCACAATCCGGTTTTGGGATCCCGGCTATGGCGATGAGATTGAGAACGAGAAGCTTCTGCAAGTGGACGTGGCTCGCGCTGTCGGTCGCTGGAACGACGTCGATATCACCGCGACCTCGTTTGCAGGGGCCAGCGCAGAGCTTGCAGTCGGTTTGCGCAGTGGCGAGCTGGTCGTCTTCCGCTGGAGCACTAATCGCAGCGCGGGTAAGGAACCGCCGCAAGCAAGACCAAATCAAGCTGGGGCGCTCACAAGCATCACCGACCGCATCGAACCCTCATTGAGTGAGGGTCTGTGTCCTTTGACACTCCTCGATCAGAAAGATGGGCTGGTGACAGCTGTTGCAATGAGCGAGATAGGCTTTGTCGCAGCTGCATTCGAAGGTGGAAGCGTTGTAGTAGTCGACTTGCGCGGACCCGCCATTATCCTCAACACATCCGTACAGGAATTTGCTAAGAGCCGCAAGTCTGGCAGTCTTCGTCGACGGGCGAGCAGCGCGAGCGACAAACCAGAATGGGCGACGCAGTTGGAATTCAGCATCATGTCACTTGAGGGAGAAGACTACAGTTCGATTCTTGTTCACGTTGGGACCAACGCGGGTAATCTCGCCACCTTCAAGATTCTGCCAGACCCAAGTGGCAGGTACACCGTACAGTACGCTGGCCACGTCGCACTGGACGGCAGTAAGGTAATGTACATTGCCCCGATCAATGCGGATGTCGGTAAGCCAGCTGCTGCCTCGCAAGCAGCAATGGGCGGCCTCCGCAACGGACTGAAAGTCAACGGAGCCTTGATAGCCGTCACGCCGACGAGCATCCACATTTTCAAACCCGCGACATCCAAAGGCGCCCACAAGACCTTTGACAGCTATTTCTGCGACTGTGCCGGTATCGTGCGATACCAGGATCAAAGCTACGCCGTACTCGGTCTCTTCGGAGACGGCAGAGCCAGAGCCTACACCCTGCCCTCCCTACGAGAACTCACCTCCATCGACGTAGCCAACATCAACAACCAAGGCTTCGGATTAGATATCCGCCAACTCCACCGAGCCACCATCACCCCCACGGGCTCCATCCTCGCCTTCACGGGCCCCAGCGAGATCGCCGTCTGCAACATCTGGGGCGCCGGCGAACCGCTCATGCGAAGACAAGACCGCGTCTTCCACCCGGACCGCCTCATCCCACCCCGCCCCACCATCTCCGCCGTCCAATGGGTCACGGGAACACAATACATCACACCGGCCGACATGGACATCCTCATCGGCGGACCGGACCGTCCGCCCAGCAAACGCATGATCGCGCAGGCGCGCTCGGAGGAAGAACAGCGTCGGCAGGCCGGACGGACGAATGCCCGTGGTGATGCCGCCGCCGCCGTCGCCGCGCAATCCGACGAGGGATACTGGGCCTACATGCAGCGGCAGATCCAGGAACGGACGGAGAAATTGGGCATCGCGGGCGACGGGATGGAGAGTCTGGAGCAGAATAGTGCGAATTGGCTGCAAGACGTGAATAAGTTTGTCGGGAGGCAGAAGAAGAGTGCGGCGACTGGGAGTAAGTCTCTTTTCCCCTTTTTCCCCATTTTCCCTTTTCCCCCATTTCTTTTCTTTTTTTTTTGAATGTACAACCGGCGTTTTTGAGGGCGATCAGATATATCATACTGACATTGTCTACTTTTTTTTTCCGCGACGACAGTTATCAAAGCTCGGTTTGGCTTCTGAAACAAACAGAGCACATTGGACGATTGATGTAGAAAGGGTCCTTCCTCTTAGCATTGCGTCGTACGACTGCATCGCCAGACCACCAGACTAGAAGAGCTATAATGGGGGCACAAGCGCGCGTGCAAGGTACATAGTCAATGTACCCAGCGTGTGAGCGGGCATTTGAGGATAATACCTACCCATGGAATTGAAAATCCATCCGCACCTTTGCATTGCACATAAAGCACTAATAAGGCTCTCATGTGATTTATACGTACGCTTTCTCTTCTTCGGGTTAGAGAGACTATCGTGCCATGCAAAGAACAGTGCAACGTCCGCGATGCTAGTAGTAGGCACGAAGACCGGACTCTTATCCGGAGTGTGTGGCGTTCGGGCGAGATGGAAATCCGGCACGCGAGTGAGTGAGTGAGTGAGTGAGTGAGTGAGGCAGTGAGGCTGGAGAAGGATTATTATTATTGTATCTGCGACAGTCGACCTCTCGGCGGAATAATCATTGTGGTGGATCATTCTTATCATCATGGCGCCGTGTCTCTGGCTCTCTCTTTGTGCTTGTGCTCCGGGCAGAAATTGCCGCTCGAGTGTGAGGGTCATTCATGGGTCCGTCCGAGGAGTGTGAGGCAGGGCTGCCTGCACATGTCTACACTATAGTTGTAAGAGGACCCATCACCTTTGCATTAATGTGTGTGTGAAGATGAGACACAGACACCTTCTGGAAGGTGGCGATCGCGACCTTCTGTTCTCAGTTCTCACACTGACGACTGACAAGCAGAGCGGAACCGCCCGAGTGAGTCTCACATTGACACATGACAGCCCCGTATGGCTGGAGACATGGGGAAACACACGAGGTGGAGTCGGTTGCCCGGGAGCCCAAGGGCCCCAATTGGTTGCACGAAAGAAAAAAAAGAACATTGAGACAGAGAAGATAGTGTGTCGTGTCGTGGGAGCCACGCGTTGCGGAGCCCTCTCACAGACAGGTCGTGTCGTCGGGAGTGATGGACGAGGTTCTCCTGGGACAGACAGTAGCGAGCCCGTGTCCGGAGACGGGAGTCCATGCGGCATTGATTCCGTTTCTATATGGGAAGAGCCGGAAGTCTCACACAGGTGTCAACAAAAGGGCTGTGGGGAGGAAGTGCGAGGCGAGTTTTACCCTGTTGGGGTTTCCTTTCTTTTTCCCCTTCTCTCTGTGTGCGCGTTCTGGTTGCCGTGCCGGTGGTCGGTGGTGTTACACTGCTAGAAGGTGCTTGTCAGGTGAGAGTTGTGACTGAGTGTCTTCCTTTTCCCTAATAGGGCCGTTTGGAACAGAGTTCTAGAACTCTGGACATCCCTGGGGGGTTAGCGGACATGGGGTGTGGGATCACAGATTGAGCGATGGGTCCACTTCTTTCGTTCTGCATGTCTGGTACCGGGCGGACGGAGGCGGATTGGCGGACTGATGATGGATAGTTGGAGAGAAGACGCGTCGGTGCGAAAAAGATTCTCAGTTGCGCATTGTGACAGATCTCGTTCTTGGTGGCCACCGTGATGACGGGCTGGTGATGCGTAGACCAAGTAACGAAGTACTCTGCGGTTTTCCATGTAACCTGGTCTCCCTTGGCGTTTCATTGGGTGAAGAGGGAAATTTAGGCACATCATACCGGAGAGGATGAGGTATCTGTGCAAATGTGTTCAGAAACACAGGCTGGGCGAGAGGGTTCAGATGAGATTTGATGGACCGGGCTCCTCTTTGCCATCAAATGTGTCAAGTTGTCCATCAAATGGGACGCGTGGTAATCAAACTTACCGGGCGAGCCAAGTGTGAAGCCTCGGCGTGCGCTGTGCAGGATTTCGGATTCGGGTTGAGGCGGAAGAGGTGAAACGCGCCGGTAGTGCGGGTGATTTTTTCTGTGCCTTGCACGTGACGTGACGAGAGGAAGATGGTTTTTAGACTCGCGAAGTATCTCTTTGCGAAGGCACCGTTGGCTGTGAATGGGACGAAGATGATGATTGGTGACGAGAGTAGATCTGCATCTGCAAGGCTTCTGCAAGGCGTCGGGACAGAATAACAATGTGAATGGAGAGGAAATCTCTCAATCAGGGAGAGGCGGTGGTTAAACGAGGCCCAGGATGCTGCTTTGGGCAACGGTGCAGGACACGCAATCTCACGCTTGACGCAATCTCACGTTTAGTGTTTGGGCGAGTTGGCGGACGGATGGAGTGGGTTGCCGATGGCCGCCGCACGGCTGACTCGACGGCAACGGGGAGGAGTATCGGTGATGTTGACGGGCGACGGATGGTATTATTATTATTATTATTATTATTATTATTATTAT